TTTAAGTGCTGAGAAATAATACACCCCCGGGGGCATAAAAAAGAATTAACGGTAAGAGGATTTGAGTTAATTGTTTGAATAACTTGGAATTTACAGTGAATGTAACGGTTTTGGGGGAGTTGGGTTAGGGTTGCTTTTATGATCCCTGACAAGATATACAAATTTTGCTACTAAGGTTTATGTGCCAACGAATTGTCCGGGTGTGATTTCTTTGAGAAGCTTTAGCCTGCTTCAATGAGGTATTGATAAAAGTCGCCATAGAAAGATGCAACCGACAAATGGAAATGCTAAATAAAAGCAGGTTGATATTCCAACAAATACGTCTCTCCAGTCAAATGACTTAATCAGATAACAAGACAGATGAATGGCAATTGAAACGCAATCATAATGACTGCTCATATTATTTTCATTGCTGAATACAAAATGGTGCTTGTTTTCTCAAAGGTCTATGCTTATAACAACTATAATAGAAAACCTGTTATATTTACTTAAAATTGAGAATAATCAAACACAGAACATCTGCAGTGTGAAGCTTCTTGGAAACCTTAAGGGAATGTAGCAGGATTAGGAAAGTTTAAGAGTCTGCTATTTGTCAATCAGTTAATATTGCTTGTTAAGAAGCCAGTACGTGGAGGTCCCAAGGAGTAAACATTTCAATGCTACAAGATCTTTATTCATTTGAAGACAAGGTTACTACGATCCTTAAGGATAAAGATCCAGAAAGGGGGCTACAGTGATATATTTATTATTTCATAAATAAACCATAAACAACCTTCAAAAACGACAGTTTAGGTATAGTTGTAACTAAACATCTTCCCTAAACTCTTCTCTGACAAGCCATTACCCCCTAAAAATTGCTTTCTGTAAGACTATTACCATAAATACCGTTTCTTTGTTTAACCTCCACTCCTAAAGGCATCTCACATCTAAGAATTTTTCTTTTTCCCTCTTTGCTTATTATCTTTATGAAAATAGTACCAAAGTAACATTACATGTGAGGACCAGAACGTAGTTATTGGCTTAAATAATGGCATTTACAAAAACGTGAATATTTTGACAAGGATGTCTCCTTGCTTCTTTTTTGTTTAATTTACGCTTCTTTGAATTAGTTATCTCAGTTGCTTGTAAATTCTATTCACTTGAATAGTGACTCTGCTAATGTTTATCGACGAAGGTTTATGAAAAACAACATATCCGATTGCCAATCAATAATCGGTAATCTAGTATGTGTTTAGTAAAACTTCAATTGTATGTTTCAATAAGGGGGCAGAATACAGATCTAATTCAGCCACCAGCTATAGAGTCACTCGAATGGTAAAAAAGACAATGGAATTAAGAGATAGTCTAAACAACCGTTTCCTTGTTGTTCAAGTTTATGAAAAACTCTGTATATTAATTTCTTTAGAAGACAATATGGCATTAGGGTAAATCGTTTGATTCTTTAAAGCGATTTTTGTGCGGTTTATTTGAGTTACCAATGAGAAAAGCTTGCCAAAAACGTTATATTTGCAGATGGTCTTCAATAATGCCAAACTAGAAGTAGCAAAGTGCTTTGTTGATCAGATCCTTTGGTTTTAATGCTACTTCCTTAGCACTGAAGTTTTATGAGGATTTATGACAAAAGTATTAAGCTAATCTACAACGCAAAAGAAAATTTTGATGACAATTATATCTCTTGTTGTGTTTGCGTCACAAAACAAGGTTGAGAATGTTTTACTTGACATTGCTTCTCCTAATATCAGCTGTTAATTACTGAATATATGCTCTGCCAGCGGATCATAAAATTCCCAGGTTCAGCATAAAGAAGCTTCACTTCTTCCTTATTTTGCAATGACATCATCAGTACCTCCGAAAATTCTCAGTTTTCAAGAGATGGGGACAAGGGAAAGTTATCAAGAGATGGGGACAAGGTCGTCGCTTGACTTGTTCTTCAAGGGGAAATTTCAAGTTATGCTCTATTTGCTGGTGAACAATCGATTAACGAGGAGGCTTCTTATTAGAGGAATAGTCAACAAATAGAGACTGTGGGATCACAGTAATGTTAAGTCGGTATAGGGCTCAGTATTTTTAGAAAGGCAGGACATTTGATAAATGAAGCAACGTGGGAAAGAAAACGGATTCTCTCTCTATACTGTTGCACTAAGGATTGGCGAGGGGGGGGGGGATAATTATTTTGGAGCAGGACAACTTCCTTAAGAGTTTTCCCATACCCTTGATAAATTTAAGGTACTGGCATTTAAGCAATCGCAGTCAACTTTCCCCCGGCTGTCTGCAACATCCTTGACTGCTTCAAGAAGCCATCCTTACCTCCCAAAGACATTAAAACCCTTCATCTCTCTAGATAATGCTTTAGAATGATTGAAGCTGACTTCTCTGGAAGTTGTAAGCAAGCCAGTAACCAGGACTGTTTATACCTCATACCCGATTTCTACACGAATGAATTTCAAATCTGATCAACCAACAAGAGCAAAGCAACTTGTTCAAAAATCTAATTATATTGTCATATTTTTATAAATCTGAGGAATGTTACGTTTAGAGTGCCTGTAACGTTCATTGATTGTGTTGTTAGGTCATCAAGATATGTCAACACAAGAATTTGCCCTTTAGGACTGGGTTATAAACGACAGCTGCCTGCTTGGAACATACAAAGGAGAGCACGTGGCGTCTGATCTCTAAAAAGATAACGCAAATCTTTTTGTCCCTGAACTGAAACGAGACTCACGCCATGTTTATTTTGTCAAAGATTTTTGATAGACAAGAAGATCATTTAAAAAGATCAGAGATTTGTTTTGCATTAGTCACTTTTAGGGTTAGAGGCCACAGACTCGTCGATTCACTAATGAATCATGCATTACGATAGTGTCTGCAGTAGAGTTACATTCATCTTTTTTACAAAAAACTGTCTTTAAGAAGCGAGTTCTGAACAGTCAGAAAAAATTAAAAACTTCAGTACTCGAAGCAAAAAATTAAGAAACTATTAAATCTTGATAAAACTGAGAACAACGAAATTTTGTAAAATCCAAAACATGATTGCCCTGTTGTCCTAGAACTTAAGACACAAGAGATAAAAATATACTTCCCACATCAATACAGTATCAGAACGAAAGCAAATCTCTTGACGTGATAAGAAAAGTCACGAACATTTCATAACATAGCATAATTTCATAACAGTAGAAACATCGAAAAGTCAAAATTGTTGTGAAAACACCTCCAGAACAAGTTTTCGTTGGAAATGTTTTTGTTTTCTGTAATAGTACCTAATGTTGTAAAGATTTTATGTATCTTTCTGGATTCTCAAGGCAGAGATGATGAAAACACCATGATGACATATTTTTATAAGGCCTAATTATGACTAACCGGTTGATGATAACTGGACAAATCCGTGTGAGATACTCCTTACCACTCCACTGGCCTACGCCAGGTAGTGGCTGTCTCTAATATATATCCTTTCTACTGGAGCTCCTTCTCGTAACTGACTACAATTCTTGCTGCAGTACCTACTACGCCCATATGTGTGTGTTTCCGTTATAACCTTATAAAGTGCATGACATCATAATTCAGAAACAATGAGAATTGACATTTCCAACATCGACCTTTGTTTTTTATAAAAAAATTGAATGTGCATTAGTGGGGGAAATGCAAGTCAGTGCTGTTGCAGCAAAATTCATATTGGGGGAGGAAGGAGGGGGGTTGGGCTGCCAATTGTATTATTTCTCATTCAGTACACTGTTATAAAGGAAATATACTACATTTTGACAATAATTGTGGGGTAGGTCTCCTCTCAGCCCCCGTTTCCGACAGCCCTGCAAGTCATAACAAGCTTTATTCCTCTAATTTTCTTATACAAAACACATCAGAGTTCAAGGGTGAATCTCCCAAGGTAGTTGCTCGTAAATCCCACCGAAGTATCATGGCTTGACTTGATTTGCGTTTGGATTTATAGCATGGGCGCCGACTACGTGGGGGCTCGTGAGCTCGAGCCCCCCCCCCCTGGGAATTGCTGTAGGGGGCTCAGCCCCCCCCTGGGAATTTCGTTTGAAATCCGCCACTGGGATGAAAATTCAGCGCAGAACAGCTGAAGGAAGGTATATGCATATTCTAAGTCTCAAAAATGCGAAATTTATCTATTGTTAAAGAATAATTTGAATCAAATAAATCCCTTGTAAAAAATTTAGTCTAAACTTTCTGTCTCCTACGTTTGGGAATTTCTCTACCTTTTAACTTTTTTTATTGTTTTTTTAAGTCAAATTTTGAGCCTCCCCCCCCCCGCCCCCCTGGGAAAAATGAAAGTCGGCGCCTATGATTTATAAGTGATTAGAACTATCATCTTACCTAACATCAAGTTTCATAACATACTGTTAACTTTTAGCCAAAACTTCTACTTGTGTTTTGTGTTTCTTAACTGCGGATATTGTCTAATGTCTTAACTGCGGGTACTGCGGGCAAAAACTAACAATAACAGTTTGCTTTTTGCTCCAGCAGTTTCACAACTGTAATTGTAAGAAAGTCTTTGTCTGAAAAAAAAATTTAGCTTGTAACGTCGGATTTGCTGATAAAAGGTTCTGCTAAAAAGAAAGAGTCTCTTATAAAAGCACGAGGTTTGAAAACTGGAAATCTTATGGCGTTTATTTTCAATTTGTATTTATTTTTCAATATAGCAAAAAAACCAAAGCTGTTTCTAAGAATTATGATATTACAGATATTTCTTGTTATTTAATACAGTTTGGTCTTGTTTTTCTCAATCAGGATACGTTCTGAAGGGTGTCAGACGAAAAGCTTTTGTAACATCTTTCAAACCATTTTTAAATTCTGTATCACAAAGGATGTTATTCATCATTTATTGAGAACTGCTACAGATCTGTCACAGATCAAGCCCTTCAGTGGGAGGATCTCTTGCGCTATTGATAAACGGGACCAGAAATTTTTCACGACTTCGTTGTACATTTGACACTAGCAACATTTTGATAAAAGTGCCACTTGGAAATGAGGCTCATTTCGTCCTCGTTTACGCCTTGGTATTATATGAGGAAGAAATGGCGGAACAAGCCCTCTGAGAAGGCAGCGGGATTGCAAGATATTAGGATGCTTATGAAATGAATCATAACGTAGGCCTTCACAGTAAAGGTTCAGGGGCTATGTGGTACGTTTCTTGTACTGAAAAAAGTATGTCTTCTTCCGTGGACGACAAAGCGAAAGTAGAGACAATAGCCCATGGCAAATGGAAGGGAGAGCGAATGGCTTTTCTCAAAATAACAGGTACATTTTAATTGTAATCACCTCATTAATTTTGAATCAAATAAGAGTAATAATGTGTGATTTATCTGGGTAGTGTACGTCTGTTTGCTATTTTTAACTTTTTCACTGTAGTCAAACTTGTGTGTTAGTTCGGAAATAGTAACATAATGACATATCCCCTATTGATTTTGCAATTTTTTCAACTCCGTGAAAATGTTGCAATTTTTTCCAAGAACAGCTAGTGCAAGGGGTCTTGTTTGTTTTAATCCCCCATAATTTCTCTCATTTTCATTGCCACCTCGAAATTAAATATTTTGACACAAGAGGGTAGAAAAAACGTTACAAGAGTGTCATGTTCTTGCTCTACCAGTCATAAAGATCAATTTTTGCAACTGTGCTTTGATGTTGACTGCCCCTGACAGTTTGATGTATTAACAATACCTTTTACTCCTGATTGCATTTCTTAAATTCCATGGCAATGAATTTTGTCACATCTAAAAAATGACATGAAAACCTACTTATGTAGTACTTAAATATCCAAAATGATATATGTTTAAGGGTATAGACTTGGGGTTGCCATAGAAGTAAGTTTATGCAAAATTGTTTTTGAAAAGTTCGCAACAATGCAATTATTTAAACAATTATCAAAGGAGTTGCTCATCAATTTGTTAAAGTTGTATAGTATGGCTGCACAGTAATATACATACCGTAATAATATTCAAGAAAATACTGTAATAATTTGATTGTAACCCATGATCTTTGGTTATAAAAGCTGATGAGCAATTCTATGCTCCTCTTGTCTGTACCCAAGGGAAGAGGAAGGGGGAGGGAGGGTATTCCCATCATGGCCTAACAAGGGGGTCCAGTCAGGGTCAAAGAGGACCAAAGCTAGAATGTTGAAAAGATAACCTCAAACGATAGTCTTTTTTGACAATAACCCTCAAATGGTAGCATAAGGACAGAAATTATATCCTTGGTAGCATCAATTTCTTTGTGCCTAGTTGGTCCTTCTTTGACAGATTTCTTCGCCATTGATAATTGTTGAACCTGGACAGATGGAATCTTGTTTATTATTTTCAATAAATTGCAAGATAAACTAAGCTGTTGTTTTATAATCTAAAATGGGCCATTTGGTAAGACCCTCAAATCGACTGGACCCCCCTGTCAGGCCTTAATGGGAGTACCCTTCCGGCTCTGCATAGACAAATGTTTGCTTTTGTAAATTCAAGATCTATCAACCAGTCATTAGGCCTTTTTAAGTAATTTTACTTTTCAAATAAACAAAGTTTTCTGTAAGGTACATTTACTCATTTTTAATAACTGCTATTTAGCTATTCAAACTGAGGTTATTTGACTTTTGTTGGACAGCCATACTATACAGAAAACTCTTCCAAAAACTTGCACTGTTTTTAATCATAGCTGTGTACAATAAATAGCTTCTTTTCCAGTTAGCCAAATCAATCATAATTTGAATTTCTTGTAGTTGTCAAAGGAGAAGATTTGCCTGCTCTTGATCCAATCGGGACATCAGACCCTTACTGCATTTTGAAAATCGGAAAAGAAGAGAGGACAACAACAACAAAGTTTCGTTGTTTAAATCCAATCTGGAATGAAACCTTTGTGTATGAAGTTGACCATTTGCCACAAGTTGCGTTCAGTGGTCCATCCTATCGCAGAAGTGCCATTCCATATATTGTTCCTCTTTGTGAGCTTGCATACTTTCTCACTATTGATGTGTGGGATAAAGATAGACTTAATCGTGATGACCTTATGGGAAGAGTTATGGTTCCTTTGGCAACAATACCAGATGGAACAACTTCAAGATGGTATCCTTTAGGAAGAACCTATGCTGGTGGCCAATCAAAGGGAAGACTGTTGTTGAATATTACTTTAAAAGCATTGAATGATGAGGAGGTATGTGTTTTCATTAGTTTAGATTATATTTTTGTCTATACCCAAGAATTGACCAAATGATTGACTTAGAATTGAAGACAGCTGATAGCGGGCAAAACAAGTCAGAGAAGAGGTCATTTCAAATCTAGACAGGGAAGATGACGTGAACAGTAATTTGTATTTGTTGCTACCTAACTAGTGAAAGTATTTCTAGGACACCAAAAAGCCATGTTTATCAAATAGTTTCCTGGTCTTTTCTCTTGATGAAACCTCACATTGTGTATCCTATGCCTGGAATTACAGAGTGCCATCAACTCTCCTGAATCTGAGTGGAAGTTTGGTCTTGTCAGGTACTTAAACTTCAGGTCATTGGATTTCTATTTTGTGACCCTACCAACAGAGCTTGGATGGATGATGAAGAAGTTGGGTGTTCTTAATGAAAAACAACTAGGTGAGATTGCAAGAAATAGCAGAAGAAGGAAGTACCATCATGAACCGTCTACGGCATTCAATGCCATGGCACAAGAAGAAGAACAACAGAGCCACTTGCACCTAAATGATTCTGAAAACTGTTTTAGGCAGAACAGGAATTGCTTTGAGATTGTTACCTTTAACCCAGGTTGTTCATATTGATGTTAAGAAAAAATTCCTTGTTGTTGATTTATTTCCTTGAATCTGATGATATCTCTTATCTATGAATCTGATGATATCTCTTACCTAGCAAATACCAAAATGGATTGCACATGAAATTATGAGGAACGATTGTGCTAGACTGCCAGGATTTCAGCTACCAATAACGAGTGGAGAAGACATTGTAAATTTTCCAGGTATTTCATTTTCATTAGTATTCTTTCATTCAAGAAAGGCTATGTTATTATGAAGTATAGGAACACGAAAGGCTTTTTGAATCCAGATAAATCACATACAACTCTTTTCAGTTTAATTGTCAATGTTTACACAAATATTGTTAATTTCTTTGATTTTTGAATTCCAGGCAACAAGGAAAATGTTGAGCTGCTTCTTGATGACGTACTTGTTGAAGTCAGTGGACACAGGGGACTGGGAAGGATTTTTTTGACTGATTTCCGGTATGCGTGTATTTATTATCGCATTATTTTTGTCTGGTTGGAAATTTTCAGAAATCAACACTTCCTAATATTCATCATAAGAGTAAATGACTTCTTCATAAGGTATAGCTATTGAGATTTATCAAATGGAAGGATATACTGACAATATAATTTATATAGATTTTGCTTAAAGACAGTATGTCACTAGCGTGAACCATTGTAAGCAAAGGGTTCTGTGGCGCGTTTAGAATTTAGAAATTGGCTCAGTTTGTTCACCATTTGACTTTCATCGAAGTGTCGATCCGCACTTTCTTGCTTTGAACTCTACCGTAAATCTTTGTATGATAGTCCTGTCCTGTGTATAACAATAGTCCTGCGTATATCTGTCTAAATCCCGCGCTTCTTGCTGTCTGTTATTTTCTATGCTATAGCGCCTCGTTTTATATCTGCCGTTGTCTTAAGCCCGCGTTTCCTGCTTCTATCGTAGTCCCGCGTTTCCTGCTTCTATCGTAGTCCCGCGTTTCCTGCTTCTATCGTAGTCCCGCGTTTCTTGCTGTCTGCTGTATTCCCGCCTTTCTTACTCATTGCCATAGTCCAGGGTATCTTGCTCCTTGTTGTAGTCTCGCGTTTCTTAAATTCTGTTGTTTTCCCGCGTTTCATGCTTTCTGTTACAGCCCTCGTCTTTCTCTTTGCCGGAGTCCTGCATTCCCTCCCATAGACTCGTGTTTTTTGCTCTCTTGCTTCTTTTCTGATATACAGTTTTCCCTTGCTTCTTTTCTGAACGCCAATAAAAAGAGCGCCGTTTGGAACTTGGAACAATAGTGTATTGTATGACTAATCCAACGGGAAATCAGTTTTCACTAACCCGATTTTTCCAAGGTTAATGGACACATGTATAGGTCGTAAATCATCTTCTGTTTTTACATAGGTTGGTCATACAGTGTACAAAGTCTGAAGTCACTAGTCTTGCTGGCCAAACGGTATATTTTTAACTGTTTCTCAAGTGAAAGCTTGCTTCTGCCTCACTAAAAGTGAGATAAAATAAGTATCAAGGAATTCTCTACATGTAGCACCTGATGAATCGATAAAATATCCAAATACGATATATCTAGATGCTTATAATTGTTCCTATAGTTAAACATTACAATCCAAGTCAAATGAAATTTTAATTAAAAGAGACGTTTTAAATTCAACTTGACAACAATCTTTGTTACGTAATCTGAAAATAGAAGACACGAGACCGAGGGGCAATTCACTCTTGTAAACAGCGTACGAGATTTTCCCTAAAACAAAAGGATTTCTTGCGATTTTCCGATAAAACAATAGGATTTCCACCAAAGGTTTACGAGATTTTCTTGGAGTGATTTGCCCCTCGCTAGAGACACTTGAAACTCTTGAAATTTGTGTGCTATGGTAAATTTTTGCTTACCGAACAGCTGGCGACGAATAAGGGCAGCGAAATCGATTATTCGACTCTTTTTGGAAGAGTGTGTCATGGCTGTAACTACTACTGCTCTTGGGGAGGGGAGGAAGGGGCTCGAGCCAACCCCCAAATTATAAAGTTCTTTAGTTTCCAATGACCAATACCTTTCTTCCAATAGTTCTCGAATAATGGTGCCCCAATAGTTACTCTATCCTTCCAGGGCACTAGGCCGAATCACCATTAATGTATAAAAACAAAAGATTAAAACTGAAAAATCCATTAAATCAAAACTGAATCTGTAAAGGTGGATTTCTTTGAAAAAAGCACAAATTTTGAATCATACTTAAGCTTTTCGTCTGACACTCTTCAGAGTATTATAAAGCGTCAGAACATAGATCGAAAACTCTACGCTAGCTAGGAAATATATATACCCAGTTGTTGATCGAAATAGACCAACTCCCACTGTTACCTTTTAACAGTGCTTTTAAACATTTAATGTTACACAAAGTATTTTATGATAAGGGTATTAAATGATTGAATGTCTAGTATAATGGTACGAATGTTTCAGGGGATAGAATCTTGGATAGAAAACATCTGTTTTCTCGACCCCTAGCTAGGAACACATTTGACGTACATCGCTCTGTTAGCCTCTGAAAGTAATGCATTCAAATGAGAACATGCTGGGAATTAAGTAATTTAAGGTCTTTTCGAAGCAGAACTCTGAGGAATTTTCTTTCTTCGTTACGGTTCTTGTTGTGACTTTATCAGCCATCCTTTTTTGTCGAGGGTCAAAAACAGTGCATTTAGTTGGATATAACACTTTTTTCTCGGTTTTTACCAATTCTCTTATTACTTTCTCAGCTAAGCGGAATCTTTTAAACCCAAGCAAATTAAAAATAATTACCAAGGCAAAAATCAAACCTAATGATCAAATTTTCCAATGAGAAAAGTTAATGTAATTTGTTTGACGTAGTTCTTTTTACATGTAGTGATTGGCAGTTCAGCCAAAAAATTTGTGCTGGAGACAACCCCCTGTATGTTGTATGAAGACGCCTGTGTTTGATGATAGGTGTCGGTAGAAAATACTCAAAACCGGAGCTTTTATTAATTCTTGTGCGGTTGCCTGGCCTTAATTTATTGGAAAAGGAACAATAAGCTATGTTCTGAAAAGCATCTGCCAACAGATTTCTGACAATCACTAATTTCTTAAGACATAACAAAGAGTGGATATGTTAAACGTTTTTACAGGACCTTTATTCGCATTGTCATTCATGAAATGCTACGCCAAAATATTTTTGTATTTTCTGTTTTTTGGAGTTTTTCCAGACGAGATTTTTGAGTCAAGGTCATGGCATATCTGTAAAATGTGTCTCGAAATTCCGTCGTAATGGTAAATAGTAAGCAGAAAAGCACAGAATGACAAAGAAAAGTTTAATGCCACGAGAAACGATCTTGTATTTTGACGGTATTACCGCAATGATGAGTTAATGAACTAATATTTGGCCCTAGCATACGTGACTCTCCGATACCCCCAAGTGTTGGGTCTGATTTTAGACAAGAACCCCAAAAATGCACAATAGGAAAGATACGAATATCTTACTGTAACTAAAACAAATTAGGCATTTTATTTATCAGTCTTTGTAAACTGATTTGCTCTCACAATTTATTTTTTGGTATTTAGAATTGTAAGCTCACAGAGCCCATATTTTTTCACATCTCTTGTGTTACACGTTGTATTTATTCTATAGATCTATTTTTTTATTTGTCTTTTTAGGATCTCTCTATGTGGGTAGCATTAAATAACATCCAGTCTGTCGAAAAAGGTTACGAAGAAAAGGTAGGTTTATACGTTTATTAAAGTGTAAGACATAGTTCATGAAAACATAGTTCATAAGAATAATAAGGCTTAAGCTGTTGATAGTGAGAATGAATACGGAAAGATAGTAAGGCTGAACTTTGGTCAGAAGTAAAAGTCTTAGTTTTCTTGCAGATTTTTAGTCTGATATTTTAATTCACAGCGATACAAAAGCAAAATCAAATCTTTTGTTTTGAATATACTATAACCATCCTACAATGTAGCTTTTGGACTTTCGTCATTATTGTGTTTGGAATAGGGACAAAGACCTGCAATAAAGAAGTATATGGATGCCATTTTTTGATTTATAAAACACTCAAAGATTTATCACAGAACTCGTGATATAATCTAAACACGTGATTCAAATGTCAATCAAACAATCGTATTACCTTTAATCAATCCTAAAAATTTACCCATGTTTTTTATTTAAGAATAACTCACTAATGTATTTAGACTAAAAGGTGGAGGTTTTTGAGAGTCCGAGACTGGAAAATTTAAATATTATAATTATGGCAGAAAATTAAGATTGGTAATACGGTTTTCCTAGTTGTTTCAATTGTATTACTGAGTCCTTCGACTTAAGGCGATTCACCATGTGAAGGGTAGGTCTAGGGGTATAGCGCAATGGGTGACGGGGGGGAGGGGGTGTGGCCTGCCTATCTACAATCTTGGAAATGCTGTGACACACTCAAAGAACTCAAACTTGTTTCAAAGCACTCGCCCCTCTCATGAAATCAATGTTGTTATAAGAATATTTGAGCCTGCACGCATCTTCAATTATTCTGTAACCACGTCACCCAACATTGATCTCAGGTGTGTTGTTTAGACTTCTAGCGTGTTGTAAAAAAGGGAGGCTTGATTTCATTTTTAGTTAAAAATTGTTAGCAATTTTTTGCCAAGATTGTAGAATATAGCATCGGTGAAGAGAGAGGGGTTGCTTCCTGCGCCCCATGGTTTTTCCAGTAGCTACGCCTCGCAAAATTTAACGATTCATTTTCATTTCAAGCCTTTGTTGTCTCTGCGTAGGACCCCCTTGCTTACTACTGACAAATCATCCCGAATTAAACAGCTATGTGAATCATGTTGCACTTCTTTCTACCCCTTCTTAAAAGCTTTGCTCGTATGGGCATATTTTAGTCAATCACTGACTGTGTCCTAAAGGATGCGCCCCATTATATGACAGTGCTTATCGTGTTTGGTAGGTCATTCAGAGAACGCAAGCTGGAAGAGCTGGCTTTTCTGATGTTAAGACGCTCATTATAAAATGCAGCGATTTCCGCACCATTCGCTTGACATTCGTCAAAGGGAAAATCACAACAAGAGCGGATGGGCAGCTGCTCACTGTTGATAACTCGATTGGCAGTGAGGAGGAGGATGATTTAGCTGATCAGCGGAGTATCGGTAGTGCTTAAGCTGTAATGTTTATAGTTATCCGTCCGTATATGTTTATGGGGATCTATTCGTTCTTATATGTTTGCACTGTCCAAGGGGAAGTTTATCAAAATTCTATTTTCTGTGATTTTTTATACATTCTATTTACTGTGGTAAATGTCTACCAAAAGTCTTGGTACACTGCACTGAACTGTTTACCATTTTACGTAATTTTTGTAATTATGTAATTATGCAATATGGAATATTTAGAGGTTGGGTGTTGATAGATGGAATTTTTTCGAACAGCCAAGATATCAAACTCTACAACCAATATTGTGGTGGGAGAGATGGGGTTAGGTGTCGGTCTCCATTTACCGAAAATAATTGATTTTATGTAAACAATACTTTAGCAAAAGGGTGCTTCAAGAGTTCTGGTAGGGGCTGTTAATGCATCTGCTCAAATATCAAATCATTCTCGAATAAAGGGGTGCAAGTTATGGAGAAACTTGTCTGCCAAAGAAATTTCAAACAACCGAAGGATGTTTCTTCAACATTAGCTAAATGTTCACTTTAGACGGCAGAATTGCTTTTCACTTGGTTCCTAAGAAGGAATAAGATTTTAAAGTGAGTCAGCTCCCTTTTGCCCAGATGCACCACCGATGTCAGGCACGAAATGACGAAGTTTACTGTAGTCTACATCATTTTTTGAACTGTCTCAAAAAACTTGATGTAATGGTATCTTCAACTGTTTATCCCTCCTAGTTCTGTTTCGATGATTGATACCAGAAAAAGCCATTTTGAAAGGCTCATAGAGAAATGACATTTGATTTTTAAGCAAAATATGAAAAGGACCAAGTTACAAGTTTAGGGTTTCATTATCTTCACAATCAACTGTTTTATTTGCCCCATTATTGAGTTTGTTTTATCGAGTTAAAAGAGTTTTTCCCCGTGTAGCGTATTCTACAAAAAGCCGGGAGGCTGGTGATGATGATGATGATGATGACGATGAAGATAACGAATCGATTTCTAGTGATGTAAGTGATTCCGGTGGAATGGCAGATGAAATCGTCGAATCTTATATGGGGAAAGAATCGTTTATCGGAATCGTTCACTCAGGGTATGGAAAGCCGTACATTTCATTTCATTTTTCAGTGTTTAATTTTCATTATTAAACATGATCAGTAAGATAACTGCCCTACAACGAGCTGTTGCTAACTTAGCCTTTGAAACATACCGCTATTTGTAGTACGTGCACATCAGTAGCTTGCTTCAAGTTACTTTTAGTGCTTTTTACGTTTTACTTTTTTTCAATGCAGGTGTGTTGTCAGGATGATGAAAATATTTCTTAAGAGGATGCGCTATATTACGAGAAATGCAAATGCACAACCACCGTCGAAAATGTTTGTAAGGTACTGACCTCAGCAAGTTGGATTATCTTCACATTAATAATCAATTACCAATCGCTATCTTCAATCATAATTTTACATTTTTGTTTCCCCAATTTCTACAAAAATCCACTGATGCTACATTGCAAATGAAGAATAAGGCCACCGGTTTCCTAAATTAATATTGGAGGTGTCCTTTATTCACGTTCTAGCCCAATGTTCTAACTCTAGCCTTTCATTAAAGCTGCCCTATGTTGAAATTAATGCCCTCTTTTGCCGTATAATTTTATGACACCGTGCTTTTTATGGTATTAAACTTAGGCCAGTCAACATCACTTCCTCATCATCATTTACCAATCACCAATCACTTTCATTAATCGTTAATCACAATCATCGTTCACAATTATCAAAACAATCATAATCATTATCATTGCACCCAATCGCTGCAATCCCTTACTCCAATTAATCACTCCAATCAACCAATCGCTTAATCAGTTGTAATGATATTTTTTAAACTTACATGGTACGGTGCTTTTCTTTTCCCCCCTTTTTAGCTTGGCTGGGCCAGAGTTTCTATTGAGCTCTTGGGAAGTCTACGATACTCAGGAGGAATTCGAGCGACAAAAGGTTTGTTTACAAGATTGTTTTAACATCTTGAGTATAACTAACTTGATGTGGTATTATTAATGAGAAAGAACTTCATGCGGCCTTAGTGTCATTAATGATAATACTAAAGATTTATGGCACTAAGCGACCCTTTCTTAAAAGGATTAACGATCCAAACATGGCTTGACCTTCTACTCATCAGAACGGGAAAGTCATCCGAGACTTGGGTAGAAAAGTAGGACGTTCCCTTGTCTTTTCTCTCAGAATATGTTGTGCAACCCAGCGCTGCTATCCAGATATGGGGGGGGGGGGCTGGGTTGTGGTGGAAGATTGCCTGCCCGCTTGGTGAAGAAGGAAGATAACTATTATTTACAAAGTTGTAAATTCATAATCAATTTGCTATCGAATGCCAGCTTTTATATTTGTTATATAAAAAATGCTTACAAGAGAAATTCTTACAAGAGAAACCTCATGCACAGTCTGTCTTGCTGCTTAGAAAACTAATTCAGGACTACTGATACTTTGCACTGCTTAGTCGCTTTTAGATGCTGTTCAATTGAAAGCCATAAGAACATTGGTTTTCAGAGTTAAGAGTTGGTAAATAGGTGGCATTGTTAGAACTATTGCTTTTTCTTAAAGGTGAATGGATATTGGCGTTTGTCAACTATCAATCTTGATTATTCCTTCAGTCCTTCATATCCGAGGTATCTCTATGTTCCAGAGAGTGTTTCAGTAAGTAATCTTAAGATTTACTTTAGTACAATTATATTTTAATCGTATATTGATTCTCATATAAGATTACCCACATAGCTACTTAAATGTCTTTGTAGAGAACAGGCGAGGAATGGTATGCCGGCAAGTAACCACGAGTATCTGCAAATAACCGCGAATTGCTGCAAATACCAGCCACTTCCCGCGATTGCCTGCGATTGCCCGTGGTTACCCGCGATTGTCAGTGAATCCCCTCCCCTCTCACATCCCCACTACAAAAACTGTCATGAGAAAGTTTCTGCGCAATATTTTCATCACTGGTAACACATATTTCATTTGGTTTCTTGCTACTGAAGTTAACATGTCAATTAGGAGTATTGAAGAAATATTGAGGGTTAATTTTGAAACCCCAAAACGATTTGAATGTAGTATTTTGGTATCTTTCCTGTTATTACTACTGGATGCCGTTAAACAAAACATGAAAGTCTCTTCTATGTAAAGGACTGTTGTTCCCAGATGTACATTTTTAAAGGCATTGATTTTCAAATGTTGGAAAAAGAAAATTTAATGTCAGAATTTGCTCTCTTGCTTGTAATATTTCTGTTAATAATTGCAAGAAGCTACCTTATGTTTGAAATGGTAAAATCTCAAGGAAGAAGCCTTTTTTGTCCAAAAAGGGGACCGTCTCTTTTCACTTGGCAATAGAATTAGTAGAAGCGTTTGCATTATACAAATTTACGCAGATATCAAGCTTCTTTTCGAAAGCTCAAAACTATGGAACAGATATGCACTCTATGGGTTTTTTATATTAGTTCCAAGATCACTGATTTGGAAATTTAGATTTCTCACGTTATATGAACTCAATGACAGTACTTGCTAAAATTCTTATCTTTCATAAGAACATCTTATATTAGGAAGGAAAAAACGAATCTTGTTTAATGATAATTCAAACAATCTTTTGGTGGTACAAAACTTGAAAATGGCTTTGAAAAAAGCAAACATTTAGTAAACTGAAGCTTTTCATCTGACACTCTTCGGAGTTTAAAACGTCAGAACATAGACCGAAAACTTTTCGGTCTCGATCGAGAGTTTTCGGTCTATGTTCTGACGTTTTAAACTCTGAAGAGTGTCAGACGAAAAGCTTTAGTTTACTAAATGTTTGCTTTTTTCAAAGCCATTTTAATGATAGTTATTAATAAATCAATTTTCTGTTTGAATTTTTGACCCCATTCGTGGATTTTAGAGTCATCGCTATGCACAATAACAATTTCTTTTGCAGGATGAAACACTCAAAGGTCTTGCTGAATTTAGATCCAGGGTACGTTCACCACTGCTTACGTTTTTTGTTGATCAACTAGTATTCTTATATTTGTTACTACAAAGCTTCTCTTGATTGCTTTACTTGCTTTTGATATTTGATGATACTTGCCTTTGCGTGATTGCCTTTGATATTTGATGATGGTTTGATAGTTGCCTTTGCGCCCTTCTTATTAGGCAAACTAATCGTAATGCTTTCTTGTTAGGCTCGTATACCTACTCTGACGTGGTTTAATTTTGAAAATGGCAGCTTCATTATGAGGTGTTCACAGCCAAGAACAGGTGCTCTAGGGCGGGTAAGTTACCATCAGGACAACTTCCTTTTCGGTGGATTATGCACTTGAATCTTTGAGTCCCATAAACCCAGCCCAAATGATCAATTGTAACTTGTCTTTTTTATAGTTAGGGTTTCTATTAATTAGCTTATAGTGGTAAGATACAGCCACAAACCTTTTACCGTCAACACAAAACAATATTATTTTTGAACAGTTTTTTGGCGGTACATAACTTGAAAATGGCTTCGAAAAAAGCAAACATTTCACAACATATTAACTAAAAGCTTTTTCGTCTGACACTCCTCAGAGCATAAAACGTCAGAATAAAGGTTCGAAAGAACACTTCCATCTATTCAAAAGGATTGCATTCCTACCCACCGAAAAAGTTCCGTTATTTATGAATTTACGTGCCAGTGTGATTCTGGCTACGTAGGACGCACAACCCAGAGATTGGGGGATAGGATAAAACAATATGTTCCTTCCAACATAAGAAACAAAACTGCCCCTCAAAGAGAACAGCCTCCTAGATCTTGTAGGTCTAGAAACACTGTTAAAACAAGTGATTCTGCCATTGGTCAACATCTTTTAGACAACCCAGATTGTGCAAACCTCTATAATGACGATATGTTTCGGATAATTGGCAGAGCCCGGTCGTCCTTTCGTCTAGCAGTTTTGGAATCGATCTACATACAAACGAAAAAGCCGCCATTGTGTAGACAGAAGGAGTTTGTTTTCTCTCTTGGACTCCAGTGGTAATTTCTCTTTAGGCACGCGGCACTGATTGGTCAACTATACCGGTCTTGTGCTTGCGTTTTTCTGATTGGCCTATTTCGATCCACAACTGGGTATATATTTTTCATCGTGTTCTTTCGGACCTTAATTCTGACGTTTTATGCTCTGAGGAGTGTCAGACGAAAAAGCTTTAGTTAATATGTTGTGAAATGTTTGCTTTTTTCAAAGCAACATTTTTTTGTCAGGGGCTGCAAGAGCAATCATAATCATAATTACCTTAATCGTCATCAATCATCATCAGTCATCACCAATGATCATCAAGGTCATGATCAATCATCATAAGCAAACATCATTTTCAGTCATAATCAACTTCATGATCAATCGTCATCAGTCATATCAATAATCATCATGAGTCATTTCAGTCACAACCACCATTTGTTTTGCATTTTTATTAACAAATTTCTTCTCCATAGTACTGTATTGAAGATGAGACTTTGCTTAATGAAGCAAGAAATTGCAACCCGTTTAACAGCAACATGGTGATTTTCGATGCTCGTTCAATGCTAGCTGCAGGAGGCAACCGACTTAAGGTAAGAAATTTCAGAATACAAATTGTAGATATTTTAAATTTACGTTAATATTTTTGTTATTCTATGAAATACAATCTTTTATTCCATTGCGCCTCTACCAAAGAATTCTGTTTTCAAGACGGAATTTTAAATTCTTTTGCTTTAATTTCATGCGCATTTTTTACACGAAACTATGAGAAATTAACTAAACCTAAATATTAGATTTTATATTTAAATTAAGTTGAACTTCGATTCACCTTCGTTTCGTTCTTTTACTCAGGTTTCTTTTTAACAGGGAGCTATAATTCTCCTGCCCTGTAAAATATACACAATTTAACTAAATCTAGAATTAAAGACAATAGTGAAAATACTGTATACAGTTATATTTATAATTTATCAAAAAGCATTAGGAAGAAATAGATTCGTTTTGAGCAGATGATCATTTTATGGTTTTGAAACTCTTTTGGCTTTGACTTATTTTTGGCCTCTTAAGTTGAAACGTTATAAAGTTTCATACCCTGGTAAGAGAAAATTTTCTGTCCGGTAGTCTTTCTTAGAAAGGAAAATTATTTGTGATGGCAAATATTAAGGAAGGTTTGAACTAGGCCACTTTTAAACGAGCTCATAGTTAAGCAGTACTGTTCCTCGGTTGCTCTGGTTAAATGTCATCGATGTTGTCAAGATTAAATTCTTTAGTCACCGTCAAATATTGGAATTTATCCACTGCCTCGGTAGCGAGAGGCTTTTGATAATCTCGTCTTTTGATAATCTCGTTCGTGATAATCTCAACTTAATCTCGTCATTCTTCCGAGTCGTCACACTTGGCCTAACATACAGAGCAGCTTTACCTCAAAGTCGGATATATTTGTTTATTCTTGAGGCGATAACTGCTTTAGTGAGCAGATGCAAGGCAAAAAACATCAACTTATCTTGATTGATTATCTCTAAGCAAGCGTTTAGCAAGAAGTAGCTCGCTATCATCGCGAAACACGTGATGTCATTTCGAAGATGCTCTCTTAGAAACTCACTTAAACAAATACTTGCTTTTTATATCTCCTTATAACTGTAGAGGATAATTGTTCACTAGATTTGTTAATAACCTTTCTTGTTCTCTAAGCTATAGTATTTCAGTACATATTGAAGAAGAATTATTAACAAAAACAGTACAAAGAGCATTGCCATATTGAGCCTATTAGCAGGTCAGCATGTAGTAATAAGGTCATTCTTTTATAATCACAATGATAATTGTAATATTCATCAGAGAGGGAGAGGGTGAGGAGAATCGTTGTATTTAAACCTGCATTAAACTATACGCATGAAATATGCATATTACGTCATACACCAATATAATTAGTGCACCTACCAAAGGAACCAGTAACATTATATTGTAACTCTATCCTCGGTGAGTATATCATTGGTTTGAAGATAGCACGAAAAACTGGAAGCATCCGACACTTAAGCTTGGTCCTCCGTAGCAATGCAAGCACAAACGCAAGCGAAGGTTTAATGCCTCACATGTCAGATTTCAATGTCCTCACATGATTCAGAAAACTAGGAAGGTTTCTATATATTTATGCGTGTAGTTATGCTTGTGTCAAGCCCGTCCTTGCTGACCATTAACTCCCTTGTGTTTGTTGCTAGTGAGGCCCAAGCTTTAGGAAATTTGGGTAATGACTCAAGTTAAGTAGAAATTTATATCCAGATGGAGATCAAAAGTAGCACGAGAATGAGATTGGCGCGTTTGATTGGCTCCTTGTTTTTAACCAATCGGCGAACGATAACCTTTCACTTGGTTGAAGAGTCCAAGAAAGAGACAAAAACTTCCAAGTTAACAGACGACCCTGATTGCCTAGTGTTTTTAAAGAATTTCCATCAACATTAGTTTTTGTGTACTCTTGACTCTTGAGCGAACGTTGACCTATAAGGGACAATTTAAGAGAGTTTGTTAATAGGAGTGGACTTAAGGGTATTATTGGTGATGTTAATGAAGCGTTTTGATGTATAAATATGTATTTTTTAAACTTATGACACTCTTTCACTGAAACTAAATTGCAAATGATATACTTGGTTTTTTTGCACCGGTTTTCACTTTGAAATATTTCCATTTTGAATTGGCTTTAACTTCGGATTGATTTTCCTTTTTGATTGGTTTTCACTCCGGTTAGGCATAGCGAAGTACTTCGGATTCCTTCACCGTCGCGTGACGCAAACCTCTATCCCGTACGAAAACAGATCCAAGGTGAACCAAATATGGCACCGTGCAACTGAGTTTGTGATCATATGTGACGATTGCAGTATTCATGTCTAATTTCAGGGCAAAGGAACGGAGGATGTGAACAGATACCAGAACTGCAAGCTTCTATATCTTGATATTGCGAATATTCACGCTATGAGAGACAGTATTGATAAGCTGCAGGGTGTCTGCGAAGGCGCTGCTGAGAATAAATGGTTGTCTCAACTCGAAGCTACTCAGTGGATGACACATATTAGCAACGTGTTAAGGGTAATTAATGCCGTTTTATTCTCTAAATATACCTGAGTTCCATTTAGAAACGGCACCAAGTAGTGAAAAGTGGGCTTCAATTAAGCCCCTCTCGTACAAGCCTCTTTCTTAATGAGCCGAGCGTTGAATAAGCCTCCCTCTCGAATACATCCCTCACTTATGGTGGTGCCAGATTTGTAAGGAAGCAATCAAATAATTGCAATTTATTTACATTTTTCCAATTTTTATGTCTATCCTCTTTTTATGTCTTACAAATCTTTTCCCCCTGAAAGCCCCCCTCCCTTAAGAATATCAAGTTTTGATAAGTTCATTCTGTCAAATACGTCCCCTCTCGAATATGCCCCCTTTTTGGCATCGAGTTTTGAATAACCCCCGGGTGCTTATTTAAATATTTCGTTAGTGCTTTTTATCAGTATCATTAAAATATAGAAATTTTCCAGCTGAATAAGATCTTTATTCAGAGAAGCATGTCTGCCTGCATACACATAAAACAGGAGAATCCGAAACTTTCAATCGGAGCCGAAAAACTTTTTCTTCAAAGTAGAGAAGCTACCAGGTCAATACCTTTAGTTTCAGACTACTTTACTAAAAGGAATCCATCTGATTCAATTCATTCGATTGGAGGGTTCCAATGTGAGTTGCTTTCATGTGTATGTAACTTGAGATATAATATAAGCCATATATATAAAAATGGATATGAAATTTAACTTTACATAGGATGTTGTTGTGAAGACCGCACTTCTCTTCTCACCAGGGTGCAACTTTGGTTGCTCATTATGTCAGTGATAAAGGAGTCTCGGTACTAGTGCATTGTTCTGATGGTTGGGATAGAACCCCGCAGCTGACGTCATTAGCTCAAATCATGCTTGATTCGCACTATAGAACATTTGATGGCTTCAACGTAAGTTGCTTTCTGCAATTGAAACAAAATCGAAATCTTTTTAATTTTGTCATTACTTTATCAAGGCTCTTTAATACCACTCAAATTTTTGTTATTGATTATTTAATCACGATCATTTGAGAATTGCGGGACTAGGTTAGAATCAGTAAGTGAGGGTTCAAATATGTCCATCGTTACTCCATGCCAAGAGCTAAAACTATCAAAATGTTTCTTGAATGACCGAGAAGACTGTCTTCTCTGGTCTGGATGTGGCAACTATTTCATTGCCTTTAGCAACCTTTCTTACCGATCTCTACAGCCAGTGTTAACAAATAACAAACGTCTCAATTTCAAGTTAAATTGTCAATCCTTATTCATCATCAAACTTCATCATTATTTTGCATGGTTTCCTTTCATGTACTCTGTTTGTTCTAAGGTATTGGTTGAAAAAGACTGGATATCATTTGGGCATCGATTCACAGACCGTCTCGGAGACCCGTCCTGTCCGAGTCAAAGATCGCCAGTATTTCTGCAGTTCCTTGAGTGTGTTTGGCAGGTTGATATTCTTTTCTTCTTTGTTTATTAGCTTATTCTAATTATATAAAGTTATAAACAGATCGTCAAAATGAAGTTAAATGAAAAGTAAGAGAATGTGATATTCCATCCAACAAATTATTGCATAGTATAACTGCAGCAATAATCACGCTGAATACTTAGCAAGAACATCCCTCTTATCTCCATTCCTCGTATCCTTTATTTATTTTGCTTACATCATTACCATAAAAGTCGGATGTGGAACTCCCAAACTATGTGTTTAGATCTTTTACAATATTTCCAGTTTTATAGTAAAGTTCCAAAGTTTTAAGGCAAAGTCAGAAACTATTTATTATTGTATATTGTAAGATGGGAGACCACTATTCAGATAATGCACCTTTCAAGTTCAAAAACAACTTTTTCTACTCATTTCTTTTGAAACTCTTACCTTATTATTGTACAACTTCTTCACCATACACGTTTATTGGAAATTTAATACTCTTGTTATTTTATGTGACGAAGGTTTATTATAACCATGAAATTTCTATGTTTTCCCTTGTCATCCAAAAGTATTTTAGTCGTCGAGATAACTCATTAGCACATCAAAACTTTATGGGTGTATTTTCTAGCTATGAAAAATGCGTAATAGACAGAGGCCTTAAGACCACTACCCTCCAAAGAATTCTTAAATGTGTCGTCACAAAAAACATTTCCAGAACTTTTGAATTTTGACCACATTACATAAAAAACTCCATAAAATACTTCCGAATATGCAATATCCGGTCAGAAACTGGGTGAGATATTGCCAATAAAAGATTTGAAATTTTCGAACAGAACATAATTTGGCTCTGTTCATGAATTTATGACCAAAGACTAAATTACAGAAGGGTTTGATGGGGCAAGAACATGTGCTTATCTGGCCTTATCTCTGCCATTTCGTAACATCTTTAACTGATTTTGCATATTTAGAGGTACTTCACAATGCTCTTTTTGGTTTTGGGATGTAAAATCCAAGTTTCAAAAAAAATATTTCAGATTTTTGTTTTCCTGACAGCTGGTCATATTTTTAATGCTACTTGACGAATTGATTCTCGTTACAGATTATGCAGCAGTTTCCAAATGCATTCGAATTCAACAGCAAGTATATTCTGGCCATTGCTGAACACATCAATTCAGGATGGTAAAGTCAAGCTTTGTTTCGTTTTTTTCATTTTTCACTTTCGTTATTCCTCGTCAAATAATCATCACATTTTTTGTTATCCCCACTGTGACAAAAGATCTTCCTTAACTGATATCTTCTTCCTTTACTGATTTTCCTGAACCAGCATCTTCCTCTTTAAAGGATACCTTCCTCCTTAACAGACATCTTCCTCTTCAAATGATACCTTCCTCCTTGACAGGCATTTTCCTCTTTAAATGATATTTTCCTCCTTAACAGACATTTTCCACCCTCATAACATCTTAACAGACATCTTCCATCTTTCCTAACAAACATCTTTAACATGATATCTTCCTCCTTAAATGATATCTTCCTCCTTAAATGATATCTTCCTCCTTAAATGATATCTTCCTCCTTAAATGATATCTTCCTCCTTAAATGACATCTTCCTCCTCAAATGATTTCTTCCTCTTTAAATGATACCTTCCTCCTTAAATGATATCTTCCTCCTTAAATGATTTCTTCCTCCTTAAATGATTTCTCATTCTTTAAATGACATCTTGTCATTATGCCTTCAAATAACCGGCTAAAGTTTCTTTCTTCGATGCCTTGTTGAAAAAACCTCAGAATGGAATGTATTTCTATATTCAATCGTGCACCCACTTCAAACATTAGATGTCACCGTGAAGGCCAGTTAACACTGTGAATTCGATTCATCTGTATTGCAAAGCAGTTTGTATCTTTTTTTTCCGCAAATGTTTTCTAGAATACCCAAAAAACAAAGGGAATTTTGCCATGCTCACTTTTAGGCACATAAATGAATCTTATCACATTTGCCATTTGTTCCTCCATGGCCAAGATAGCTTGATACAGATATCAATGAAGTCTCATATTTTCCGTGATGAATCTGGTCGCAAGCTTTTCAAAATATTCGATATTTTTAATTAGCTACGCGTACAATCACTTTACCCTTCTTCCCCATTCTATCTCCCATTTCTCTTTGAATCTTTCACTGAAATGTTTCAGTAGCTCACATTTGCTCTAAAAATTCTCATTATTACCCTTTCATAGACCAATCAGTTTCGATTAGAGTCTTGTTAGCCTTCTTGATTTTATAGTCCAGAAAATTTTTATTGTTCCTAGATATTGCTACAATGTTTGCCAGGTACACTAAGCCAAAATTTCGCATAACTTCAGTAGCATCCCCCTCTCCCCCTTGAAAAAATATTGAATAACAACAGTTTCAGAGCTTGAAGTTCAACCAATGTAACTCTATCAGCTAGGGTAAGTAATAGGCTTTTTAACCAACTTGTTTAGGGTAGGGGCGGGGGATATTTCTGTATCTTACAGCCGGACAATTTTATTTCCTAAAATCTTTCATTGACCGCAGTGTGTTTCGAGGACTTTTGTCAAAAATTGTAGGTCTACATTCTACACGAGTAGCTTTTCGTCGACACCTTTGAATAATACAGCTTTTTTATTGCAGGTTTGGGAATTTTCTCTGCAACAGTGTCCAGGAGCGTGACTCAAAAGATATTATGAGAACAACTGTTTCACTGTGGGCGCATCTCGATGCAGCTCGCCAGTCGATGATTAATGAAGCCTACCAACAAGTGAATGACGTAAGGAACAATTCAAAATCACATTTTATTTTGACATTTTATTTTGCAAAAAACTATAATGGCGACATGTTTCGGATTATTGGTAAAGCCCGATCGTCGTTCCACCTAGCAGTTTTAGAATCTATCTACATAAGCACGAAAAACCCGCTAGTGTGTAGACAAAAGAAGTTCGTTTTCACCTAAGGACTCCACTGGTAACATTCTAATAGGCAAGCGGCACTGATTGGCCAACCTATACAGTCATGTGCTCGTGTTTCTGATTGGCCTATTTCGATCCACAACTGGGTATATATATTTCTTAGCGTAGAGTTTTCGATCTATGTTCTGACGTTTTAAACTCTGAAGAGTGTCAGACGAAAAGCTTTAGTTTACTAAATGTTTGCTTTTTTCAAAGCCATTTACATTGATTCTATATCTGTTTTTATGCAGTTAAGACCCGTTATAAATTCGCATAGGATATTTACTTCATATGGTCAAAGTAATCGTCCAACGTAAGATTCGAAGAAAAGGAATCTTAGAAAATAAAGTCTATTTATTTCAGAAATAAAAGACTTTAAAACAAACTTTGATTGCACCTTTTTCAATAACAGACTTCTAAAAACACCGGCCAATTATCTGTCCAATTTTTTTGCTCCTGTCAAAGCCTTGTTAAAGCTACTGGCGTACAACTAACACATTTCTGGTTACAATAATTCTGGTTTCTCTTGCTTAGACTTTCACTGTAACAATATCATGCAATGTAACATCTACATTTGATATTTTCAATTTTGATCCAAGCCTTTTTTTGCAAAAAACGTTATAAACAGCACGTCTTAGTGACATTTTTGAGTTAAAATGCATGTAAGAAACTGCAAATGCCGGGCATACCTATAACGAATGATATTTTGTCCCAAAAAAGTGTCTTAAACATTATCTCAAAAAAGTGTCTCGATAAAAATTTTCCCAGGTAGTTCAAACCTATTTTCAATAAAAAGTAATTCTGGTTCCACATACGTCCATCACAGAGAGGCTTCATTATGTTTGATTATTTTCGGTGCCTACTCAATGTGTTGGGTGTCTGTTTACTATCCTCTTCAAGTTTATTTTTCTTTTATAGGTGCTCATTCCTGTTTGCAATTTAAGACGCCTTCAATTTTGGCATGAGTATTTTCTCAGATTTGACGAGTTCAATATTGTCCCAGCCTCTGAAGTGCTCGATGAGATTGAAAATGCAGACACTGTGGTGAGTGGAAGATGTGACGCAGATTATTCTCTGATTTAAGAGTTTTTGTGTGACAGTGATGTATCTGGCTTTCTTTAAGAAATTCCATTGTTTTAAATCCATTTTCTGGTGCAAACAGACCTTTTTTGGTAGATCCATGCAAAAAGTAACTGTAGTGGCAGGAGACGTGGGATTGGTAAACATGCTCTTATGATCTTTGTCGCTTCTCTTAGTTCACTATTTTACACCATTCGTCCCTTTGAGCCGCAGACACAATACTGCTTCCAATTTTGCTTTATATCATCTAAAGCTGTGACATAAAAAGTCTGAAGCATTGATATATTTCTTTACTATTTCCGTGTTCACAATCTGTGTTCGGAAATTGACGGCTGTTCTTAGTTTTAACCTAGAATCTTGTCTTGTATCCGAGTCATCAACTGATTAATTGATTCGATAGTGATCCTTTATTGAATGCCTTGTAGAGGCTTGATCATGATATTCATGATGCTTCTTATTCATATCACAGGAAACCGCAGCTAACACAGTGATCTGGGTGCCAGATGACCGGGTGAAAGAATGTCATGACTGCAAACAGAAATTTACCAGCATAAGGCGACGTGTAAGTTATTCTAATTAGCCTTTTCAATAGTTGTAGTTACGGTAGTCTCGAAATACACACTCCCCCATATTTATAAGCCTCTTGAAATTTATAAACCTCGCATGGGGGCTTCATTGAGTTATTGTGCACAGCAGAAATAAATGATTTGTCCATGATGAATCAAATGCTCAATGGAAAACGACAAGTCAGTTAAGTAAGGCATTCCTGAGTATCTGAGACAGGGCTATAGAAACAGCTGGCAAATTAAGGCCTGGTTCAAACGTCGCGCTTCTCATGTGCCGAACCTAACTCGAGAATTAAGTACATGAGGGGCGCGACGTTTGAATTAATTTGGAAACTGATATCGCTCCAAACAGAGTTAGGTTCGGCACATGGGAAGTGCGACGTTTGAACCAGGCCTAAGATAATAATAAAAAACTTGATAAAAGGTCAAAAAGCTTTGAGGATAAGCCATAAGCCATTCAAGTAACTTTTATAAGCCCCTCTTTCAGGGAAGCTTCAATCTAGCAAGATCCCGAATTGATAAGCCCCCATGTGTTGTGAGGATTTACGTTGCCTTTTGGTTGTCTCTTGATGAGGAACTCCACTTGTTCAAGAGAGAAACCTTAAATCAATCTACTTTCAAATTATGTTTTTTGTATTATAAATGAGTTGTTGAAAATGGCTTTGAAAAAAGCAAACATTTTAAAACATACTAAAAGCTTTTTCGTCTGACTCTACTCAGAGCATAAAACGTCAGAATCAGGGTCCGAAAGAACACGATGAAAAATATATACCCAGTTGTGGATCGAAATAGGCCAATCAGAAAAACGCAAGCACAAGACCGGTATAGTTGACCAATCAGTGTCGCGAGCCTAAAGAGAAATTACCACTGGAGTCTAAGAGAGAAAACGAACTCCTTCTGTCTACACAATGGGGGCCTTTTCGTTTGTATGTAGATCGACTCCAAAACTGCTAGATGGAAGGACGACCGGGCTCTGCCAATTATCCGTAGCATGTCGTCATTATAGAGTTTTGCACAATCTGGGTTGTCTAAAAGATGTTGACCGATGGCAGAATCACTTGTTTTAACAGGGTTTCTAGACCTACAAGATCGAGGAGGCTGTTCTCTTTGAGGGGCAGTTTTGTTTCTTATGTTGGAAGGGACATGCTGTTCTATCCTATCCCCCAATCTTTGGGTTGTTCTTAATTTTTCAGAACAGGTTTATTTCAATCTTAGGCTGTTGATAATTGTTGAATTATTTTCAACTAAAATATTTTGTTTTTGTTCTTTTCACAGCATCACTGCAGGTATGGTATTTCATGCTTTTGGAATCGTTCGTTTCATTTAATATGTAGAAAAGGCATTTGATAATTTGAAGCGTTAAATTTCAATTTTACAACCATTCACTTTTGTGCAATTATTTCATTTAGTACAAATCAAGTTAGCAATCATCCGAGTTTCAACCCAAAGGTTTCTTCACCTTACTTTGCCAAACGAGTTCCTGCTTTAGTTGATCTGGCCGAATCTGAAACGAGAAAACAAGTCTAGCTTAACACGAGCGTATCTAATCTGATCTGACCTGATTTGATTTGATCTAGTCCGACCTGAACTGATCTGATCTGATCTGACTTTGATATGAATGCACTCTACTTTTCTGATCTAGCGGGATCTGGTCTCATATACAACATAACTTGATAAGACCTGACTTGACACAATGCTACCTTCCCGACCTGACTTGATCCGACATGACCTGACCATGACATGAGAGGCAATAAGCACTGTGCTCAGTCCAATTGAAAGTAATATTCCTCAATGATTTATCCTCAATATTGAATATTGCAAGACCTTTAGAAAAGTTATTAAATTTTTACAGGGCATGTGGCAATATTTTTTGTGCCGGGTGCACCAGAAATCGTCTACGATTGCCGTATTTGGGTTATCAGCATCCAGAAAGAGTCTGCGATCGCTGTTATGTCAACGTCTCTCGTTACTTAGCAGGAGAGAATGTAAGTTTTCTTGTTTCGATTTTGATTCGTACGATTTGATTTGATTCGATTTACAATGCAAAAAGTCTTTGGGCATCAATGTATTAGAGATTGTATCAACTAAGGCTGAAAGTGTAAGAAACAGCAGCAGTAGTTAGATGTAGAGTTTTTTGTTTTAAATCAAGAACAGCCCCTTTTGGAGGATCGACTGAAATAGGTAATTATTTGTGAAGTTCTTGATACGATTCCAGTTTTTAAAAACCGTGATTTTTTCCAAAGTTGTTTAGTAGATAAAACATTTATTGGTTGAGGAAAGGCTGGCTGAGGAAAAACCCCATTCCCGGCCTCAATGCCAGAAAAAACATTCCTTCTTTTCATTTTTCTAAACGGCGTTCAATGGGTTGTAATATTCATTGAGAAATGAAATATAACCAAGAATAAAATATTAATATAACCGAAATTTTCCTTGAATTTTCACAAACTCTGAAATACATGAATATCTGTGAACACCGTTGACTATTTTTGCATCACTTATTGATCTAAAAATTAGCAATTGTGGCACTATTCCCGTGATCTGCTATAAACTCAACACAACCTCTGTCTCAACAGGAGGATGAATTCGAGGTTATCACTGATCCTGCTCTGCTTGACATGCCTTACACGTGCATGTGATGTTCTTAATCACGAGGAATCTCCTCTGGCAGGATTGCCAGCGAGAGTCTATTTTTTACTTTGGACCGACGTATAACCATACTTATTTTTTATCCTGATGTAAAAATGTTCCGTTATACAATTTTTTAATGGCTTTAAGGTGGGAAATTCGTTAAGGGATAAGGGTATACTCTCATAGTATTATTGTTCGTTTTGTATCTATCTAAGTTATGAGTTGTTAGTGTATATTTTCACAGGCTAACAAGAATTTCGATTTTTATAGTCGTAACATTGAATATGTTATTTATGCATATAGAAGTTCTGATCTGAAAATACATTACACAAACACACCACGGTTGAATTATTTTTTGGTGAAACAGTTTAACAGAAACTAGCTATATCAAACCAATATTTTTTTGACTTGCTGAAATGCTATCAAGTATCCACCATTGTGTTGAAAAAATGGTTTTAAAGCTATCAAGGATTCACAATATTTCGGCTCAAGTAAAACCTTTTCTCAGAAATTCTAATCGACCAACGGTTAATTTTTGTAATGTTTTTTGTAAGGTTTTGATCAGTAATGAATTCACTTTGATGTTAATGTTGTTTTTTAAATAATTGTTGTATATATGTAGATTAGTATTGATTTGTTCAAAGGTGAAATTTAACAAAGAATTGAAATATAATTCCCTTTAAATTAGTTAATACAACGTAACATATTAGCCGTAGTGTATGCAATCTACTGGTATTATAAATTTAGCTTTTTCTTTTTAAATGTTCTGCTCTGCGGCTACTCGACACTTCTGAATTAATGCGAGGCCTACCAAAAGTGAGGTGGATTCTTTTGAGACCCGAACAAGGCTCGGAAAAATTTGGTAACTCTTTTTAATTCCTTATTTCAATTATTTCGATTGAAATCTGAATTCTACCTTATGTTGTCTTGAACAAATTTCAACAGAAATTGAGTAGATTTAATATCCTGGGCCTAAGCATATAACTGCTGTTGTTATCAATCGTTCTAATGACGTCATTATAAAGCCATCCAAGTTACCCAACAGTAGTTGTCCGTTGTGACAGATAAATCGAGATGTTTTTTTCACTCAAAGTCTAAATACATTAAATGGTTCGAAAGCTAACTTGCTAAGTTACATGGTCTCGACGGAGACGCAAATTATATCATACCTTTATTCGAGAGATCCCAAAACTTGACGTACTTGATCCTAAAAATGTTCCTTGTAAAAGATGACAAATGACATACTTTTACATTTTTAGGTAGTAACATGACACTCATGTTAATAATTTGGTTGTTTAGTTTTTTGGTATCAAATCGTTTCAAATGTAACTCGACGGCGTCTTAACTTGCAGATGACTTCGTACTATCTGGTCCTGAAACTGAATGTGTTAAATTCAGTCTGATTTTGTTGACATTTGTTAATTAATCTAAGAGGAGGTTGAATTTAAACTTAGAAAATTCTATTTTATTTTATAATACCTAGAACATCTTATCGTTAATACACACTGTGTTGATACTATTTCACAAAGATATTTTTGGATTAAATTTTTTTCATTGATACCACATTGTCTTTCAAATTTCTTTAACGAGTGAAAGGACTAGAATTTTTCAACAAGACCTTTGGCTCATCCAACAAAAGCAATTGTTGGTTAAATTTTGCAGTTCATAATAGAAGGAAATAGTAGCAATTTGTTAATACAACACTTACGTATTCTTTTCGTTCTCGCAAAAGATCTTTTAAATACGAAGATCTGTCTTCCCAGGACTCCTCTATCCTTTACGTTACCCTTTACCTTATTAGGAACTGATAATGAAAGTTTTAATATATTTATCCTAAAGCCGTTGTTTGCTGCTACAAATTTTCAAAAATATGTCGCAATTTAGTTTTAAAGCTAACGACGCATGTATTTGACTACCTCCTCAAAAGCACCATGCCCCGCCCGACGGTCGTTTGCGTTAGCTTTAGCACGTGAGCAGCAAAAGCCACTGCAGCGCAATCATAAATGAGTTTTTGCTTAGTATTTGTCCCACGTTACCCAAATGTAATACAGTCTCCTGAATATCATCTACTCGTCGACCTTGTCCTAACTTTCTATTCAATTCAATCGGTGTCATCACATCTTAGGCATTTTCGATATCCAATTCAATAGTTGCAATTAAAGTGGGAGAATTATGTCTCATTTGACGCCATATTTTAAGTGATAATGTGACGTCATATTGATTTCCGAAGTGCAGATCACAATTCAAGACGAATCTACGTGAAGGTTGTTTTGATCGTAACGGAGTCGAAAGGAATCTTCCGAATACAAGTGTATTGTTCAGTTTAGTTAAAACAAATCGCAGTTCATCTGTTTTAGCGAATCGCAAGTTTTTGATAGTGGATAACAATACGAGGTTCAATATGATAGTGGATAACAATACGTTGATTGGAGTGGTTGCAGGTTCGGCAACTGCTGCGCTTTGCGGATATGCTTATTATCTGTACCGCGAAAAGAAGAAGAAAGATAATATGCGTGATAAACAATGCCAAGTATACCAGCCAACGGTATGAGATTTTAAATTTATTTTTTCTATCATTGTAGATGTATGACGATCGATTTGTACCCTCTATGGAGTATCATTATGTTACCATAAGGGTTTATATTCACTTCAATGCATTTTATATAATACGCTGAAGGTAGGTCTGTAGTCAACTGAAGAAGATTGAAACAAAAGGAGCAGAAGATGCAGGAAGAAGATCTGAGCTTGCTTGCTAACAATGAAAAAAGAAGTTGAAGAAAAGGCAACGACAAAACAACAGAAGAAATCCTTTTTTACCTTGCTTATTCTTTTTGTCTTGTTATCAAATGATTTGTCTTCTTTCCTATTACTTCAATAATCTGTAAAAATTGTTTATGCAATTAATTTAAACTGTAACTTATTTGAAAATGTAATCTTACTTTTCGGTTGCTTTGAGACTGAAAAGACAATATCGAATTTAGTTTTCAACACAAATGTCTTTGAAGCTCATTCCAATCAACCGAAAGACCTTTTGAATCCCACCCCTGTCACCTTTACCCCTCTTTTGATCATTGAAATCTTGAATTAAATCTCTAACAGTAACTGATCTTAGAATTTGATAGCCATTTTGATATGGCTGTACTTTAGGGAAAGGAAAACATGGTATGATGTCGATTTTTTAATACAGAAACGTCATACTGGTACCCAGTGTCGTCGCATCATCACCTTAAACAAAGAGGTACAATGTCGTCCATTGAAGCTTGATAAGAGAGTACAATTTAGATTGCCAATGGTTTCAACTGCCACACAAGCTGATATGGACTACGAGGCTCAAGGCATGAAAGATGCCTCTTGTCATGTCTCTCTGCAAGAGCTCGGTGTCATGAAGTCAACGGCTTCCCAGACAGAAGGAGCAGATACCCATGCAACATCACTTGACCAGATTGCATCGTCTGAGAGCTTAAAGAGTATGTTATTTCAATTTTTTATTACATTTTGTTAGTATTTTTGATTGAGTACCTTCTCAAAAATTGAAAAAGACTTTATTCTATTATGTTTAGCTTTGATATACATAACATTTCTTGATACCTAGGCTGTAAAAGCGATGTTTTCTACGATGCACGAGAAAGTCGAACTCAAAGCCAAGAAGAGGTTTTAAATTACGAAGAAGTAGTTCCAAGATCATCATCAATTATGGGACACTTGAAGTACATGATGGGACCTTTTCAGTCGTTTGTAGAAGCCAACAGCCAGAATGCAAAGAAAGCTAAGACAGAAGACAGAACTGAAGAAGGATCAGATATGGTAAAAGTCTCTCGATTTCATACCAGATATTTTTTATGAATTCTGTTGTGTTCTATCAGGTACGGGAGAAGTTTTGATGTTCACAGAGCTGATTTAACTAGTGGTTTTGAGTTTAAACAATTGGTAAAAACCAATAAGTTGATTTTCTCATTATCAAAATATTTAAGCCCTTGTGGAGCAGTGGGTTATTTAGGAGTCTAGTTTAGGAGTCTTATTTAGGAGTCTAGGAGTATACAAATTCAGAGATGGCTCTTTGCAAAACTGGTGCGATAAAAAGGCCTTTTCTGAAGCTTTGAAGCACAATCCTGTAACAAAATTAACACATTTCGGATCATTTGAAAACCTGAGGTTTGTTATTCTTCTGCATTCTCAAGTCTCCGAAAACAAGTTGTTTGTAATTTTCATTGAAAAACAATCATTCATTGTACACGTTTTTTCAAGGTGCTGTCAAGATCGCAGAGATCTTCTATTCGAAGCGAAGCTTCTCTTGAAGATGTTATCGAAGTGAGCAAGAATTGACTTTAATTTTTACCTCATGATATTGAGTGAAAAGTTCAATTTAATTTCTTCGTAGCAATATACATTTTATTGAAATTTCAAGTTTCACAAGAAGGCTCTGAAATTCAATTTCATATTTTTGTTAGAGATTTGGGTCTACTAATTCATTAGAGCTCCTTGGAGAAAAAGAACATTTCTGCAAATAAGAATAACCCTCGCTTCACTTCCTCTCTGTTCTCTTCCCTCTTTTCCTCTCCATTTCCTTCCCTCCTTTCTTTTCTCATTCTCTCTTCTCTCCTCATCTCTCTTACCACCTCCTCTCTTCCCCTTCTATCCCTTCCCCTCCCCTCTTTTCTCCTCCTTTCTCTTCTTCTCCTCTTCTCTCTTCTTCTCCTTCTCTCTCTTTTTCTCCTGTATCTTTTTTATTCTTACTTCCCTCTTCTCCTCCCTTCCCCTTTTTACTTCCCTCTCTTTCTATCTCCACATTTCCCCTCCCACACTTCTCCTTCTCGTTCTTCTCCTTCCCTCATTTTCCTCCCCAATTTTACCCTTCTTCCCTCTTTTCATCTCCTCACCTTGCCTTGTTTCTTTTTTCCCTCCTCTCTTCCCTTCCCCCATTCCACTTCCTTAACTCTCCATCTCCTCTCTTTCCTTCCCCTCTCTCTCCCTCCCCTCTCTTTCTTCCAACTTTGATCCTCATGAAACCTTCCGTCTATTATAATTTAAACATCTTTGGAGCTGGATAAGATTTCTTAATCGATTAATGAAAATGTTTAAAGGATGTGTCTTGATGATTATTCTGACACCTGTATTCTTTTCTAGTGCGATTCTGATCACCCCGCAACTCCATTTTGAATACAGTAAGTTCCGTCTTTGTTATGAATTTTTGCTTTGGCTGTCATTTTTATCTCTCTTGTACACACTCTTATCACATAATTTTTGACGAATCTATGAGAGAGAGGTCATTTACACAAGGTCCCAGAAGACCGAGGGCCAGGGGGCTTTGTACCCCACTTTTTTGAAGAAAAAGAAGAATTTGTTTAGGCATACTGATGCAAGTATTTTGATTTTTTCTAGAACTTGTTCGATTAAACTGTTTTTGACACTGTTCTATTAGGAGATTAGAATCTTAATATGAATGAATCCTATAAAAATTTTATTCTTCCTCAGCTGAAAATGTTGTTCAACCTAACATATCATTCCGTTGTGAGAATAAAGAAATTATAAACATTGTTCCATTGAAACTTTTCTTATCAAGCCTCTTTTGTTTTCAGATATGGAGTTGCTGCGCTATTATGGACGCTTGTTTGTAGTTATAAATTTAATTATATTTAAGATAAAAAGTTTTGTTTTGTGTTGAAATAGGCCCAGCCCCGGGAAGTTTCTGGGGATCTCTAATGCAAAAAGAAGGTTTGAAATTACAACCTCTCCCTCACTCCCCCTCCCTATGTTACACAACCCTTGCTGTTACTCTTTCCCAGTTGCATACTGGTTCTCCTTTAACACAAAGCCCTATGGGAGCAGCCCTATTCAAGGTCCCCTTATGTTCTTGTTATCGCTTCTCTTCTAAGCATGACGTCTCTCTGCGGCCTGCTTGGATTCCAGGCTGGTCGCAGTAGATGAGGGCGCTTTTAAGAGAAGCTGAAGACGGCTCATTTGCCTGCCTTGGGTAGTGTCTCTTCTATTCTATCGACCCTCTTTTCTTTCATGGTTTCAAGTATTTCTTTTTTCATTGGAGATCCTTGGCAGCTTCCCGTGCTTTGTTTTTTATCGATATACAAAGCAACTTTTGAAGTTTTTCTGCTTCTCGTCTTCACAGCAGCTAGATTCTTGCTCCAGCTCTCAACTGTTGTCATAAGAAGAAGAGACAGTTTTTTCTATCCATAGCCTACCAAAAATCAGTGACTTCTAAGCCCTTTGCCGTATTTTTTGCTAGAAAAACTCAAGGAAAATAGGCAAAAAAGCAAAGTTGTTATTAAATTTTTCTCTGTGCATTATGCAAAAGATTGGATCATTGCTAGCTAAGGAATTCACGTTTATTCTCTCACAAATACATAGGCTCGTTAGGCTTTAGACAGCTGCCTTTTCTCAATTTTTCAGTAGCAGATACAACTCTAGAAGAACCAAGAAGAAAATTATAGATTTGTTTACCAGGAAATAAACAGAACTTTACCAATCGAGAAGTTGTGGAACTCGAAATTGGTTTGCAAGCAATAATTATGACAGCAGAAAGAAACTATGATGTGACATTAAGACTCCAAGTTAATTCTGCAATTTAAGAACCATAAAACAGGCCTAAAACAAAGGTTAAATGAGGAAAAAATAAAAATATCAGTTGTATTGTGGAATGATTTTGGTCTTTGCAACGAAACACTGTTTATAGATAATTGTCCGTTTTCCCAATGTTTGTAACTCGGTATTTTCGTTCAAGTAGAGTGGAATCCTCTGTTTCTAATGCTTGCGATTCTAAACAAACTACTATTCCCCCACGGAGTGTGTTTTGTGCATGTGCACGAAAATTCTCAAGTAAGACAAACCATCTGCAACATATTGCTTTATAATTGTCCCAGGGGAGCAGCAAATACCCATAATACACTGCTCCTTTGATATTTACGCGGGAAATGTTTCAACGCAAGGAATGTCAGTTGCATGGCTTCCACCGAAGTGTATTTTATTATCGAAATACCTGCAGATTTGTTTTGCTGCTTTTACGATGCTGAGTTTACTAAAATGGTTACCCGAGGCTGCCTTGCAAGTATAACTAGACGTAAGTAGATTCATTAGATATATTTTCTTGCTTCGTGCATGTTTGGAGCTTGCTTCGATGAGTTTAAAAGCACCTTGCCTGACGCAAAGAAATGATTTTGTTTATCACTGCGCTGTGGACTAAAATGAGGTAATTACTGTGTTTGAGATATTTGAACGGCCAAAGATATTTGAAAAGCATTTGAAAATATAAAGGGGTTCGCCCGGTTTGCACGAGGTGGAATTTGGTTAGTTTTGTGGATCTATGTTTGTGTTTTGAGCGAATTCAGAAAGATATTTCGTTTTTTGATAAATTAATTCGCAGCATTACAAAGCACGGACTTGGCCACGGAATACTTTAAAACCAATAACACGGAAAACTGCACGAGCCCTTGGGAAATGTATTCCTTCCAAAAAACGCTGTATGATAACAGCCTCCAGATATTGTTTTGTAGTGAAAATAAATATTTATTGCATTCTTGCAAGGTTGAGCTCAGGCGCGGACTTGCTGGGGGAATGGGGCTGCCATGCTGCAAACCCTTCCCCCCAGTTTTTATGAGATATTTTGTCAATTTTGCTATTATTCGGTAAAAATAATTTTTGCAGGTCAATATTAATAAAAAAACTTCAAATCAATATTAACGCCAAGATTTCACTCTACTTATTATCTTTATCTTTTAAAGATGTAAACCTAATTATGGGCGTTATCGTAATTTTATCTAACAAAATTCAATTATTATCTATCAGCTCCCAATCCTTTCCTCTAAAATCCGTTCCTGGCTACTTTGCTAATTTTTCTTATTTGTTTCATTTAGTTCTGCTTTATAATACTTTCTTGACAATTTTCCTGGTATAAAAGCCTTTATATCTTGAAATAGAATATTTATGATATTATTGTTAAATGATCTGGTTGTGGCCAGTCTTCAAATCGATCAAGATCTGCAAAAAAATATGCATTAGTTTGTGTAAAATGGAGAATGTTTCATGGAGAGAATATACTGAATCTCGCAAAGCTTCAAAGTGTCCCACCGTACAAGCCTTCACCCCCCTCGAATAACAACCTTCCTGAAAGTAAAGTGCATCCCAAACCTGTATTGCCGTCACAATCCACGATTTTAGTCTCTGATAAATTGAATATGCAACAGGAAAAAGAAAAAAGCAAAATATACGAAGCACTTTAACTACAACTTTTCGTCAATATTGTCTTGAAATTATTTCTGAAAACGAAGATAAAAAAGTGAAATTTTTTTAGAAAAATATCTGTTTGTATGGTGAAAGAATTAGCAATCATCTTAAAAATCTTAAAATTGATAAGCTAATTTCGGGATTTAAGTTGTGTGTAAAAAGCAAAATTTCAATGAGAAAGAAAAACTCTTGGCAGATGTTGCAGTGGAACTGTGGGGTTATAATGTGTGTTCTCCATGAGATATTTTCGAAACAACACCCTTTTAGCATCATATTATTGCTGCAGTGTACATTCTAAACCCAAGGAACTCACTTGAACTTTTTATAAACAGGGGGGCCATCCGATAATGAAGGGTAAGAATTTTTCTAAAGATCTTTTGTCTTTTGGGTACTTGATATAACATTATACCTTTTTAATTCTTATGGGTTTAGCTAATGCATAACAATATCAAAGACAAGAATGGAAAAACATGGCGATGATATTTTTGGGAGGGTGAAGAATACGGAGTTTACGACTGACGATTAAGCCAGTTGGAATTTTGTACCGAATTTATAATAAGCCTAAACCTAAAAAACCTTAAAATTATACTGCCGTGTCAATTCAAATCTGAATTAAGAGAGTTCTCAGCATCAGCATTATGGTATTTTTCTCAGATGTAAATAAGCACTGTGATAAGGACTTGGATTTACCAAATACTCTCAAATTTCCGACTTATTAAAAGAGTTTTGAAGATTGAGGAGGGGCTGGGGTGACACCCCTTACACTCCCCATGTAAAAATTGACAGACTTTGACATAAATTAGGGTGTTGCTATAATATATCGAGCCTTGGTCAGAATCTAAGTTGTAATTGGATGCAGGAACGCAACAGGAAGGTGGAAGGCCTGGCCAAACCCAGAGGACAAGAAGGTGGAGCAATTTTTTTTAAATTGGGGTCCCTGAAGATCTAAACATTAAATATGTGATCAATCAAAGAGGACCCAAACCTATTTTTTCCCCAGCAGCCCTGGATAGCTTTTTGCGCCACTGATTGGATGTGTTCGGTTATATTGTTCTGGGCTTTTTCTTGACGGTTTGGATTTTGCCTATCTTCAGTAGTGTAAACAATAAAGGAATAAGAAGGTCCCCAACATAATCAAACTATATGTTTTTAGTTCTAGCTTGAACTTAACCCTCAGTGCTGTCATCAAGCATAGAGTTAAACTGAACATGTTTTGAAACTACGTAGTTTTTGAAGACTTCCTATCTGATTCCACCATTCTCTTTGAGCGCATTTTGATATTTATTTCTTGGAAATCAAATCAGGCTTCCATTAATACTGTCAGAGGTTCCGTCAGCTCTTTGCAGCTCCGCCGTTACATTGCTAGCTGCATTTTGTTTTAAATTCATTAGTGAAGAGCTGAGTGTATTAATTAACAAACGTTAGTGTCGCGACTGTTCTTGTCTCGTGCAGCTATCAGACACGAAAAGCCTCACTATCTTCTTAATAATGTAAAGCTAACCAAACAAAGTATGGCCAAATTTCGAGATTTCAATGATAAGCTTTACGTTATACGAATTTACAAACTTAGTTTTCTCGAGGTTGTGAAAATGGAATTATGTTTTAAACCATCGTTGGCCGCAAAGCGTAGATTTTAGTAAACAGCGAACACACGCTCTTGCAAGAGGGAAGACTTTTTATAAGAACAGGATTAGTTGTTTAACAATTGATTTCCATTTAATGAAAATGCTGATGTATTGGTTCTGTTTGAATACCTGCAATGATCGATTTATCAGCACGCTTAATCGGGAAAAATAGCAGGGTTTGAAGCGACAAACAAAGACATTACTGAACTCGGAGACTCTGGTTTGTGACCACAGGTTTTTGAATCACGATGAAATATTACTTATTTCAAATCAAATTTGATACAACGGAGACAAGATGTTATTAGTGTTTGAAGACATTGATGACAATATTACGTCGAAGAAGATTCTCCAGTCCTAATCGATCGCAAAAGTTCTGTCTCTACAAATGTGTGCTTCAACATATGCAGAACAGGATTCTTCCGTGCCAATCTTGGTCCTTGTATAAGTTGCTTGAAAGTTTGGAGACATACCAACTGTCAACTGACCAATGCTTTTAAGGGTCTACAAAATATCTTGTTGTTGACCTTTTCTGGCACTGATGATAGTCATGGAACGCAGCCATGTGACATAGAAGACTGGCCCAGAAACAGATGAAGATCAATATCAGTGAAAGAGATACGCTGTTTCATAATCGTATAGAATGATTTTCTACTTATCTTCTTCCATCAATGTCATCTGGGTAATTGTTTGAGCTGAGTTGATAAGAAATTTCAAGCAAGTATTTGTTTAAATAAGGATTGGCTCATAAAAAGTGTTCTGGACGAAGCTGAAAATCCATAACACAGTCTCGTAGAAGTGGCATCATGACATATCTGACAATGTTAAGTTGTGAAGAGCCCAACATAATTTTGCCGCGAAGCCGATCTATTAACGTGTAGTTAATATAGAAAGAGCAAAGATATTCTGCAGAGAAATTCTGTCAATTTTTTCATTCCTCTGAGACGAAATTACGAAAGAGAGGATTCATGTCACTGGTGGTATGAATGTTGATCAATTTTTTAATCTCTTGCAAGTCAATTTACAGAAATCTTCTTCTCCATGCACGTGACACCGAATGTTCGAGTGCTCATCTTTGAAATAATAACAGTACTGCATAGGGAGGCAATTCGAAGAACAGACAGAAGAACATTTTTGTGAGTTTTGAAGGTGGCAGTCTCACACGACATTGGACCTTAATATTTGTGATATAAAGAGTATCGAGAAAGCATTTGTATCATTAGTTGCAACTAAATTGGTTTGCAGACGCTGTAAACATATAACGAAACTTTTAGTCATGAAAACAAAGTGAACGAATATGTAAGTCGGGGTTTTATAACTCTAACAACAAAATACAGTCAAATTGGATGGAGACTAAGATCAATCGAGACAAAAAGAAAGCCTCTTCTCTAATCACATTCTGATTGGAAGAATCTAGTTCGAAAAAGTCTCAGTACTTATTCCATTAAAGAAATGGTTGCGGAGCGGAAGATGCAGTGAGAAATTGTGCAAAATTGAGCAAAGTAAGAGGTATGAATACCAGTGGCAATTCAGATGCAAGTAAAAGTGATGCAGGTTATGTAAAAGATGACGATGCAAATGAAATAGATGATGACTGTTTACTTAATGCTTCTTTCGAAAATGCGGCCTCAAAAAAGGAAGAACAGGGGCCAAATTCCACATGCGTAGATGGAATGTCTGATCAGTACCTTTATGAAGTTCAAAAGAAAAAAGAGAAGGATCGACATCCAACAGTTAGTAGCATCAGAAGGCGTCGTCCTCTGCGATCGAGGGAAGGTGACCTTGAGACATTATGCGAAGCATCAGAGAGAGAGGGTGAAAGAAAGGCATCTACTGAAGAAGCATTGCTTGATCAGACTGTCAAGACAGTTTGTGAGAAAAATGACCATGGCTCAAAACCGAGTTTTGATAAGGGACAAATTAAAGCAGCCTTTAATGCTAAACTTCCTTCACTACATTCAGATAGCAATGTGGCTACGAAAATACACATTAACAAAGACAATGACGAAATTATTTTCCCGTCTATTACTGAATCAAACCATACTGGAAAAACAGAGGTACACGATACCTCGATAGAGCACAGCAGCAAACCTGTGAGAAAGAAAGGTTTGGTTGTGAGACCATCTGAGAATGAGCTTGATGTAAATATGAACACTTCAAGTGGAGAGAAGCATAAAGAAGAATGTGTATCAAATTCGTCTTCAAAATACAGTGCTACAAAAGGAAAAGAAGCAGGACATCTAGAGAGAATAGCGAGTACAGAAAGTGATAAATCCTTCACATTAATTGATGAGTTTTTGGTGAAAGAGGATAATGATGATGACCTTAGCAGAAAACTGAGCAACGCGTCAAAGGATAAGAGGAGCGAGTATTCAAACTGCGTAGAAGAGTGTTTGATGGACTGGAGAAGACGAGGTTCCAAGAAATCTAAAGGACAGCTGAAAGACGGGAAGTTACTTGATGGCTATAGTAGATCAAAAGATAAGAGCAATTTGGCTAGAAAACACAGTGATAAGAATGGTGCTGGAAAGGGAGGCTTGAAGGAGCAAAGAAAAGGGAGTAATAAAGATGCTTCTAAAAGGAAAAAGAAGTCGTCTAGAGACGAGGGAAGTATTGAAGAGGAAATTTTAAGGGAGATAATGGAGAAAGAGTGTAAAGAGATGTTGGATTTAAGAAAAGAAGAGAAACGGAGTGTTGGCAGTAAAGATGGGGTTGAAGGTTATCCTAGGAGGAAGACGTCAATATATGCAAGAGGAAACATAATGGAGTTAGCAGCTGCGATCAAGGACGAAAACTCAAGGTTAGTGATCGATCGGCACCACTTAGCTGTGCTAGGACTTGCTGGTGAGCCAGAGTTCGAAGGTAAAGGTCAAGGTAAATATCATAGTGGGATGTCTCTAAAACGCAGTCGGAAATTCTCTAGAGCGAGTGAGACACCAATTGCTATTCATAATTATCTCCTGAACGAAGGCTCGAAGAGTCGTATGGAGGGGAAAGGGCATCGAATGCGCAAGTTTTCGATCATGTCTCTGCCTACCGACCCAAGATCCATGACTCCTCGTTCAAAGAAGCTTTTTAGCTTAAATTTTGAAAATACGATTATATTTAGATACAGTGAACGGCCATTTAGTTGTCTGGTTGATGCAGAATGCTGCTATAGATCTCAGACTTCAAAAGAGCAAGTTGATCATCATAGGTCTCGTCATTCCTCGAAGCTCCCTTATGTTTGTGTAATATGCTTCGAACAAGGATCGAGAATGGCCTTTGAAACCAAAGGTGACTTAGAAAACCACGAGAAAACGATTCAACATGAGCAGCAAAGAGACCGTAACTGGTAGGGCAAGTCCCTTACGTAGCAAATCTATGCGAAAAAATATCGTACTTAGTAGCAAAAAGGTATGATAACGACGATAGTAACTTCATCAGAAAAGTCTAGAATGTTCATATAAACTCCAGCCCCCTGCCTTCTCTATGAAGGCTATATAGAAGGCTAGAGTTCCCCAAAAATCTTGCATGCACAATTACATAACTGAATCTAAAAGGTTTCGATAGTGTCCCCACTCTTTTTACGGCCCCACTTTGCCCTGATATCAGGGGCGGACTGGCTGGTCGGGCTATTCGGGCGATCGCCCGAAGGGCCGGTCGGTTTAAGGGCCGGTTGATAAAAGTGCAAAAAAATAAATTGGTTTAAAAAGTGATTGCGAGGCGAAAAAAATATACCCATGCGTTGATCTGTTTGCCTTGAATTTCCAGAGACCTTGTGGAAAAGAATAAATATACACGCGAGTACTTCAAAACCATCAAAATTATGAATTCATTATTGTCACCGCAGCCCAGAGACTTCTTCAGGAAACGTATTATTGATCAGGAAACGGATTATTGACTAGAGTTCACTACGCAATTTGCTCTGTGATGTGTAGTAATGAAGAGGACATACGTAGAACAAGGGAAGAGCAAGAAGACTTCAACCAAAGGTGGTGCACAGAAATTTCGTAAGGAAAAGCTGCGAGACTCCAGCTACGATACAAAGCTTTTTTTATCAAGCAAAAGCCACAAACGTCACAAAAAATAGCAGGGTCTTGCTTTTGCTCCTTTCAATAAACTCATACAAGTTATGGTAAATTTATTAGGCATATACTATCTTAAGTCAAATGGACCCCCGCCCAACAGGGGTATGGTGCTACACGATAAAATTTCAACTGGGGTCAGAAATTGACAAATCGATATTTTTGGGCTGCTGAAAATCATTGTGGTTTTCCGGAGGATTAGAAAATTATTTGTCACAAGTTGAGTGTGATAGAAGCTTTTCCACTTTAAATATATAAAGAACAGATTACGTGGTAATTTTTCGCAGCCAAACCTGGAGTCCTTCATGTTAATGTTCTTAGAAAAACACCTGTTAGATGACATCTAGAACGATCACATTATCAACATATAAGTTACTGTATTTAGAAAGAAAGTCAAACCAATGAGTTCAAATTTTTGTTTATTTACTATTTAGTCAGGAAATGACATATTTAACATGTTCTGTTAACCAGCATTCATCCATGCACAAAATTACTGAATTTAAAAACTTGTTTTCCTTACAGACTAACATTTACTTGCATTTTCCGTGTAGCTTTTTATTTGCTATCTTTGTGGGCCGGTTTGATCATAATTTGCCCGGGCCAAAAAAATTAGCCAGTCCGCCCCTGCCTGATATGACATCTTTAGCTTTCTGCTGGTACATTCACCATTACATATCAAGCTACTTAGGCCCCCGTTATCTCCACTCTTGGGTTGAAGAAATAAAGTGTATTTTATTTTGGCTCAGCTAATGAAGTTTCGACATGCAATATTTGTCCTTCATGTCGTTGCATAGTTTAAAAAGAAATGTTGGCCTTTTGGCAATGCACAAATGTCCAATAGCTTCGAATTTCCACCATCTTGATATTCGAAAGAATTCATCGACTCTAAACGGAACTTGATTTCAAACTAGAACAACTACCAAAACAACATCCTGCCAGAAATGGCATTAAATCACTAAATTTTTAAGCAATCTGAACCTTGTACCTCACTCTTAGAATATTCAATAAAAGTCTTGCTTCTAAAAAATTTGCTTAAAGAGGACGTTTTAACATTTTATCCAAAGTTTCTTTATGTTAGTTTAATCAGTATGCATCACAAATTGCTACAATAAATAAATATCAATGATTTTGAAACAATGCGAGTTGGTCTTCAGTGATTCAAAAAAAATAATTGATGAATTTGCAGCAGATTTACGCTCATGTTTATTTGGGTGTATTCTTAGATGTTGATTGAATAGAACGATGAATTAAAGCATTCATAAAAATCTAATTTAGAGCTTTCAAATTTTGACTTTATATTCTGAAATACTTTACAGATTGACGCCGAAAAATTAGTATAATCTATGCAAAATGAGCTCATCAAATCCCTTCAATTTAATCTTGATTTTTAATTTTTAGAATCAAGCTAAAACTAGAATGATCCTTTTGTAAATACCCAATCTCTCAATGACCATATCTCAGCCAATTTGTAACTGATGTTGTAACTGATTCTGCAAATTTTGCGGTATGTTAAAGCGTTCTTTCAAGATAGGCCAGTTTTCTGAAGGTCACATTAAGCACGAACTCGAAGTTAACAGATAAGAAATCGCTGCTCTATTAACTAAAGTGCTATTTAGGCTAAAGTGCAAATGATTTTTATGATGCCTTTTCCCATTCTGTTAGATTCGACTATCATTTTAGAGATGGGGCATACAAACTAACAAGTATCGATACAAGGATAGGGCCCAAAGAAAATCTATCATTGAATAAAAGTGGGGTCTCTTTTCTCTTTCCAGATCGCATTCGTCTACTGAATTTGAGTAGTTCATATTCATTTAGCACATCGAAATGCAATTTAGGGTATGCTTTCAGTTGATCGTTTATGGCAAAGATGTGTCCTGCCTAATGGTCCTTATTTTGTTAGTAGCCGTAAAATTAAAGGAATTTCCTTTGGACTTACATTTACCGACCCTTTCTCAAGATTTCAGTTCTTTATGCTCTTGACTGTATTACTGTTCTAAAGCAAGCATTAGAAACAACTATGAACCACCCCTATGCAGTGAATTTTTATAAATTTTCAACTTGTTTTGATATAACCGCTACTGTAAATGAGGTGTATGCCTTCACTGTGGAAGCGTTTACGTTTTCTACACAATTCCTTTCCATTGTAACGAAGAAGAGGTTTGTCCGTCGTTTATCGTCTCCATTCTAAGGCAGTGCCCTTCAACAGTAGTCATTCGTCGCCTAGTCTCATTCTACCTCACAGTGTTCTACTTCATTACGTAATCCTAGCTTGCACAATAAGATTTTTCAAGCCAGTTTAAAACCATATTGGTGGCGTCAAATTCAGTTGTTCTCGAGTCATTCTAACTCTTTGCTTATAAATCAGAAAAAATGTCAAATCATATTATCCATCCATTTAGTGGGCTATTATCAAACAAGTTTAACCAAGCCCCACCCGAGATTTAATGAAACAGTAAATCAAATGTATACGATGTATAGACACACAGGCTGACTTTTCCCAGGACGATGTAAACTTTAAAGTCAATGTATTTGCATTCAGTTGAGCCAACATTTTAATAGACAATGTTTAATCATATGGTTTAATAGATCATAGGTTGCTTCAATAGTAAGTGTGAAATGTGCCTTAACTTACTGTGTTGCTGTGCTGAATCATTGCATGCCACCAACTTGGAAATTTCTTTCAGCATTGCTGTAGCCCTTGCACGGGGATGCTAAAACTATAAACACTTCTGTGCAAGGGTTGTTAGAAAACGAACAAGGAATTGAATGGGTATATTTTCGTGGTTTTCCAAGTCCTAAACAAGGCATGATCAGAGACGCAGGGGAGGGCGTCATTCACCCCTTTGATTGGGGGCAAGGGGATCAAAGTGCTCTTTTCATAAAAGCGTCCTTGACATTGGGTTTGTAATTATCGAAGAGATTTATGCAAAATTCTGATTGTAGGGCCTTATTCGTGGCCACATTTCTTCAAACTTATAAAATAAATTCTTATGCCACTTACTCATTTTCAAGATATCTAATTATCGAAATAAAATGACAATTATGAAAGAATTCTTAGAAGTTGGAAATTTCTTTCAAATGATCTTTTACTGAAGCCCTGTCCTTCCAGCATCCCTGAGCATGATACTCAAGACATATACAATGAAAAATTACTTTTTAGACAAACATGCATTTATCGTTTTCTTTGGTGGACGGTGGAGGAAATACAAGAAATTTTTAAAGGCGAGAAATTTCCCCAAAAATTTAATTCTTAAAAAAATTTGCTGATAGAATAAACGACAATACTTCTGTGAAAAAGTTACACGGGAAACTCGAAGATTACTAAGTTTTATTTTTAAACCAATTTTGTGTGTATTAGATGTCTGCAGAAGCTTGTCTTTGACATGCTGTATAAGATCAATTAAAGGGTAGATATTGTGAATGAAAAATATAATGAGTTAGAACTCTTGAAATTATCCCTAACATTAGTAAAGTTTAAAATTCATTTATTTCTCATAAAGGTGTGTTTGCCACTACATCTTACAGTCAGAGAGGGTTGCAAGACAGGGGTGTAGTGCTAAAGGACTGAGCCCCCTTGTTAATGCAAAAATTAGCCAATTTCTAATTTTGCTATTGTTTTTAGCAAAATTATGTTCAGCAGCCCCCCTTGTTATTTGGATAGCACTACACCGGTGTTGCAGTTAGTTAGGTAACATGTAGTTGAAAAACAACATTGGGGCAGGAGCATAACATAACAAAAGTATAGAAAATCAGGAAACATTTCTTTATGGACTAGTTTCTTCTCTCTATTGGTTGTAATATAGTTTGTTAGTTTCAATTTCTTAAAAAAATTTATGCCTAAGACTTTGAAATCTGAATATGGTACCATATACTGTGTTTGACTGCTCACACATACAAATCATTGGTATTGGATATACCCCGTTAAGATTTAATGTTTGATATTCAGGATTTTCAACAGTTCAGGATTCAGAAAACATTGTATATCTATTTGATTTGGATATCAATTTCAATCAGAGCTACTGAATCCTAAAAAGGCTATCTAGCATTTTCTATATCTGAGTAGATTTTAACAAGGAAACTGAAATTGTGTACGATTATGACTGTCAGTAATTAGATGCCACACTTCTAAGTAAATAATTAGCCTAACAACTCAACTTCAACTTAAATACATACAAATCTTCAAGACAGAGAAAGGCAAATGCATTTCTTTTTACATGTATGTTCCTTTCTTTAAACATTTAAATATAGAATTCAAACCCAAGTTGGAATCTGCAAACAACTTGTCTTAAGACACAAAGAATACCCTTTGCCTTTCCTTTGGTTGCACTATTAGACAAAACTAGAAGTAAAAAATACTTTTCAAAAATATGGCTTGAAGTTCTGTTTCCTTTGATTTAAATACAGCGATTTGGGTTGAGAAAAATAAGCCTCTGTTGTCCTGACATTTCAATCATACTCTGAACCAATTGTTATGCTCATGTTCTGGCCAACAATATCAGTCTGGTGAAACCATTTGTTTGTATCCAAGATTACTAAAAGTGGAAGAAAGAATATAAATTTCAAGGTTTTTTCAAACCTGAAAAAATCCTGGAAGAATTTAACCTAATACTTAAATAGGATTTAACCTAATACTATCCTAAGAAAATTTAAGTAAGATATAAAGTACATAATTATATTTGAGCATGATTAATAAACATTGTTTTTATATACAGAAGTGTTGCTATAACAAAACAGAAGTTAAAAAAATGTTTAACTCAGAGGTGAAAGGTAATTACTAGGCAGATTATAATATCCAATAAACATGAAAATAAACTTCAATTTTTCCTGTTTACATACTTTGTAAAATTTTAATCATTAGAATTAGGAAAGTTTGATCCAACCTAATAAAGGTTTTCTCAAATAGATTGAGCATTTCCAGGTTTTACAGCAAAAGAAGAAATTAAAGAACATCCCTAGAATTTCTTCAAATCAGGCAATAACAACTAGAAGTTAATGCTGTTAAGGAATATTTTTCATCTTAAGCAGAGCTAAAACAAATAAAACAGTTGAAAATAATGCCAACTGAAATCTTCAGAATGTCTAACAATATTTGTACTTTTCAGGTTGGTAGTTCTGGTACTATCATATTGTAACTTTCCTCGTGGAAGGTGGTTCCCTCTCTATAGAGAGTTCTTCAATCTTCAATCTTCAATAGTTAACTCCTAAAGGCTTTACAACCAATCTGGAGTAAAATAAATAAAAAAAAAAAAAACAAATTTTTTTTTCAAATTTTGCAAAAGGAAAATTAACTTAGGAGTAGGATTAATACAATTTCCACCCAGCGCTCCAGCTTGTTAATTTCTACAAAATGTTGCATTGAATATCTGGACAACCAGGTACCCACTTCACCAACCAGGTACCCACTTTAATAACATATTGAGTATGTTCCTTCAATAGCTCATTTCGCAAAGAAATGACAACATTTTGCATACTTACTTATATCACCTGGATTTACAACAACTTTGAATGCACCAGGACATTTGTAGTAGCATTCAGGTGGTGGTTCAATTGTCCAGATTTTAGTGCCTTGAATTTGTGCTTGCCATGAAGGGTATTTCACATTGTCAATCTAGAAACAAAAATAAAATTTTATTTTTGCCCACAATTCAGCAGCAAAAGATTCTGATTTATGGATAATTTTTTATGTTATTTCATATTTCAGTTTCATTTCTAGTTAATATAACTAAAAACTGGTTATTTTGACTACTGTAGATTTGGTTTATATCTAACTGCTATTATTTATATCTAGTATATATCTAAGAAAAGATGGAATCTAAATATAACTAAATAACATGACAATGATTTAATATTCTTGAATGTTTCTACAGAAAATAGGTCATAGGTGTCTTTCATAGATTTTTCTCATTCCAAAAAACCAGTAGATTGTAATTTTGATTAAAATTGATAATGGTGATGGTAGGATGATTGGTGATGATAGGATGATTGGTGATGATAGGATGATTAGTGATTATGATGATTGGTGATTATGATGCAACATCTAATCACATATGAAAGAGTGCTTACATGCATGTGAGCACCATATCCTGGGGTTCCCATGAAAATCCAATCAGTTTTACTGGATTCAATTTCATCTGAGAAGAAGTATGGTCGCTTGTAATATTTTCTCAATGTGGAGGCAGCTTTTGGATCACAATTACTCCTGAAATGAAAAAAATAGCATATATATATATATATTATAATAGATTAAATAAAAACTTATATATATATATCATACTATGTATAATATATATTACTTTAAATAAATGATATAAGTTCATATCATGCAATTATTGAGTTCGGTAATGTATATATCAAAAAATTGTTCTTACATAAAGACCTGGTTTCAGACTGATACCCCTTTTAGAGAACAATCTGTTTGACTTAGCCTTTTTCTTTCTTTGGTTTTCCAAGATAAATTTGGATGAGGGACAAGAAATACTATCTTCTTAGCCAATATTACATGCTGGAAGGATGCAAGAGTAAAATGTAAGATTCAATAGAGAAAAGAAACATGCATCAATACTAATCTATACATACCATCCAATATACCATGGCTTCCCTTCCATTTTTTGCATCTTTTTTGGCATGGTGAAAACTTCCTTCATAGTATTAAAATCTGTGTTATATCTGAAAAACTGGCAATCCTTGCTTGCACTCTCTAAAACCGGGCTATTCTTCCCATAAACTTTTTTGAAAAAACCAAGACTGAAAAATTTGGAGGCAGACCAATCTTTAGTACCATCTGTCACAATGGTCACTCTCCCAGAATAACCATACTTGTCTTTGAACTCTTCTGCTGTCAAGTTTGCAACCCTGTCTTCCTTGTGGATTCCTTCACAAAAACTGCAATCCAGTGGTGGCCGAAACACATCTAGCATTATTTCTGTAGTGGGTAACAAACATTGCTCTTGTTCAAGATCCATTGGAATAACATGGTTCACCCACAGCTTTGCAAACCATTTTCCACTGACCAATTTGTAAGCATAAGCTAGAAAACAGTACAAATGTAATCAGAAACTCAAGGATTAAGCATTTCAAGATGGCACGCAAAGGGAAAAAATAGCATATTTGAGTACTTTAGTGTGCTATTTTTCTCTTTCCAGTACCGTCTTTAAATTTTGTGTTGCCATAGGCTAACTTGACAACATGCAACATTATGGGATCCATTTTGAAAAAAATTGGACAATGCGTTTTCTGGATGCTTCAAACTTTGAAAAAAAGGTACATAGAGCATAGAAAATGTCCATGATTGGGTTGTAAAATATTAAAGGCTTGTAATCATAACAAAAATCGTTCCCTTATCTTTGCAACTTTTGATCTTGATCCTTTATTTTTTTACCACCATTCATATATTGCTGGAATTATCTAGTCTAATTTCCCGCAGTACAGTTGAAATCCCCATAAAAGAGCATGCTTTTATGAGAGCTTGTGACTAAAATTATGTATTTTCTTCAGCAAAATAAAATTTTTCCTGAATACATTCCTCTATAATATAAAACGTCAATGTTTTGCGTTTTAACAAACAATACAGACAAGATCTCTCTTGATTAAAAAATCCACTGTTTAATATTTAATAACAAACAGCTTTATCCCATCCTTCAGTCCACATAAAACCACAATTTGACTCGCCGTGTCAGCAAAATTATATGAAGTTTCTAGGTCAGTATGGAAATCTGACTTAATGTTGAACTAAACCGACTAAGTTGAAAGGATTCGCACATTGGGGCGGAACATATAAAATATTGACATCCCTCGTGCGGAAATCGTTGCCTCAACTGCGCAGGATTCTCCTTTAGCTCGCCTTTTTAAACTTGATCTTTAAACGTCTCGCTAATAGGCTATTTGCGGCATCACATTTTATAAATTCCGGTTCCTTGACATCTTCATTTCAAACAAGAGTTTAGAAATAAATAATTCGTTGAGTATACTATAATATTTATAAGAAACTGCAATCTACCTCCATACAGCGCCCCTGCGATGAGACTGCCAACCAACAGCAGGATGAAAAATGTTTTATACACAATGCGAGTTAGGCTGATCGGCTTTTGGTGCTGTTGGATGACACCTAGATTTAAAATGTCATTATTGTTAAGACCAAGCTGCGATGCTCTCTTCTGCAAGAGTGCAAAACGCTGCCTTGCTTTCGATTTTTCTGCTCCGTCAGCCATCTTCTCACTTTCATTCCCTGTCAATGCTTGGTTTACTTCCTCAACAATCGAATCAAATCCGCAAAATTCTTCCTATTGTCCAGACCCCGAAAAACGCGGACAGCCCGGTCCCAAACAAAACATAACAAAAACCATTCAATCGTGGCAAGCGGAAAGAAGACTTATTTCTGTTGCGAAGTAGAGAGCCAGCCTTCCTAAAAGTTCAGAGAATAATTTTTTTAGATAATGGTCCGAAAATTTAGATGATCGAGGCCAGCAGGGGCGTAGCTAGCGGGGGGAGGGGTGTAGGGGGTTTGACTCCTACCCAATTCTCCAGTCAGTGCAAAAACCCCTGGTTTGTCGGTAAAGTCGTCTTTCAGTAGGTGAAATAGTACCTAAATTTCTCTTCGTCGGTAAATTTCACTACACAAATTTATGACCTGACCCCAAGAGTCTGGTTCTTTTAATTTTTTTTATAATTATATATATACAGGTCGAAATGGCCCTTAATCTACTACAACAAAACAAAAAACTGAAAACTTAGACAATAAAAATGCTATAATGATAGTTATGGGATGAAAATTCACAAGATTAAATACAAAATCATTAATTTACAAGCACAATACAAAAGTTTAGAAAGTACAACACCCTAAATATACAAGAGCAAAATGAGAAACGTTCATTTTTCAAGAAGTATTATAAATTTCACACTTTTACACTATAGCCCCCCCACTTTTGCCAAAAGTGGAAGAAATTTACCAATGTCAAGCCACTTTTTGTTCGGTTTTAGTCCCCCCATTTTTTTAGACCCCCCTAACTTTTCTCAACACTCCGCGGCTCCTGCTAAGTCCTAGTCTGCAAAGCCTACTGCTTGTTTTAAAATCTGGAATAATATCAACATACATATCAAACTTAGAAGTGGTTTTGAATAAAACATAGGTTCATAGTTTTTTCTCATTAATGATGTGGCTTGTAATTTTTTCATGATATTTGAGATGAAGTGAAGCATTACCTTATTTTAACTTGATAATAGGTACGCTATCACAGACATAAATGTGATGCGTTATTAGGAAAGCAAGTTTTGCGCAGCGTTTCGAATTTAAATTATATAATATTGAGAACAAGTTTAATTATGGCCATATGCCTCATAAACATTCAGTTCAGTAAATATTCAGGCAGTCCTTAAACTAAAAACACCTTAGCTTTTGATCTTGGCTGTTTATTTCTTTGCTTACTTCCTTAGCAAGTAAAATCCGTATAGTTTGAATCTTTATCATGTAAAATCACACCAACCTCTATTCCCCGTAAATATTTTCTGTCTTTAATGCCAATTCAAAAGATAAAGTCAAACGAAAGACATATTTTCTTAGATCTGTGGTTTCTCTTTCTACAGTTATTTTGGTTCGTTTTTCCAGTAAATTATAACACTTAACAAAAAATTCCCAGTGCAAAAATTTGTGGTGTTGTAAATCCTTCTTAGAATAAACCCTGTGTATTTTTTCCAAAGTTGGTCACTCATTTTAGCAACAGACCTAACACGAATAGTTCATTATAGGAAAGATCAACTTGTCGAACAAGACCATAAAAAGCTTAGGATTAAAACCATCTCAATTCTTACTTTTAGAAAAAATGTGTGATACGATTTCGAGCCTTTTCTCTAACTGTTTTGACATGATCACCATAGGAGCCATTTGAATTAAAATTGATAGAAAAATCGAATTGATACACGAGTTGCAAGTGTTAGTTAGGGATCTGGAATTCAGGCTAGCAGGGGCCTGATTCTTGAAATGGGAGGCTTTGAGGCCTTAATCTGGTCACTGAAAAAGGAAAAATACCAGGTGTGCAGGAAAACCTTTTGCATCCAATAAACAATTGTTGAAAGCAAACTCTGTCCCATAAAAAGTATGCCAAAATACGGCACAATTATGCCAAAATACACAAGATCTTGTGGTATTTGCGGATAATCATTGTAAGTGAAACACGCTTTTTCTAAGAAAACTCTAATAACAGAGTACGCTGTAGTCACATATTTCTTCTTTATAGATTTCTTTATTTTGATACCCGCTCTCAGAATTTTGATGCAGTCTATAATACCCTGTCGGAAAAAGAATACCCTGTCTCGTGGCAAGTGTCAGGTCAAATATGTGAATAGGATGCCCTTCCCCCCCCTTCGAAATATACTGCAGTTGTTCTTCTGACGTCACTTCTCGGTTCCATTCTTCCACTTTTGTGTTTGAATTCTTGGACTCTTTGTTACCCAAGAGGTCAAAGTTAAAGGATGTTTGACGGGAGAGCTATTTTTCTAGAAACGTACACTCATACACAGTCAATTCCATGTATATTTTACATCAATCAATCACGTGCAAATACATCAAATCAAAATACCACTCAAAATTGACGAAAATAGAGACAGTGAGATCTGAAACATAGGCATGTTGAAGAAAAAGCTGCAAGTATTTAAGATACTATTCTACGTAGGGAAAATGAAACCTGGGGCTCGTGGGGGAAAATGTCATTCAATGTAAACCGAGCTTTTATAAATATCTGGAATTGTTTCATTTTAAACTGGACTTTTTGTACAACGATTCTGGTCAAAATCACAGCACTTTTGGTAAACTGTTCTTGTGTGAAAACCAAAAATAATGTCAATACTCGGGGTATTGCTGCGAGAAAAGCAACTTTCAATTTGCTACTCATTGCCACCCTCTCGACTCCATGGTGATGCAGTCGGATATGGCATGGTATGGAATGGCATGGTATGACATGGCAGGTCATGGTATGGTATGGTTTGTTATGGTATGATTCGGTATGTCAAGCTATGATTTGGAGTAGCTTGGTATGGTGCCATTGTGTTTTGTATAGCATTCTGTTTGTGAGAATTCAGCAGCACAGTGTAATTTGTATAGTAATGGTTGCACAAGAAATGGTAAGACGTGAAATGATGTGGTAGGAAACAGATGATGGTACCTGTTCTTAGACGAAAGAGGTAAAGAATCCAATAAAAGTTATTTTAAGGTATCATTTCAAGATGTTGTGAGGTTGGTTGTTGGTTTGGATAAATTTGCTTTTAATTGCTTTGTTAGCACAGGGCTTTGATGTTCTGAATCTAAGGTACAGCACAAATCGGACCTAACATGGAGTACTGGGACCTTACATGGAGTACTGGCACCATGATCTGATAAAGAGCTGATCTGTGCAACAATTAATACAAGTTTTTTATAAATATCTATAAATATACCAGATAAGAACTCTAGGTTGACAAATTACTGAACATTGAATTTGCCCAATGTAAACTAAAGTCAATAGATTTGATTTGCAATATATCATTTAAAACAATATATCATGGTTAAGTTTAAACTTCTGACGCCAACATAAAATCATATTAGTAAAAAAGTCTTTCAAACGTTCGATTTCAGACCAAAAGATGGTGCATATCAATTTGTTTTACATTTCTAGTTAATCTTTTTATCCACACCATTGGTCAGATGACCATTCTTAATCTGCTTGCCGTTGCTGTGATCTTCAAGCTTCACTTTGCAGTACAAGCGTTGCTTTCGTATGTACGCCTGTAGGTAGAAGTTCCCAAAGAGAAATATGAACGATACCAGGTACAAGTTCAGTGCAGCATACATCCATCCTGGAAAGGGGCAATCGGTGTACCAGGAATGCGTTGAGTGGATCAGGGCGAAAAAGAACTGGAACTGCAAAGAAGAACTTGGGCTGAAAAAACTGACACAGATAAGATTCTATGGGGAAAAGTCAGTGTGGGTAGTATGTAATTCTACACAACCTGCTCTTTCCCTAGCCATAGTTTCTCCAAGCCTGGATACTTTTGCATTAGGGGATCTAAACAAGTAAAACAAAACAAGGGGGTTCAATATTAACTGCTCAATGCTTCATGAAGGACCTAATTCGCCTACTATCAAATGTTTTTCTTTAATTAATCCTTTTACAAGCGATCAAAAAACCTCTCATTAATGCTATAAAAGCCATTCAGCAGTTAGGCAAAAGACAGGCAGCAAAAATCAAATGAACGGAGCCAGGCTAGCAGCCAATTCATCGTTAACTGCATTAAAAGAAAATGTCAATCGATTTTATGCATATGAGTGCAATTGCCGTCTTGCGCAGCTAATATGGCACAATGACTCTAAAAATTACTTGGAGCACCGAGCAATGGGCGTCGTGTTTATATATTTTCCATTTCATTCTCCAAATGTTACTGCTTCCCACGCCCTTTTCACCCCTCAGAACAGTGTTCTTAGTTTGGGCACAAATCATACAAGTCACACAAATAACATAATTCTATATCTTCTACGTCTATTGTAGAAAACCAATTGTTCCCAAGGGATGAATAAAGGCTTACTTTGCTCTTGAAAACTTATGTTAGTGTTCCATAACTTTAGACTGGATTTAAGTCAATGTCTGGAGATCAGCCACCCATCATGACAGTACTCCTTTAATCCATTGCTACAGTTGACAGTCATTCAAAAAGCTAAGTCCTAAATTTATAAGGTTTATCTACCAAAGCAATAAGTTACGGTATAATTAATGACTGTAAACCTATTCAACGTTAAAAAAGAAAAATATCCTTTATGAATGAACAAAACATCGATGAAGCCAGCCTTAAAAAATTTATGGCAAGACGTCGATGAAGCCAGCCTTTAAAAATTAATCCTGTTATTCAGTAGCTAGCCGGCTAGCCTTAAATCATACAGAAATCTGATCTAGAATTACTTACTAGTTGTAACTGAGTCAGGTATTTCTTCCACCATAGATATTTTTGGTATTCAGGCCCAAGTGCTGATAGTCCATAATACATGTACATAACAACATGCACAAATGCATTTATTGGAGCTGCATATGTGGCTAGGATGTACAAAAGGCATTCTATTAAAACAAAGAGGTATGAAATAGAATGGCTTGGATAACACCAAGAAAAACAATGCATACAATATTTACTTTAAAGTATGCAGATATCAGTGGGGTGTGACCAAACAGGGCTTGATTTCAAACGTATATTAAATAGCTGACTGCTACAAAAAACTTTCAATGTACTAACAAGAAATGAATTGTCAATCAGTTTGAAAAACTACTAAACAGGTCATTATTCTAAAGGAATAAGATAATCACTTTCCTATGAAAATAAATGGGCTGGTTACCAGCTAACAAAAAAGACGCCCTGGAATAAAAAATATTATAGGTTTTCCAACAATATTTATCTTCCATGTCCTTCTTTTTGATACAACCAGATTTCAAGACATTAAAAAGAGAGGTGGTTAGTGCAGTTGAGTGCAGAGATGCAAGGTGCAAAAGTGAATCAGCATTTGGCTTATGATCTGCACATACAGGGCAAGAAAAAGAGACTAGCTACCCTATCTCATGACATTTTGACTGAGAACACATGGCCACCTATTTAAGGTCACGTCTGCTACAAAGAATATTTTGTTCCAAGTTATCTTTTATTTAAAGAAAATAGTTCAGGTTTAGATTCTGTATTGAAAGGTATGTTTACTCACATTGGCCTCCAGGAACCCATTTTACTCCAATCCACCACAAAAAGGGCATTGTAGCATGGTGATAGACATGCAGAAAACTGATTTGCTCATCTTTCTTTCTTAGGACAAAGAAAACCTAGAAAAACAGAGAGGAAAAAACTTGAATGAAAGCCAGAGGTAATTAAAATTCTTTTCTGTAATTTGTCCTCTATATCAGTTACCAAAATACAAAAAAGTGTGACATCAGTAATCTTTTTTGCCAAATAAACTCAATATTCACATTTGAGACACTCACAAACCCATATTGGATCAAAATTTTAGTCAGGTACTCTGCTTTATGACACAATAGCACCCACAAAATTTAGGCTCTCTTTCTTTTGTCAGTTCAATGTTATGACAAACAAAGATTGGTGACCACATCTTTATACAGAGCGACTAACATGTTACCTTGACTAGCCAAACTTTTGCGACTTACATGTTACCTTGACTTGAAAAACCTAAAACATCCTAATTCATCATACACTGTCTAAAACATCATAAAAAAACCCTGCAGCAGACTTAGCTGATTATCCAAGGTATCCTTTTGGTTTCAGGATCCAAATTAGACAATTATAACAATATATTTTCCATAGATAAGGCATTTAAAGCAATCAGAGACCTACCGTATCTATGAATTCAATAACTTTTGAAAAGTAATACCACCATACTGCTGCAGCAATCTGCAAGAGAATGGAAAGAATTCATTGCAAAAATCATTGTTTATCACAGCTCTTCCAGGACCAGAGGTTTCTAAAAGTAAAGTTTGCTACTGTCAATATCTTTGTGTATGCCACCTATTGAAGTAAGTCAACTGATATAGACATTGAGATATAGAGAGATATGGTTGAAGGGATAGATAAATTTTAAGGATATTTTATAAATGAATTTAAAAGCAATTCTCCTTCCCCCATTTCAATGTTGCTTAATATAAGTTTCATATTATTTTCAGTAACAATCTACATTTGAACACAAATATTCTAGTGTTTCAAGTTTTTTTGCAAGGGTCATAGGTTAACAAAGACCTTAATGGTACAATTTCTACATTGGTATAATATATGGTATAATCATAAAGTGAAAACTTTGCAAATGGTCAAGAAAACATTGCTTAGCAGATGACGAATACTGAGTGAATGGAAACAGCAAGCCACTTTCCAAGTTCACTGAACTATCTGACTTTACCACTCTATGTTCCAGAATATACCAATAGCAATTTGAAACATAGTCTTCGTAAATCATATTTTAGGACGGAAAATGATTGACTAGATTACTGCAAAAATATTAATTCTTATTAGACTGAGGGGGAAACATTGCATTCTGCTGAAAATTAAACTTGACTGGTGACCAAATAAAACTTTATTGGTGCAAAGCAAAAAATACAAAGAAATGACAAGGTATAGTAACAGAAACATCCATAGTTACCCGTATATGTTTTGGATCCTTATCATAAACAAGAGGTTGACATGGAAAGCTATACCCAGCATCTATGGCCCCAAGGACAAGCTGTAGAAAAATAAGGTTTCACATAAATCAGAATGAGCACTCAACAAACACAGATCTTCATTTATTAACGCCATTGTTCTTAACAAAACCAAAAATTTAGGCAATACCCTTTTTATTGTCAGAAATGGCACTTTTTACTTATGCATCATCACCAAATATTGTCTCAACATATTTAGAAGGATTACAAAATGTATCAAGCTAACAACAAGGGGCATGTCTCCCCCAATATCCCTGTGTGTCCACCATTCTCATAGTGACTAGAAGAAGCTATAAGGGGTCCTGCCACATATAATTAGCCTATACAAAACTGAATTCTCAGAAATTATGAGGGGCCATGGAGGGATAGGCCTATCATATAGGCTTTTCTTTAAAAATACTCTTGATCACATTTTTTAATATAAGAAATACTCCAGATTTAATTGACACATTATTTTTTATATTTTCTTGAAAAAATAGGTAATCAGTGATAACCTTGAATACTGACATTTACTGATAATATTATCAACTTGAATACTGATAATATCAATATTCTTTAATTAAATAAGAAATACGTATTTAATCTCTCACTGAGTGGTGTAAGCTATAAAATCTTTTCCTCTTTTTAGAGCTTCAATGTTGATAAAAATTCGCTTATAGCAAAACATGAAATCATATTGTTTTATCATCCTGGTGATCTACAATATCTCCTCATCCAGGTCAATTTTAGGTGGGATGGTGTCAGAATAAGAGGGGATGTGAACAGGCAGAACAGCTCCCATCTCAACATTGAATGGGAAGGATGAGGAGCTAGGTTGGCTATTTGCAAATTTCTCAGCTTTCTTTGCTATGATTTTTGTAAAATCTAAATTTCAAATTTGATATAGAGATACATTTGGGTAAAAATTAAGTTGGGTTAAAACGAACTAACAATGAATTCTGCTTAACAAAATGTGGCAGTCAGCAGACTATGAACAATATTCCATGTCTCAATTGAAATATTAACTGACTATTGCAACATTTGGATAATTGAAGCGACTACAGAAAGGGTGAAATTGTAGCCATTTTTTACGTTAAAGCAAAAATATTGTTATTGAATTATTCAAATGCTTACCTCCTTGAATATGTAAAAATTCAAGATTGTCAAAGCTACATTGTATAGTACTAATGGGTATTTTAAATTGAATGGTTTCTGATTTTCCATCATCTTTGGACCAATCCATTTCACATACAGCAAATAGACTAGTGTCATTGCTAATGTTGGGACTGGGCTGGAGACAAACAGCCAGTCTGCTGTCCTTTCATCTAAAAGAAGGAACAATTCAGGGTTCCAGGACTTGTACAAACTAGATGCAGCTATTTGGGTATCAAAAATATTTACTTGAGAACAAGATTTTGGTTTTACTTTTACTCATATAAACCAAAATGAACCAACTATAAACTAGTTCTCTTCTCCACACAAAATCCTCCATCAGATGTTTCAAACTCTCTGTCTTTTGGAATCAAGCATTTTGAAGCTAGTGTATGTAAATATGTTAAATCTTAATACATAGACTAAATGGCTTTTTTGCCACAATGTTTATAGTGAATTTGATTATAAAAAGATCAAAAGATCAAATTATGATTTAATATCCAAATGGTTTCTTATTTTTGCATAATTTTATGAACCAAATCTTTTGAACACCTTTAAAGTACTATTTTGAATTGGAGAATCTTAGTCTTACATCTAAGATTTAAATGAATAAATAATGTCAACACAAAAAAGATTAATATTTTTTGACAAAAACACAATGAAACTTTGGAAAAGTCAAGTTTCAGATTATTTGGTATTATACATAAAATAAATAATTAATGCTAAAATGTTTTTAGCTACAAAGATAATTGCAGTTAGGCAGGTAAAACTTCTAAGTTGATTCACAGTCAAGACTAATACTGTCAAAGAAGAATTGAAATCATTGAGTTATCTAAGAATGTTACAATTTAAAGACTTATCTAAACAAACTTAGCATAAACCTCATCAAGATGGAAGGGCACAAGGAAGCAGTTTCAAAATACTCAATAATAATTGGATAAAGCTTACAGACATAATAATATTTGATACAATTATAGGGATGAAAAATCTTATTTTTTTATTCGTGCCTGATCAATTGCATTAACCTCCCTTGTCTTTTAGTAGACCTCTTTTTTCTAATCACAAAACTACTTTTTCAGGTCCATGCAATTTTAAAGGCTAAGCCTAAAACAAGATCCATATCTGAAAGCAAATAAATTAACAGCTGCTTAACTTAGAGGTAGGGTCATAAAGTTGGCCAGCAAGAAAGGGTATTTTAACAAGGCTAAGATATTTTTATGGGTTTTTTTTAAGGGTGCAGAAAACTGCAGTTTCTCACATGTGTGTTTAAATCAATCACACTATGGCAACAGGTTACCATTGAAGCTGGATAAAGTTTTCACACAGATTTGCTCTTACAGGGTTCATTCAGTCCATTGGGGTTAAAGTTCTCTGACTTTCCCACCAACATTTCCTTGAAAAAAGGTACAAGGAGGCATTTCCATTTTTCACATAGATTTGCTTTGCTCATATTCAGAGCAAACAATTTCTAGTCAAGGTTTCCCTGATTTTCTCTAAAAATCTCAGGCTTTACAGTCTCTTTACATATCTTGTTAATCAACTTATTCTCATGTTGGAAAGTTTTATTTCAATTTCCAGTTACTTAAACATGTAAAATGGCAAATATTTAGTAATTAAACTTTGTTCATACAATCAAATATGATAACCAAGTCAGAAAATAGCAAATACCCAATAAATGGTTTGATACCACGTTTTCCAAAGATGGTCAATATGTGTAAAATATCTTCCAATCAACTCTTTAAAAAAACAAACCTTTCATACTGTCCGCCCATTGGATAAAATTTGTTATTTTCCCTACAGTAGTCATTTTCCTAAAATGAGAAATTATACCCTGAATTAATTGTTCAGGGAAAGGGAAATTTTCAATGCATATATACAAATAAAAATGATTTGATGATAAGGTGATAAGATAGATTATTGACATGATAAGGTGATGAAATAGATAAAAACTGACAAAAAATAAGGCAACTGTGTTTTAAAGTTAAAACCATTTGAAGATATCCAACATTTAAGAAAAGAAGACTGCAATCCTGGACAAAAATGGTTCAGAATTTTCAAGGAAAGCCTATATTTTCAATTTCCTTTCAAAAATAACTCCCCCCCCCCTCCCCAATTCAATGTTGAATGCATGATTTTGAAGGAGAAATGATAGAACTAGAAATCCAGCATTGAATCGAGGGGAAAGGGAGGATTGGAATTTTTAGGGGCAAGGTAAAGTAGAAAATTACAAAAATTCCATTTTGTTTCAACATTTTTGTCCGGGATTGTAGCTTTCAGAATTCCTCTAGATGTATAAATTACAGACAGACACGCTCCTACTGATTTTGTATCAAGCTGCTATGAAAAATATTCTATTTTGCAGGGTGTTTGGTTTAAAAAAATTAAAACAAGAAACATGGGTAAGTTTTATTTTACTTCTAGCTATGGCAGCAACTTTAGTTTGCACTACTGATTCATTAAAATAAGCCACGCTTGTGTCATATAATCTTATCACCTGTGTTATTCTTATAAAAAAATGGGTACTCCCCACTTACGAAGATGTCTGTCGATTTTGTGGGAAATAGTGAGGATCCAATTCTATATCTAAACGAATTATGGGCAGCATTGACTGAAATTCGAAGCAAATACTGTGAGATAGATTATTGCTCAGTCAACGCGGGGTTTTCGGTATTACAACTGAAACAGCTGGCCTTCCCTGGAAGAAGACTTGTACCATTGTTCTGAAAGGGGAGTTCCTCATGCCAAATAATTCCCTCGAGTTTAAAGAGGGCTCCTGGCACAGGGCACCAAATTTTGATGCACTCTTTTAAAATTATGGTTAAGCTGTCAAGCTTGGCTATGATGAATTTGATAAAGAAAAAAACGAGAAGCTGGATTGATCCATAACTGAGAGTAAGACAACGATTTGCAGCGTGTGTAGTGTCGTAAAAAATTAACTGTGTTGGGAGCAAGGAGAAAAGTGCAGCTGCATTTTTAGGATCTCGGTTCAACTACATAGCAAGAGAATCTTATCAGCTTTTACAAGCAATTTCTTTTAACAATAAACTCACCTTGTTTGAGCTTTTCCTCAGCAGACAGACTGGTCACGGAATTCCAGTACTAGGCTTTTGATGGTCGAACACAGTTGCCAAAGTTGAACTTTGGACTACCCGCTTTAAGGTGGTACGACATTCTTCGCATCAATTCGGGGGTGTCTAAACTTTTTGAAAAGTGCCGTATTCGGTAACGCGAAAATTGTCCAAGGTCCAGCAGTGTCTACTTGTTTCTTTTAGAAAACAAAAAGTTATCGTGCTGCATTATAATAATTATAACAATGTGAACCACAAACATAACATTTTAACAATTAAAGTGTAGGCAATACAAAACCACTTCTAGCCGCGATTGCCAGTGGACCGGACTTTGGACATATCTGATGCTGGATAAGGAACAAATGATGTCTTGGCTTTCAGCTTGATGAGAACATTTTTTAAGCTTTTCTTTGAATCCACAAAAGCTCAGCGGTTCCTGGGTCACATTTCATTTTACTGCCTGTCAATTATCCTGGACTGGACTCTGCTATTCACGTTTATCGATGATCATGTCCTCCCGATCCCTCTTATCAAGACATCATACCACAAAATAAGAAAATTCTTATTCTTTGAATCAATTGCGGCGTCAGCCACTAGGCTGTGTATGTAGGGGACGGAACAAAACAATTTTAATCCGCGCTCTTTCTACTGTCATAATACTCTATTTTACCAACAGTGAAAGCTAACTTTACCAATAGAGAACGTTTATGCCTAACTAACACAAAGACTGTTCCAGAATTATAGAGCCAGGTCCCAAATGACCTTGCCATGACACTACCATAACACTTAAACCTAATGATGATGATGGTAATGATGGTGATTAAGAATAATCTAACACCAGAATACAAGTCGTATTTAGACAATTGATGCATCACCGTAGAAGGTTAAGCATTCATCAAAATGAGTATCGTCTTTTTAAAAGGCATTTGGCATGCATAAGTATAGCGAATGCAAAAATATCTTAGGCCAAATTGATCAGAGCACGCGCACAAGAAAGGAATTGGAAACTGCTCACGTGAAACCACTGCGCGCTGCTTTAGGATGTCACCGATTTGTAGAAAGGCAGAAACTGTTCACGTGTTTTTCTCTGTGCGCAGTTTGATTGGTCAACCGCTCGTGGTCGAGTGGCCGTAAGCCACTTTTCGCATAAAAGTACATTTACTGATGAACACAAGACGTGCTGTACCGCTGTAGAGGCAAGCTCAACTTCTGATTTAATAAATCAAATCTCATCTATGCTCGAGCCAAAGATTGCTGAGGTGAAGTACAATCTGATTGGCTTACAACAGGGTTGTCCAACCTTATTTCAAGAAGGGCCACTTTCAGAATAACGTAGTAACTGGGGGCCTCTTACATTTTTATGGCTGCATTGTCTGTTTAGCCCCGTTCCGTTTCATATCGTCCCATTCCACGCACGTGTGAACACTTTAAACCGTTCCCCTTAGTGATACGAAAGTGAAAAAGTGTGGAATTGTTCCGTTCCCGTGTGAACAGGTGGAATGATCCGAAAAACAGAATGACTACTAATCTGGCTAAATGCTTGCATTGTTCATATGGAAATACTGATATGCGCACTGGTAAACTCTTGAAATTCTAGCACAAAAAGTAGAACGGAGCGATTGTCTTCCCACGTGAAGAGAAGAAACAATTGGTATGTGATGGTTCCGTCCCCATCTGAACGGTTCATTTCCCTTTGTTCAAACATTTTGAACGCCATTGGTACAGTATGCAATCATTCCCGTTCGAGCCAGGTCTTAATCTGCCTCTGCCATCAGTTTTAACAATTTTTATTTACTATATTTGTGGACTGGCTACCCTTCGACCCACCGGAAAAGCAAGCAAAAGGGCGCCAATAGTTGTTAAAGTTGCTCATTTTTGGTGCTTGTCAAACGGGCCCGGAAAAATTTTGCCTTAATCAGTTTGTTGCAAACACTGTCATAATCCATCCTTAAAACCCTTTGCAATGGACAACAGAATGAGAGAACTAGGCGGGAAACGAAACGGGGGCTCAGGGGCTTGCCCCCGGAAAATTTTTTGAAAACACCCAATTTGAATGTCGGAACATGTCCCATGTTGAAAATCAAAGTGTTTTTATCCACAATCGGCATTGGCATGAAGAAGACTCTCTACGCGGCTGGTAAAATTTGTAGGTGTCAAATGACGTACTGTCCTCGATTTTATGTATCAATGATGATATCAAATGATAGATTTTGAAAGTTGGACTGAAACCCAAAGCTCGTTTTTCAGTTAGCGTGACACTCCCTCCCAAAATTTTATAAAGAAAGCAGCTTCTCTGGCCTAGGAGACAATATTATTTTCGATTAAACTCGATCTCAAAATCTTTAGAAATTTGACGAAATATATGACTACGTTCTCATCAAACGGTAACATAAAATATTTTTGAAAGTTTTGCAGCATATCTTTGAAAAAAAGTAAAGAGGTGCCTCAACACCTTCTAGCCCAATGACTGTGTTGCTTCTGCCTAAACGCTACAGTTACATATCATTTACAAAAGTTATGGTGCCAGTACACCAGCGTGAGCAGGTATTGAACATGTGCCAATATTTTGCTAAAGCCCCCCCCCCAGCCCCCCCCTGCTCTGCGGTGTCTGCAAGGTAGTGCTCAACTAATTCTTTTTCAAAGTGCGAGCCCTCAGTTATTGGATACCAGTAACTAGGATTAATTTGCATTAGCCATAAGATTAGCCATAAGTAAAAAACTAATATGGTTAGTCAGAAGTCATTTGTTTCGCAAAATTATTAGTCATCAGTCAATTGGCAAATAGTCTGCTAGTTAGCTAGTGAAAATAATCCCTGCTACCCCCCCCCCAACAGAAATTGAATTAATTAAAGTATTGTGCACTTGCTTGAAAAAATTACAAGCTAACCAAAATTAAAAGACGTTGTATACGAGGTTGTATACCAAAATTAAACGGAGTTTCGGACAAAAAAGCTGCTAGTATGTTTAAAATATTTGCTTTTTTCAAAGTCATTTTCAAAGCAAAATATGTTCTTTACAAGGTTTTTAGAAAATTTTGCAGAATTTGCAGATTGGGAAACTTTGCAATCAATCTTAATATTGCTCAACTTAAAGGTGAAGCTAAACTTTTTATGGAAACGTACTTTGGACAATTGATGATTGTAATCAATTTTAGTTCTGTGCGAAGATTAGTTGCCTTTTGAAAGTTTTCATGTTTTTGAAAAGAATAACTTGGGGCAGAGGGCGCACCGGGAAATTTCCCGGTGTCCCGGTGGGCCAGTCCGCTTCTGTTGTATGTGCTCCCAAAATAAAAAGTAAACCACGGCATGTTGACTTTTGTGGCACAATCCGAACTGAAAAAATCTGATTTCCTCAGAAATTGTTGACTAGAAACTTCTAATTTATGGTCTTCCAGCCTAACATAAGATGAATGTTTAGTTATTATGCTTAGCAATATCGTATTCCTTCCACACTGCGATTTTTTCAAACAAAATCAAACACATAACAAAGTCATTTTGCTGAGCTACGGAAAAATCGGTTGTCCGCGATAATTTGAAATTGTGTTTACCAAGTTCACTATCTCTCCCCCTTCCCCTTAGAAACATGGCTTGTACCAATCTTGAACTTTTTAAACAAGCGCGGCGTGTTCATAGTTTGGGCACAAAATAGAGGGTTCCCTGCGTTGCACTTGAAGTCGCCAAGTGTACGTGCGCGTAAACAATATGAAATAATAATACCGTAAATAATATGAATCAATTTCTCTCTTACAACTTGAATGAATACAATGCAGTTCTTTATCAAGTTTGACCCAGGCACGGGCCACATTAGACAACATCACGGGCCACGCGTTGGACAGGCCTGGCTTACAAGACGTTTGCATCGGTCAAACAAGTGGTGATTGGCTCTAAAGGGACGAACAAGTTTTTGTATTCAGAAAATACGAACCAGATAAATGCCTAGAACCACCACTCGACTATTCTATGAAGAGGCCAAAAGATAGTCAGCAAAACATATTCCTGTTTTCTGCATGTTGTTGGTATCAACGGGGGAAAATCTAGGACGGACGCTGCTAAAGAATTTTCCAAAAAAACGACAGATTAAAGATTTTTATACTTTTTATTTTGTTGTTGTAAAAGTCTGATTTATGCTTCTGCATAGATAGGTTGCTGTAGTTTGTATCCGCCTCTGTTTATTCAAGTCTTTTTTGAACAAGAAGTTTCGACGTATTTTTTACGAGACGTGACATATGAAATTCCATCGAAAACGTTCCGTTGTAATTTTAGCAAGACGCATTCCTTTGACAAGAAGACATTAAACCCAACATCATGTCAGTGGCGGATTTAAGGGGGGGGGGCAACTAGGGGCAGTTGCCCCTCCCTCAACGAGTTGAAGTAAGTGTGGCACCCCTTTTTGGAAATTGTGCGCCCCTTTTGAAGATGAGAAAAGTTCTAAGACCGATAGGTTAATTTGCCTCAAGGATTGTTGTATACAGCGTACTCTCGTAACCAATGTTGCTGTAACCAGTAACCAGTATACAGCCTCGCTCGGGTCGGTTATTTCCCCGCACTCGCTATTAATTATCTTCGAAATCCTGTTGTCTGTAAAAAATCCTTTTTTGTAAAATTATACCTTGCATTTATAAAATGTCACAAGGTGTTTTTCTAAAACTGTACCGTCTGTTTCATTAAGGGTACCCCCTGTTTTATAAAATGGTACCATTAGTTTTGTAAAATGGTATCTTCTGCCGCGTACCCCTCTGTTTTGTAAAGTGATATTTTTCTGGAGTCTGGAAAACAGCAGAGCAGTACAGAAAGTAAAGAGCAGTAGCATGGTGTCTCGGTGTGTGCCCGGCTACAGTAATGGCGGATAAAGAACTTGCAGATGCTGCTCCACTTTTTTCAAGGGTTGCATTGCGGCTTTCTTCAATTCCAACGACAACAGTTCAAAATACCCCTGGCAAGTAATGCCAGTGCTGCTCTTCAGTCTACCAACAATCAAAATCTGAGAAGTAATACTAGGCCAAGAGTGGTCGATGCAGCTTCAGAACACTCCACAAATAAATCAAAAGTAATTAAAACATCACCAAAATCAATATTATTATTAGCATTTAAACTGAAGCATACTTTTTTGATACTTTGGCGTACAAGTTCTATGAGCTCTTCCATTGTGTTTTCAAAAGAAGTCATTTAGGTCCTGGGGCTTATTGTGTCTTAGTACTCTTGATACTCTATGTTTGGTAGTTCCAGGCTCAAAGTAATAAAAAAGAATTTCAGGTTAAGACAAAATCTACCATGCAATGAAACAGGAGGTACAATTTTATTGATCAGAGAGCACCATTTTACAATGGAGAAAGTGCCATTTTATAGCATAGGAGTACCATTTCACAAACAACTAGTACCATATTAAAAAACAGAGGGTACCATTTTACAAAAGAAAGTGTCCCATTTTAAAAAACAGAGGGTACCATTTCACAAAACAGCGGGTACCATTTTTTGAAACGAGGTACAATTTAATTAAGCAAAAGGTACCATTTTATGAAACAGAGGGTACCATTATTCAAAACTAGGTACCATTTGGTGAAACAGAAGGTAAAGTTTCAGAAAACAAATGGTACCGTACTATAAATGCAAGGTACAATTTTACAAAAAAGCATTTACATGATTTTGGCGGTAACGGCACCCCATACCTGTTGACTGTGTTTGGTATTTTCATGCAATATGATATTAGGCCGCTGATCTAGAAAAAAGACTTATAAAAAAGACTTATAAAAAAGATTTATAAAAAAGACTGATCTATTTTATTGATCAGTGTATTAGGCAGGTTTGAAAATAAAGTCGCAAAGCATGCCGGTTGTGCACCAGGCTTTAATATTGCAAATTTGCGAAGGAATTGAAAACCTAAAAAATTTTAAAAGCCTGTCCACAGTGATCATATTGCTAAATGACTCCTGTTATTTGATCTCGAATATTTCTATTAAGTAACAACTGGGAAACAAGCAGGATCATTTCTTGCCAGGGGCTGCAGGAAACAATGCAAAGTACAAAATGCCTTGTTTTTTCAGTATTTAGTAAAAAACATTGCAAAATATCAGGGAAAAGTAGAATCATAGTACAGACGTTTTGCGGTTCTAATAGGTTATTTGATAGGTGACATTGTTGTGTTAATTACCATTTTAAGAACAAGATATGGAATAATTTTGAATCTCGTCCCAAGAAAGACTGCTGTCTTCGTATATAGAAAGATACCCGTTAATGAAGGCAATATGTATCGACAACTGTTATATGGAGAATGAATATAAATAATGAACATAGTTAGAAATCAATTTGCAACACTAACAAACGTTTTGCTACAGTGAAACCACTAAATAGCTGGAGGACATTCGTGGGAGGACAAAGCATTTCCGAAGGGAAAATTGGCTGCGAGGGCAAGCCTGTGTTTATATAAAGATGAGGACAAAAGCCAATGGTTTGAACACTGAGACTGTAGGTGCAATTCAGGGGCTCCGACGAAAGTTGAAGAGTTTTGCAAAAAAGCTCTATCGTGTTGCAAAAAAGTGGGGGCCATGTCCCCGACCCTCTTCGTTGGAAACTTATAATTGCCCCCTAGTTAGTATGTTAAAAAGGCTCTGGTCCGGAAATTCACCCTTGAAGATAGGCCTTTTTTACTGTTGTTGTTTAGAGGGAAAGTCTGTTTGCTTAAACAAAGTAATTTCAACAGAGCTGGAGAGGCGATTGCCCTCCTATCCCTTGTTAGTACGCTAAAAAGACCCTGGAATAGCGTTCATGTCCATTCTAAGAAAGTGAAATTTTACTTATAGTGAAGACTTATAGTGAAGTTTTTTATGGAACATTTACGAAGCTATATGGAGAACAAAGGAAATTTTTTTCAAAATCTTTAGGAAATATTGGATTTGTACAAGGCCTTGTCGGCAAGAAAGCATTTGTCGAGTAGTTGCTCAGAGGTTCGATAGGGGTGTCCGTTGAGGGATATTTCACTGTATAAGTAAAAGAGGGGTGCAGCAAACTTTAATGCAAACAAAGAAATGAAACAGTTGATATCTTAAAAAAAATTATACAACAATACAAATATGAGCAAAACCGTTATCAGTGAAGTAACCATAAAGTTTAAGATTAGTATAATATCACTTCTAATCCCTAATTCTGTATAGAACACTTTCATACATACTATGACCATTCGTCGAGTTTGCATTTCGCAACCACTGAAATATGATACTTTAATATTTACCATAAAATGCAATAAATGAAGTTCATGTGACACGACGCTGCTACAAAACACGATTATGTTTATTTATGTCATAAGATGCCTCAAGAAATGCATTGCCGCGGTAAAGAAAAATCAACACATAAAGTTCATGTGAGCAGACGAAAATAGTACCTACATTTAGTGATACAAAACAGAAGAATATTTACACAGGACACGATGAACCCATGATGGACCCATAATTGTTCAAAGGAGTGCTCAAAATGTCCATTCAAAATAAATTGGGGTAAACATAGTCTACAGGGCATCGGGTTCTCGGGGAATTCACATGCGAGCACCGAGCACATTTATCGTATGGCACCTCAAATTGTTAGTAATATGGTGTGTTTGTGTGAACGAAATCTCTCAGCAACATTGAAGCAACTTGATTATTATGCGTATATCTTTATATTTATATTAATGACAGTCTGCTAAATGTAAAATGCATAACATAAAAAAAGCAGCATTGCTGCTCAATTTATGGGGGATAATTTACGGACATTGTAGGGTCAATTTGTGGATAACGAAGTGTCCGAACTTTGGGGATGAAAACTACTTTCTTCTATAATGTTTGCTGATTATAATTTTTATTGTATGCATAAGTCAAAAGAAAAACCTAGGCTGTGTGCGATTCGAATTTAGCGTACAACTCAAAGCTGATCTCACCACGAATGAACTCACGCTTTGCCATGCTCTATAGTCTAGGTAGTATTGCAGTGTCCTCTAAAACGTCCTTGTTAGCTCGTTTTCCATCTCAGTTTCATAGTGGCTCTGGTGACCTGGTAATGTGTACACCCATTGTTTTATTTTTCTTGCCTTGCTCAATAGTAACTCGATATACGATAAAAACTCAGTAACCTTCATATCTTTTTGGCTCAGATAAAATAAGAATGGACGAATATTTATGAACGCTGATGCTCCAGCTTCAATTTGTTCCTTTTTATACATTTTTTTCGTCAATATTTATAAATCACAAGCCATGAATATTTGAAGAAAGTCCAGTATCATGACCCAAGAAACAATTAACGGCTAAAAGGGATTGGGCACGAAACAAATGCTAAAATCAAAATAATCTTTTTTTTAGGCAAAGGCAAATTAGCAATGGAGTTGGTGAGTTTCATCCTACATTTTCAGGCTTATCTGCCGGCTTATTCTGCATTTACAAGAAAAAGAAAAAAGGGCGTAAACATTTTATACACTGATTGAATACTGCAAATCCTCAATTAAAAGCCCCATTAAGCATCCCCCATGCAAAAATTTTCCTAAATTTCCTTAGGCACAAACGTTCATTAGGAGCATTTTTGAGGATTTACACGGTACGAATAAAATATTACATTAGTACAATCCTTCAGTATATTAGGCAATAATATTATAAATATAATAATTTGGGCCACAGAATTGTCTCTTGGCAAAGCTCTCTGCTAGCAAATAAGTTACTGCGTCACGCCGATTTCTACATGATAGGGACCAAGGCCCTGATTCCAATGCCAACTATTTGATTGCTATATTCGAATGCAAAGGTTTGGCTACACGAACATTCCGTGATAACCCCAATCGCAGACCACTTGGTCGAGAACTATCGTTCATGATCCCACCAACAGCTGGGCTAGCATTTCCATACTTGCTTCGATTCTGTAGGCTATGCATTGGGGAATTTCCTACGAAGTATTAAGTAGATCGTCAATGTTGCTTTTGAAAAGATACACACAAGCAGCTTGGAAGCAATCGATAATCTCATATAAAAGAACAATGATTTTAAGGTAGAATGTTTAGGTTTTAAAATAGCCTAAAACTAGTTTGCATATCTTGTTGGGAGACGGACGAGCGAAAATCTTCAAATGTCTGAGGCAACCCTCCGTCCTGGAGTCAAAGAGCATTCACAAGGATGCTTTCATTCCATGGGCATGTCCTTTGACTCAAGGACGGAGGGTTGCCTCGACATCAAAAGGCACTCTCTTGATTGTCTCCCTTCACATAAGGAAACATCAAGGGGTAGTAAAAAGAATAATTTCTGACGATTTTCAGCATAACCGTACAAAAAACAATAAAGTGTCAATGCGGTTAGATTATTATTGCAAACATTTCACCCAAACTTCATGAATGACCCCTCCCCATTGTCACGATGCTACTGGACTCCATCCCTTTTGTTGGAGCAGATGACCCCGTCCTCCCCCCCCCCATCCTAGAAGAAAATCGATTGGATGGAAGGAAAGCAGGGTTTTTTTCAGATCGGGATCCAACTTAAACATAGAAACTTTAGCCTCCTTTCAAAGTTGCGAGCTCCTTCATGGAAGAATACTGTAAGAGCTCTATTAAGCCCCCGGGGGCTTTATTTATTTCTGTCTGTCCAAGAGGGGGGTTAAAAGAGAGGGGGGTTAAAAGAGAGGGGGCTTATTAGAGACGAGGCATATTGATAATTCAATGTAAAAATGTTATAAAAATGCCCTTATTCACTTTTTGTTATGAAAATGTCATACAAATGTTCTCAAAAACTTTGCCAGCAGTTTCGAAAGTTGCTTAAAATCAATCAATTACAATGTCCTCATCATGCTGAACAAATTTCAACTGACTTCTAAGGAGCTTCAAAGGCACACAAGCAAATACTCACATGGGCCGTCACAATCTTATCGTCACCACACCCGTCAAGACACCCATTTAATGCATATGTTTTCTTTGTTTGACATCAGGGGTTTTAAAGGGGGCAAAATAGAGAGGGAGGCTTATTTTAAATTTTTGCTTGATAAGGGGGCTTAATAGAGAGGGGGTTTAAAAGAGAAGGGGGCTTAATAGATCTTGTAAGGTAACAGACTCTATGTTTTTCAGCTTTAGTATATCAATGGTTTTTTACTTGAAAACATAGGCAGACATACCAGGGGATGGTGGTTGAGTGATGGCATTTTTCATAATAACTGCTGGAGATTTCAATCCTACTCTTGGTGCAACTCTGGTCTGTATTGTTGAACTTCTCAATGGCGGAGTATTTGCACTGGTATTTGTGACACTGGTTGCATTAGAGAGCTTGGTTAAAGTTTTGTTGGCTGGTTTGGCTAAAAAGAAAAAAACAGCAACTGTATTGATTTAAATCATTAGAATCATCAATAAGTAGGGTATTATTTGACAATCAGCTGGACAATCCAGATATTCTTTAAGAAATTGAAATCTTGTCTTCAATTTCTAAACCATAAATAAAGTTTGTATGTGATCAGTGTATTACAGAACATGGAAAGTTATTCAATCCAATTGATCTGGAGTTAATTGGTCTACTTGTTTCCTCTAGCTTTCCTTCATCTCTAAATTCTGCCCATGTCTTGGCATAGAACATTTTTCCAGCAAAACCAGTTTCTTGTGAAAAACCACTTCAAAGGTATTATTTGACAAATTTTTACCTTTTTTAGATTCTTTCTCTTTCTGATTCTTTCTTGGTGGCAAACATTTATCACTTTCTTTCTCAGTAGATTTCATTCCATCACCTTTATCCTTTTTAACTACTTTCTTCCTCTCCATAACAAACTCATCATCATCATCGTCATTGTCATGTTCTTCATAACCATCTTCCTCATCATCTTCAGAATCATCACTTAACTCGTATTCTTCACTGCCATCAAGCTCATCACCAGCAACTTCTTTAGGTTCACTGACAACTTCTGTAAAAGAAGTTCATTGCACTGTCAGTTCAACTTGACTTACAGCCATTAAAAGAAATAATCTTCCTTAAAGAGTTGACTTTCGTCAAACCATTCATTGACAATATTAAACCTGATTCAAGTATAGTATGTTATGTAACTTAAAGACCCAACTTTCTCTTTTATGCTCAATTGAGATGTTTAAAGACAAGTTTGTATAAGTCTTTAATAATGATAAAGAGCTGACCCTTGAGGAGGGGAGCTTCTGAAGGACCCTAAAACACTCCATATGTGGGCTTCCAAGTGCATTGATTCCTCTAAGAGTCAACTGTTTCTTATCACCCTATCCAACTTTGAAATTAAGAAATTTGTTAAACCATGAAAACAGAGGAATGGCTATTACCATTCTTGGATTGTTCCTCTATCCTTTTTTCTTCTGTCTTCACTTCCACATTTTCTGAACTTGAATCCCCTTTTTCAATGACAATGACTTCAGGTGAATCTTTTTTTGATAACTCCAATGCTGCTTGCAATTCTTTCTCAAATATCTTTTCATCTCTAGACTTTCTGTTGAAAAGAGAAAAAAGGAAATATCAGTTCTTTATTTACAATCTTAGAAAAACGCAAACAGAAAAACACAAAATAGGCTTTTACAAACAGAGCTACAATAGGCTTTTAATGTGTAAGACCTTTCACAAAAGCAGCACCCTTATCCTGAAAGCTGAAAAAGCAAAAATCTTACTTTTCTGACAGTTATGGAATACAATGTTCCTTGGAAAGTTAACATTTTAAGCAAAGTTTCTCTGCTTACTTTTAATCATTATCTGACATTAAGTCACTGAGCAGTGAAGGGGGAAAAAGTACTAAAGAATGCTGTTTCTGCTGTTCTGTGTAATCTTCAAATGGGAGCAAAGTTTAACTGTAAGCAGAGCTTTAGTGAATTGTTTTTCAAGCTAACTAGTATCTTAAATTAAATTAACCCAAAAGATCTATCCAACTCAGTTTACAAAAAAAGAAATAATTAATTACAAATCCTACCTACTATTACTAGAAATTGCTTGGCAGTCTTTACTCAAAATTGATGTCTGTTTTTTCTCTTTAGTCTTTTTGTCCTTTCCCTTGTTTCTATTTTCGTTTGATTTTGTCTTTTTTGATTGTGGAGGATTTGGGGAATCTTGAAAGTCATCTATAGCAGAAAAATCATTGTTGACCCAAACAACAGTTTGAGAGCATAATCCACGAAAAAGATGCAACTAAATTTTATTTAATTTCAAAATAGTTACCTATCTAACTCGTAGGGTTGCAATGGGCAAAATAATATTTGAGATAAAGTGGAAATAAATGGTATCATTGCATTAATTTAGTAAAAAAGCTAAATAAAAAACAAAGGATGAAATGGGTAGAAAGTTAGCTTACTTCAGAGAAAGTTAGCTTACTTCAGACACATTGCATTTGCAAGCAAAATAGGTTCAATTACAAATTGTTTATGACAAAAGAGAATTTAAGAGATTGACAAAACAAGATTAATATGTAATTTGTGTAATCCGGGATATACCATCACTTCCAAAATTGTCTGCATCTTCCATGTACCGACTGTAGTTTACTTTCTTTCTGCTCGAAACTCTGAAACATTTGAATTACACATATATGATAAACTTATATTATATTCTCACTATTGTGTTATTAGTATCCAAACTGGAAACTTTGTAGTGCGGCTGCGACATATTGCCTGTGCACTCGAATTTTCCATCCACACACTTTTGCTTATTGGCCACGCAAAGTCCCTATTTGAATACATTTCACATTATTAACAATACAAATTTCTTAAAAGTGTGTGATTTGAGGCACACAGTTGCACAATCAGGCACGTAAACTTGCCCGCACAAGAAACAGAGTTTCCAGTCTGGATTTTGTATAACCAATTAATATCTCTTATTATACTAACCCAATAATATGTTAATATTATTTTCATTTTCATTCGCATTCTTTCCTTTTTTTAATCAATGTTGCAGTTTTCTAAACCTTTTTTTATTTATAAAATGTACATTTTTTATACATGTCAAATTGGGCATATGACCTAGATAGCTCCTTATGAGTTCTCTTCATATGTCCAACAGCAAGCATTTCAAACTATGTACTATCTACTGTATACAGTCTCCTTTTAAAAAATTTATTGTAATTTGTAGTTTATCTATTAAATATAACTATACTAGGTAATTATTGCTGTGAATGCAGGCTCGTAGACACTGGGGGCAGGGGAGGCAATGCCCACCAATTATTTACGAAAATTGTGGTTAAAGATCTTATAAGTGCAGCTTGATCTGACAGTATTTCGTAAGGTAGGTATAGAAAAGCTATATTTCTATCCATGCCCCCTCCCCCCCCCCTAACCCAGTTTAGCTGTCTACGGGCCTGGAATGAAAAGTTCGAATAATAAGTTTATGATAACCAAGATCAAGATCAATCTCTATCAAAAACTCAACATTATAACTTCTTTGATACACTGAATTCTGACCGATTGAAAAGCAAAACGTATTGGAAATATTCTACAGGTTTAACTAAAAAGTTTACCTTCTTGACATCTTCAAAATTAGTTTGCCTTCGTCATTCTAGAGATAATACGAAAGTCAAACTCTTTCAGTCAGCCATATTGAACCACCATTTTCGCTGTTGATTTTAGCGCGAAACCTCGATTAGATGATGCCCTCGGATTTTTTTTCGGATAGACCAATAGCTGGAAAGATTGACAGTCCCTCAAAGAGAACAGCCTCCTCGATCTTGTAGGTCTAGAAACACTGTTAAAGCAAGTGATTCTGCCATCGGTCAACATCATTTAGACAACACAGATTGTGCAAAACTCTAAAATGACGACATGTTTCGGATAATTGGCAGAGCCCGGTCGTCCTTCCATCTAACAGTTTTGGAGTCGATCTACATAAAAACGAAAAAGCCTCCATTGTGTAGACAGAAGGAGTTCGTTTTCTCTCTTGGATTCCAGTGGTGATTTTTCTTTAGGCACGCGGCACTGATTGGTCAACTATACCGGTCTTGTGCTTGCGTTTTTCAGATTGGTCTATTTCAATCCACAACTGGGTATATATTTTTCATCGTGTTCTTTCGGACCCTGATTCTGACGTTTTATGCTCTATAGAGTGTCAGACGAAAAAGCTTTTAGCCAATATGCTTTTTTAAAAGCCATTTTCATTTAAAAATGCTTTAATATTCGCCTAACTCTTCTAGCCCTCCAGTATTAAAAGGGTTACAAACGTTTAATCTAGCCACTAATAAAAAAATATTTCTGAGTGCCTGTCCTGAAAAATACGCAGAAGTTGAAGTCTTCTTACGCAGCAGTAGAAGATACGTGATGCATTTAGAGGTATAAAAATGATGATATTTGCACGAAGGAGTCGAAGGCCCTGTCATGTATTCCAAAGGTACATCTTTGAGAAATAAAGGGACAACAACTTACATTTAAACATGACTTTGATAATTTGATATGCCTAAAGAATCTTTCCTTTGACAACTGGATCATGTTCTTTTTCTGGATCAAGATAACAGTATCTTGAATAGAGCTGTTAATTTTACCTCAAAAAACACCGCTTATATCCTACTTTAAGGTTTCCTACTAGCAGATAAACCTAGATATATGAAATGATCTTAAAACAAAGGAGACCTGTTCTGTCTTGCAAATAATTTCGATATTCAGGATTAATATAGACAGCGATCACGAAATACAGTATGCTATTACATGACATTTTAGTACGGATTTTAGGTGCTTTAATGACCTCTCTATGCTTCAGTAGCGATCCCGAGACTACAAGATATCACATTACAAATGATCTTTGGCCAGTAACTATGTCATCTTGAAGGGCATCAGGGGTGTCCTATGTCAGGTACCGCGGAGCGTTGAGAAAAGGGGGTCTAAAAAGTGTGAGGGGGGGGCTAAAACAGTATAAAAAGAGGCTTTACTGGTAGTTTATTACTTAATATTTGACATTTTTTGAAAAAATTGGGGGGCCCCCTGCTCCGCGGTACCTGTATGTTTCGGTCAAGATTGAGGGTGTCCTATGGTTTCTTAATTTTTTGCTGATCCTAGGGCTTGGTTTATACAGATGGTTTCTTATAAGTTTACTTTGAAAAATCAACTATTCAAGCTGTAGTAGAGATACTTCGACAGTCTCACATGCTTTATATCCGTTTGTTGATCTTTTTAGATGTTTTTAGGTAACGGGACATATCTAATATTCTTATTACCGACATTGTGTCCCCACGTACCTTATACATTTATACCCTTCTACTTACTTATTTATGTATTCATGCTTAAGATCTACAACAGAAGCCAGTATTCCCCCACCAGAAATACTGCGTCGGGGATCATCGCCGACGAATTACGATATATGAAAACCAGCCTTTAAGGCGATGGTTTATGACATATGAAAACCGGGTCATCGGGAACCATCGGCGATCATCCCCGATCATCGCAAAAGTCAAAATAATTTGACTTTCCCGACGCTTCCCGATGAACAATAGCAAAGAGAACAATGGATCAGGAATGTTCTGTCAAAAGTGAGTTCATTTGAACTGAAGAGAGGGTAACTGTTTCGCGGAAAAACTGGAATGCTTTCGAAAATACAGGGAACATTAAGGGGGCTATAATTCCTAGTTTGATTCCTAGTCTTAAGTTTGAATTTCATCATTTTTTACAGTGAATCAGGGTGAATCTTCAGCTATGTCATGATCATTACATAATCCACTTAACAGAAATTTTCCCAAGAAAATTCATACTGGAATTTGCCTGTCCTTTTTATCTTCATTTTAACAATGGCTTCTTCTGGAGCAATATTTTCTTTTGGGTGCGCGGGGAAAGTTTTTTAACTTTGTTGTAATAAATTTCCCGAAATGTCATTTGCAAAATATCCCGAAATTATCAATGTGTTGATCACCAACGTCAATGTGTTGATCATAGATCGATGATAGTATCAAAAGTTTACTATTGGCCTTTATCAGCAGCCATATTCCCAAACGTTCATCAAAATTATAGTTTTGGCGCTTCAATATTGTTTATAGCATCGGGGATCGTCCCCGACCATCAGGAATGCTGTGCATCGGGGATCATCGCCGACGGGTTACGATATATGAAAACCAGGCTCTAGAGACTATGCATACTCGTCCCTTTGCTTTTGTTTTTGCCGTCAGTTGCGTCACATTAAGAAAAATGGCCTTTTGTGTCAATTCTCCACCAGTGAGGATTTTTTAAAAGATCCCCTGGGTAGAAATATCCAGGTATAACTACATAATTTGCATGTGCACTCGGTGCCGTTCCAGCTTTTAATTTATTTTTTAAACTCATTGATAGATTGAATATTCCTTATGTGCGGAGGTAAAGAGAGCTAAAGACCCAAAGACGCTGCACAGAAAAGACACATAACGATGAAGGTAAAAATATACATGAATAACTCAATCGCTGCCAAAAGCACCTTGATAAACGGCAGTAGAAGGCATTTAGATTCGCATGAAATGAAATTTTACTGTTATTGATATTAAAATGTATGGGGAAGTTTTTATATCCCTGTTATCCCACCTGTCAAAGCTTGCCTATAAGTTATTAGCAAACCGACGAAGCAAATTCATGACAAGATGAGTCAGGGTTTTTTATACATTCCAAAAAGTTACATAGCAAGTTACTGGAATACAAGTTACTTCATGCTACTTTACATATACTACATAGCCAATACCCCAGGGAGCATCAACTCTGTCCGGGGGATCGTCTTTGTCGTGTATGCGATCAGGGGGTGTTGTTATATAAGTCCTGGAGTTATTGATACTGCTAAACCAAGTGTTAAAGAACCAGATACACCTTGGTAAGAATCGAAAATCGTTATCAAATGACTAAAGTAGAAAAGTTATTCTTTTCCAAAGCTTCTATGATCAAGGTTTCTAAAGCTTCTATGTGGAAGTCTTTCAAAGTTGGGAGGTTACATGTCTGAATGTTTGCTCTTTTGCCCCAAAATCCCATCCTGTAAAGGGAAATGGTGACTCCCCTCACTCTCGGGAAAGGTGTAGTCGTGGTCATATATGAGGAACTCGCACCCAAGACCCTTGGTACTGTATTCCGCGACACTTACCACTGAGACATCAGCTATGACGGGGCATCATGTCACATAGAGGGGCATTTTCCCGAAAGTTGAAAAAGGGGCATTGGTTATTGATAAAAAAGGGGCATTTTCCCGAAAGTTTGGGACATGTGTCTCTGGTGCATTCTCGATTCCTGAGACACATGGGCAAACACATATTTGCTAGGTGTGCAAAGTTGAAAATGCAGCTGCGGGAAAGGTAATTGACTGTTTTTGATCCTGCATGAGCAGGAACTTGCAGGCAATGAACGAGAATTTATACTTGCAGGTTGCACTTAATTATAAGTTTGATCTTGGAAAGTAAAAGATGCAGTGCAGGCAAGTTGTAATGTTTGTTGGTTGCAGTTGAAATATGTAGAAGCGTGACTTGTCTGGACTCTAACAGCTTCCCTATAAAATTGATCTGTGTAAACTGGCACTATTAGGAGTATCAATATTACTGTGTGAATAAAGTAAAGGTCACGATAGCAGACTGCTTGACTCCGAAATGAAGCCCCTTATGCCGGGGCGAAAAAATAGCCTTCACTGGTTTACGTGTATTTGTTGTTGTTCATTCTCGTCGCATTGCGATGTTTCTTTTTTGCTACATTTTTATCAATATTACCACAACTGTAATACATTAACAAAAGGAAATCCTTCATTGACAATTCCTTCATGAAATCTGTGACAGATCAAACTTATTTTGGTATTTCACCGTGATCTTTCTGCTCACTCTTTGCTCCCGAATAGACGACCATTCCCCTCCCCCGCTTATTTTTCCCGAATATACCAACATCGTTGTGCCAGTTTGCTTATTCCATATAGCATTCAATATGTTTTTATTCCATATTGAGAAATATAATTTTCGATAAATACCTGGCAGAGTTTATTCAAGTCACGAACATAATTTTGAGAAAATTGTAGATTGTGGGTATTTTCTTGATCAAAATCGTTCAAAACGGCCAAATTCCAGCCTTAAGTCCTACATCAGTCAAAATCTCACCTAAAAACTCAGGATGAAGGTACAATCTTCGAAACCATAGAAGCAAAAATTTCAAAGCATGTCAAAAATCTCCAAAACCACAAAACAAATCTTCAAAATAATTAACAAATTTGAAAAACTTCGGCGGAACATGGAAATTCAAGACGACGGAACATAAAAATTACATAATCTGTTCTGTATACGATACCATATCCAAACGCAATGAGCATGCGCTGTAAGAAGATCAAAACAAATCCGTCTATTGTTGCCACCCCCTATCAATATTGCCGAAAAAAGATCACCGGGTTGTCTTTGTGCCGTCTGCCGAGTGCAAAAGTGCGTGTTTCTTGAAGTTACCAGACAGTCACAAGAATTGTGCATTTGATCATATGTCAGGATGGCAAGCAGCAGTAAAAAAACTGGACTTGGTGACTTTGTCAAAATTGGAAAAGAGCTATACAGCTCCTCTGAAGAACATCCAACGCCTGTTTTAGCCAAGATTACTGGACAGATTCCCGACTGGTTTGAAGGCATACTTGTCAGAGTAGGGCCGGGTGAGTTGTATTTCTTTATTCTTTATCGCCTCTAAAGTTTGCATTAGATTCTTAGTGATATTTTTCGTTAAAAAAAACTTTGGAGTGGATAATACAATCTTCAAATCCGCTACTTGTTACATGGTGGTCCTTACGTAAATCCATTGGTTTCACCTGTCGAATACGCAAGTCCGCATTTATTTAACGTTTTGTATCCTATATCAAGTGTCTCTAACTTTCCATCATGTATTGTATTGAATTGTATTGTAGATTATTTAATGTTAGTTTCTACGATAGTGAATATACATTAATTAAGACTAACATGAAGCAATTTCAAGGATTGCATAAGACAGTTCATTTACTTACTCTCAAAGCACCAATGTGTTGTCAATTGAAAATCCATCCCCATACTGTTACTGCGATGTTGATTAAAGGTTAAGCTCACGATTGAAACAAAAAGAAAGGACCTTATTCAGTTGTAGACTTATAACCAGTATGACGACAAAAAAGACATAGTGGCTCTTCTATTATATTGAACCCATTGGCTAGTGTTCACACTATTGTCAAGCTAAGTATTACTAGTAAAAATTACTATTAATGATCGTTTTTGATACTCAGTTTCGTTTTTGATTCTCAATTGCCTCATTGACAATTTTATGAAAAAAGCAAACCCGCAGGTATACTTTAGATACGGTATCCGGTTAATTTTTTCACTGAACATAAAGAAATCTGCTATTTCATAATACCAGACACGCACGATCCGTGATTCTGTAAATTCCCACACCCCACCCTAACCCTAAAAGTTTAAAGGAACCACAGCCAAGGAAGACGCTTACTATTGTGCTCAAGGGGGGTTCAAGTATTCCATTTTCCAGAAAAGTTTGAGAATTTGCCGACAAAGCACGCCTTGGTGGCAAGACACTATCTTGCAACGGGATTTTTTTCATGAGAGGTGTCACACCTTGCAGGCCCATCCTAGCCGGTCCTTATTTTAGCCCAAATAAACTTATGATTTGCCGAACTTTTTAAAGTTTCCCAATACTTTCTTGTCAAATGATCCATGGAAATTTAATCCTTGTGAATTATCAGATACATTCTTCACAATTACAGTTTGCCTAACACAAATATACCTACAAAAGAATGTACTTTTGCGAAAGTCTGGCATCCATATAGGGTTAGTTCAGTCAGAGTTGCGTGTTGTAGTCACATATTCCATTACGTCCTGTGGTGTTGGCAGTCTGGGCTGCTAGAACAAGTATCATGTAAATTGTGATACCAGCATGAAAATGGGTATACTGTAGTCTGGGCTTTAAGCAAAGTACTTGACTTGAATTATGCAAGTTGTGGTACCAGCATGAAAACTGGTATACTGGGGTAATTTGACATGCTGATAGTGATGCCGAACAGTCACAAGTCGAAAAATGCCCCCAAGTGTTATTTTTAGACTGGGGTACATGACCCAATTCCTCAATTTGGGATTCATCCATACTTAGTCAACTAGCGTTTGAGAAGGTTTAGGTTTAAACACAATTCAATACAATGAAAGTATAGCAATTGGTTTTTTATATGTTTAGATTAGGGTTCTTGGTTCTAGGCCTGTATGTAAACGCTTATCTTCAAGCCATTATTTTTTTGACGTAAACATTATAGAATGGATTTCTACCTTTTGGTTAACCAAACAGTATTTTAAGGAGAAAATAGAATATTACCCCTAGATGCTACAAGTGATGGATCTAGGTCACTTTTTAAAATTTTCTCTTGTAAGTTATTAGTAATTACTGTTTTTAACATGGAAAGTTCAGCATTATTTACTCTAAAATAGGGCAGCCATTCTTTACTTCCGGCCCGCATCAAGATTTCATTCGACCCGCGGAATGCTTATGCCTTAAAAAATATTTTTCTTTCCAAGACCCTTCCTATTTCATCTTTATGCCTTGAAAAATATTGCCTTGAAAAAAATGTCAACATTAGAACAGATAAAACTATGGAACTTAGTTACGAAAAACCCTATAATAAGAATATTGCCTTTGATTTTCTTCCGTTAAATTCTGTATTAGATTCAGTTTCTGGCCATCCTTGGATTAGTATTACCGAAAGTTTTTCTTGCCGTGGACCATGATGGCAGCCTGAACTAACTACACACACATTCATCACATTTTGCCCTCTCTTTAAATACGTTTCACAGTCCTTTGACTGTCAAGTCGACCTAACAAGAGTCCAACAAAGATTAGTGTCCCAACTTAAAATTGCACAGTGGGGGCGGGGCATACGATCTTCTGACTCAACCTGGTACAAGAAACGTAAAGTTGCACAATTTTGTGTAAACCATTCTTTGGCTTTGGATTCAAAACTACAGTTTGAGGAAATTTGGCCTTACCCCCCAACCAGAAAGCTATCCCTGGCCTGGCTTCGGGCCTGTGAATCCACCGTGAAATGCATATTGAGCCAATCTCTCCACCATGTCCTATCATCCACCTTTCCAAAACGTATTCACCCTGAATAGATTTTATGAATATAATCAAACAAGACATAATAAGCCTGCCTATCTTATCTCTAGTTTAGCTTGGTATGAAACCTTAACTTCATTTTGAGCAGCTTTTTTAACACAAGGTATGTAAAAGTTGAAAACTTTGTGGCCCCAGAACAAAATCTACATGTTCTTCTGGCCCGGCAAATACTTAAGGCCCCTTGGAATAGGGCAGCCTCAACAGTTATGGGCTCGCGTTTCTGATTAGCCTATTTCTATCCGCATCGGGGTATATATATTTCCTAGCTTAGTGTTTTGATCTATGTTCTGACGTTTTATTCTCCGAAGCGTGTCAGACGAAAACTCAAATGTTTGCTTTTTTCAAATCTATGCATTGATATGTTTAAATATGTATGCGTTTCCTGCCTCTGAAGGTCAGTGCAAATTATTACATGTACATGAATATGTAACTTTCACATTTCGCTACTTCTGAAAGTCTCATGCAATTAGTATAAAATGCTGACTATCCGAAGTAGCAGAAATGTTAAGTATCCTTACTGCATTTTCAAACTGAAACATATTCGGAGGAACGAAAATCGTTATAATTATAGGCAGTGGCTTCGCTTGACCTTCCAGACTAGGAAGGTGGAGGGTCATTGATAGAAAAATTTACCGACGAAGACATAGATGGAGAAAAACTTAAGTTGACTTTACCGACAAACTAAGGAATTTGTAGAGAAACTGAAGATTTACCGACGAATTCATGAAGTATTGGGGGGGGGGGGGGTTACACCCGTTGCAACCCCCGCTAGCCATGCCCCTGATTACAGGCTTCTTTCAGATTTTTTCTTCTCCTCGGCTAGATCTATGGAAAAGATCGAAAAGATACTGGAACGAGCCCTACGTATTTCTTTAGAATGGTCATGATTCATCTTATGGAGATCTGCTTTGCAAATCAGTAAAGGAACAACTGTATTGAAATTTTCAAACTGTAAAAAGGTTAAATCCTGAATTCATGCAAAATATTTTCGAACAAAGAGCCTCTGATCGACCCTCACTTCGTCCACAAGACTTGCAGCACACCCGCAGCACTACAGGCCCAACCAAACAAACAAACAGTCTTAGGTCCCTCGGACCACAAATTTGGAATCTGATCCAATTCAAAAGATTAATTAAAAACTGGGACGGGGCAACCTGTACATGCAACGTATGCAAAACTCAATGATTTCATTTTAAATTTGTATTCAAAAACTATTAAAATTGTTGATTTAATATGTATATTTTGTGAATAATCGAATTAGACATGTTACGGTTTTGTAGCTTAAAACTATATATATTCGATTTAAAATAAGATTACAAACAAAGAGTTGATGCTAAATCGGCAGCCAGCGCGAGTGATTTGTATGATAAAGATTAGACATCTAAGGTGCAATTTGATTAAGGGCACTTAGAAACAATAGCTTTGACTCTAATTTCATTACAGTAAACCAATAATAGAATTGCACTGATTCTTCTAGCCTCTGTGCTTTCCAGCCTTCAATAGGTAGTTCTTCTATGCTTCTCTCGAAGGCCTCTGAGAGGAGAAGTAGCAAACCAAAGATTTCATGTTTACTTTGTATCCTATTCATACCAAGAATAGTAATGATTCATAAAAGAATGCTAATAGAGACCTGGGCTCCAGTACTCCATTCTAAAATAGCATCAAGGGTAATATTTAAACTGCTTCTTTAATATACTATTGTCGTGTAAGATTGTATTTATATACCTTCATGCTCATTTTAAACGTTAGTTAACAACGTGTGGATGAAATCCAAAATGGAGGACTGGGGTCAAGTACCCCGGCCTAAAAATAGCAATTGGGGGCATTTTTCGGCTTACGTCTGTTCAGCATCATTATCAGCGTGTCAAATTAGCCCAATGTACCCATTTCCATCCTGGTGTCACAATTTGCACAATTCAAGTCAAATACTTTGCTTAGAGCCAAGACAAGCATAGGTTCCAAATCTTTGATTGGCTGAGCGACCAAAATTCTGCATTGGCCGATCAGAATTCAAGAATATGACAACAAACGTGCCTCGCAGATAGATTTAGGCCCATTTTGGACTTTTTTTACCACTACCCACAAAAAATAAACGTGTAAAATGTGCTGAAAGATAACCTACATTTTCTTTAAGAATTGAATCTTTGATAAATTTATGAAAAAACTACCGTTGTACTTAGTAACAGGAACCGCGGAGCGTTGAGAAAAGTGGGGGGTCTAAAAAAAGTGGGGGGGGGGCTAAAACCTTATTAAAAGAGGCTTTACTGGTGGTTGAGTACTAAATATTTGGCATTTTTGCAAAAAGTGGAGGGGCTAAAGCCTTTAATCATAGCAAAGGATTAAAATTAAACTCTAAGAAGTTTCTGTTTGAACACATTGCTTTCAAGGATCTGCGACAGATCAAAGGGGCTGGCATTTGAAATAAGGCAGGAATTTTTCACTAATACTGAGGCTAAAGCTAGGATAAGCAAGAACTTTGCTTCCATGCCGTTTAAAAGCAAGTAAAAGGTATAGGCGAAAAAAGTCTTAAGACAACGTAATTCATCTCTACGTGCCACAAAACTATTTACAATAGCTTGAGAAGAAAGTCTTACAATATAAGAAAGTCTATCAATTTTTGTTGAGTAAGGCTGTTCGAATATGTTCTCAGAAGGCCAGATTCTAAGTTAAAGGCAAGAATTTAGATGAATTATTTTTAGATTGCCTCGATTATAGAGAGCTTCTCCTTGATCAGTAAATCCTAAATAAAATGCAATTTTTTTACAGGAAAATTTGAATGGGGAAAAAGCAGTTATAATCATTGGTTCGATGGACAAGCATTGATGCATAAATTTGATGTCAGCAAAGGAACAGTAAAGTATTCAAGTGAATTTCTGCATAGCCAATCCTATGACAAATCCAAGAAGTATGGGCGTGTAGCGACCCCCGGTTTTGCTACATGGGCACCCCCTGATCCATGCAAAAATATCTTCCAAAGGTTCTTTCTCTATTTCTTGCCACCAGCCATGACCGACAACTGCAACATCAATATGGTTAAAATCAAAGAAGAAATATTTGCTTCAACAGAGTCTCCGTATATTTATCACGTTGATCCCAGTAACCTTGGAACTATGGAGGAGCATGACTTAAAATCTACTTTGAGTGGTAAGGGACTTTATTCTGTCATCTATAGAGCTCGACAAAGAATTGTCTCAAAAATTCATTGTCTTATAGCCGTTTTAGTAGCTGTCTGAAGCTACTGCTTCAGCTTACTTTGTAGAAAGTTTAAGACTAATAACATGTAACTATTGAAGTTCCAGGACATCTCATTTTCTCGCCCAAAAGAGCAATACAAAAAGCTCGTTTTTTCTACAAACAAGTTGTTTTTGAAGGTGATGGCTGAGTTTGATACGTTGGGGGGGGGGGGGCACCATACAAAAAAGAAGCTAACAGGATGCCATTCTTTGGCTCCAACAAAAGTCGGAAAGTTGGGGGGGATGCAAAGGAAGATTAAACGCCAATAAAAACCTCTATTATTTTGCAAGAAATGGGCCACGGTTCCCCGCCCAACACCCCTTCCCTTTTGTTGGAGGCCCTACTATAAATTTCTCAAGCTTTCGTTGTAACCTGGGCGATTCCATACACATGGCTCGCGTAACAGGTGCTTTGTGCTTACGGGGAGGTGCAGTGAGGACAGCTAGTCCCCTATTCTAAAATCAATCGGTAAATTCCTCAAAAGTTCCCAAAATAAAAACCGTCACAAAAACGTGTCTGTTTTCTTCATTTTTATGAAATGCATTTTTCAGGAATTTGGTCTCTTTGCCAGTCATCCTCGAATCTGATCGCACAGACAATAATTTTTCATTCTAGTATCTAGTATCTAGTATAGAACCCTTGACTGATAACAAAAATTACTCTACTAGGTCCCAGGTCTCTTCTGGCGCATCCTCACAATGACGATGAAGGGTATGTATACAATGTTTCGGCAAACTGGCTGAAGTTTCGTTACGACATATTCAAAATCCCACCAAATGCAAATGCCACAGACCCCTTTTCTGGTGCCACAATCATAGCTACAGTTCCATTCAGCTTTTTTGGTCCGGCTTATTTCCACAGCTTTGGTATGAGTGAAAATTTCTTTATCATAATTGAAAATCCACTTGTAATGAAGGCATTGTGGAAAATGGTCACAATGAACTTTTTAAAGAATTCTTATTTGGATGTGCTTAAATGGAAACCAGAGTTAAAATCAAGGATGCATTTAATTAACCGTCACACAGGAAAACTGGAAAAGACCTTCCAAGTGGATAAATTTTTTGCTTTCCATCATGTAAATGCTTATGAAGAGTCCGGTCAGATCGTTGTTGATGTATGCGGTTATCCGGATGCTTCTGTAATCGAGGCATTCTATTTAAGCAAGCTGCGAAATGGCTTAAAGGGAGTTGACTACACGATTCCAATACTTCGTAGGTACCGGTTACCTATCCCATCAACCGGACAGGTAACAAAAGAGCCAGAAACCCTGCCTAAACTTGTAAACGGAGAGCAATTTGAAGTTATTTGCGAAGGATTTGAACTGCCACGCATCAACTACTCATACAATACTAAGAAGTACAAGTTTACATACGGCACAGCTTTCCGTGATAAGAATTTCTTTCTTGAGAACATCGCAAAAGTCAACGTCGATACGAAAGAAGTAGTGAGCTGGATTGAGGAGGACTCATATCCGTCCGAGCCAGTTTTTGTACCGGCCCCGGATGCTAAAGAGGAGGATGATGGGATTGTACTCAGTGCTGTTGTTGGTGTCCTAGGGAAGCCATCTTTTCTTTTATTTCTGGATGGTAAAACCTTCACTGAAGTAGCCCGCGCTGTGGTTCCTTGCAAACTGGCATTGACATTTCACGGAGCCTACCTGCATTAACACTGCAAAATTTAATTGATAATTCTACATGTATTGATTGCAATATTCTCAGACATTATGCAACAGTTGTTGCCTCCTTTTCATCAATATTTCATAAATAGAAGCAACCCTTGTTAATGTGAAAACGGACTGTTCAAATCTCCAAGTTTCTAGGATGTACTACGTATTTACCTAACTGTTTAGGAGCCGCAAAACAGAGTTTTCAAAGCATATTCCTACAAAATACGATTGTCTTCAAACAACCTTGTTCATAAAAATACTAGCCTACCAGAAGCATACTTTAGCTCTACCAGAAGCATACTTTAGCTCTACCAGAAGCATACTTTAGCTCTACCAGAAGCATACTTTAGCTTTACCAGAAGCATTTTTTAATTAAAGGCAGTAAATAATGGCAACCACAACAATTGGTTGGCTCCCTCTTTATCAGCCTTATGCCATTGGCTACTCCTTGTCCAGCAATAATTAATGAAGTTATGAATTGTCTTTTTGGGCTGGTCGTAGAAGTAGTTGATTTATACAATAAAGGATCATCCCAGTAATAACTTTTTTTATAATTACTGTAAAATTTCAGTTTTTTTAGGGAATCGTTGTCAATTTAGATATTCTAACCTTGACAGAAATTCATGTTTAACTTGAATCTGGAATGTATTGTTGAACCTTACATACAGACAAATTAATTTTGTAGTGCTATAAAGTGCTTCTCCAATTTTCATGAATTACCAAGCTTCCACTATTTTTAGCTTATACAGAAATCTCATGTTATTACCTTGACTTGCTCTTAAAAATTTAGGGCTGCATGAAGCCTCTACAATAAACATTTGCAACTACAATTTCCACCCCTTTCCTTCCTGTGAACCGTGAAAGGTCTATTCATTTCATTAAAGATCATACAAATTTCCATCACAACCCCGTGAAACACTTGCTCTTTTTGCAACTTGAATTTTTGATTTCAAGAAATATTAGACATAATTTTGCTAGCCTGCGCTCAAGAACCCTAACTTTCAAGTTAGGGGTGTGGAACACAGGGTAAAATATGCGAGCTGAGGCTGGTCAATATTCTTTATAACACTCTTCAATGTTGGATGATTCGGAGCCTTAAAGTAAAAAAAAGCGTGTATGGCACATCTTGAATGAACATGAAATTGCAGGATACAAAATGAACATGCCTTGCATTTAGTTTATATTTGCAAGTTGCATCCATGAACTTATATTTGCAGGTTAGACTTAATTAAAAGTTTGACTTTAATTTAAGAGTAACAGATGCAGACAAGTTGAAATTTGTACTTGCGTGCAGAGGTGGATCCAGAACTAATCATCTAATCATGAATGCCGTATAAAGAGGGGAGGCAAGGGGGGTAGTCCCCGAAAATTTTTACCTTGCCACGCCCTCTAGTTCTTTAGAGACGTCCACTTTGAGAAATCATTATTACACTGATAAATAATATACATAAGGCTGCCACCATTTCAACTGAAGAGCGAGTGAATTTTAGAACGTGTTTACTCAGACGATCACCCCTGATTTCCCCCTTATTCCCCTGGAAAATTTACAACGATGAAATGCTGTTGACAGTGATGCGGGAGTCCGGGTATGGGTTGGTTACTCCTTTTGCTCTCACGAAATTTTTCAACTTTTTATTTTGCTATCGTTTTGCAAAATAGACCCCCACCCCCCCCCCCCCGCCTACAGATCTTCCAAAGTTGTTGACTATTTCAGTATTGCTTACCAAAACAAAGAGTTAAGATTTTTTTATGAACTAGATTAACTTTTTTTTAAAAAGACTCTATAATAAAACAAATACTGGACAAATGGAAAAGTAAGAAACTTCAGTGCCTGAATTAAAAGATTAAGAAATAGTTCAATTTTGAAAAAAACATCCAGAATACCAAAATTTTGTGAAAATCCACGAACACAACTAGCTCTGGTTACCATAAAACACCGGTCACAAAGAAAAATATACTTCCCTTTTCAATTCAAAGTAAAACTTTAGAACGAAAGCAAACCTCCTGACAGAAATGTCGTGAGCATCATGAGTATTTGAAAACAGTTGTTTACAGCTGCAAAAGCCCTGTCAAGTTCTGTTGGAAAATTTCCTACCATGGAAAATCCAAATAGGAGCCCGTTGAAGTTAACAACATCATAATTAAGAAAATGATTTTAACAAAACTGTGATTTTAAAAATTTTCCAAAGTTTTGAGCTTTTAGAAGCCGGAATTAAAAAAGTGCCACAACCTATCAACTCAAAAATTTTGGTTCAATTGGGTAAACGTAGAAAAAAAGAAGTGATATACCCCCCCCCCTCCCTGCTGGCTGAGTGGGCTTTGTAGAAATTTCATCAATTCTAAAGAACCAAGGGCTTGATTAAATAATCTAAGGTGGCCAACTGAATTCTCTTCAACCAGGCCACGCAAATTTAACTGATTTTGGAATTTAAATGGGAAAAATTTCAATGGATTTTTGGATTTATTCTGTTAAATAGAAAACAATAGAAAATAGAAAACAAGACTTCGCTTCAGATGTTTGTGTTTTCAATCGGCAGTGAAGGAAGATACAAAAATTTCACCACATTGCAAAAGTTTGCAAGATGATAAATCTGCACTAAACACTGTATCAGTTGCAAATAAATTGAATTTTTTAAGATTCTTCAATACAGCTTATCAAGTTCTCTTGCCTTCAAATAACAAGCAACGAGCCCTTCCAGTTGACAAGCCGGGACTGAAGTTTTACCGCAGTGGCGTAGCGTGATCGCAGAACAAAGGCATGCGGTAACATAAAATATACGGCTATGTTGAATGAATGTAATCGTACTTTCAGCTTCTTAAAAATACAAGCGGTAATTAATGATAATAAATTTTGATTTTGAAAGTAACAAATCGTTTGTACTCTAATTCTAATCAATCAAGGTGTCTATTCTCTGCATCAGAGGCTCCGACAGAGGTTGGAAAGTGAAAGGGGGCCAAGGGAAAAATTATCATCCATGCGAAAAGTTTTTGAAAAAAGCTCAATTGTTTTGCAAACTTTTTCAGAATAACTCCTATTGCTAAAACCGTTTCGCAAAAGATCTCATTCTTATTCATACTCCTCAAAGTAAAGGCATCACTTAATACCCACCTAATGTAAGAAAGTTTATGCTATATGCAGCTGGGGATTCCCGCAAGAGGAGCTCTCCACATAGGCGAACAGGAGCAAGTTTCTGCTCATTTTCTACTCTCATAGTTATCAAATATGACAATAATGAGCTGTGAGAGTTGTTATAATTGAAGATGCTTACATGCGTAATGGTTTCAGAAAGTTGTTCCTTGCAAATCTTCACAGCAGTGTTTCGCCCCAGTGCCAGTTTTGTGTTTTTGTAGGTTGTAGGGAAAACCTACGGTATAAATCTTGAAATGTGGGTATTTTTTCGAGATTTGTAGGTAGATTATTTCAGACAGTGCAGATGGGCTCTAGGCCAGGGAAACCACAATTAGAAAAGGTGGTAAATTATGTGGAAATGCAAAAATTTGTTCTAAAAGTATTGTTTCTCTATTCTAAAGAATTTTTGTGACCAGAAAATGAAAGAGCAGCCTCCATCTACCATGGATTTTTCGCTGGATTGCCCCACCTAAACGATTTGCAATACAGCTATAGAACGATAGGATTCAAATATAAAAATATAAAATGGATGGTCTATTTGTTTTTCTTATCATGCAGTGTCCCAATCGCAAGCATCCAGCAACAGCATTAGAAAATAAAATAGACACCGCCAAAGGCCTTCCGTAGGAAGAAAGTAGGTTTTTTCAAAATTTGTAGGGAATTGTGGGTAGAAAATTTAGTTGCTGCGTAGGTTGTGCGTAGGTATAAATTTGTAAGGTGGTAGGTGGAAATGTTATATTGTGCGTGGCAGCACTGCATCCAGTTGTCTTTGTGGCGACTGCCGTGTGCAAAGGCACATTTTTCTTGAAGAAACCAAACAGTCGCAAGAATAGTGCATTTGTTGCTCATATATCAGGATGGCAAGCAGCAGTAAAAAAACTGGACTTGATGACTTTGTTAAAATTGGAAAAGAGCTCTACAGCTCCTCTGAAGAACATCCAACGCCTGTTTTAGCCAAGATTACTGGAAAGATTCCCGACTGGTTTGAAGGCACACTTATCAGAGTAGGGCCGGGTGAGTAGCCTTTTATTGCTTCCATCCGTCCTAAGTACAACGCGCAAAGTAAAATTTCTGTTATTTTTAAATCAGTCATAGAGCATTCGGTCGGTGAAAAGTTCGCCACAGATTTGCGCCAGCCTGAGACACTAGGACGCCAAGGAATGAAGGATGGTTTCGCCAAACCAAGAAAAAAATGTGACTAGCCCAGCTAAAAACACCCTTTATTTCTGAAGTCAATGTTCCTTGTTACAATATGTATGCATTGGAGCGGCTGACATTGAAAATAGCGTTAAAAAGGTATTATTATTGACATTATCATTTTCATTTCTACGTTTATCCATCTTGTTTTACCGAAAAGACTTTGTTCTAACTGCTCTAAAAGAGTTCGTGACTGTTGGCATAAGCTGTTTCCTCAAGTGTGCGGAGTCCCGTTGTGAGACTTTCGTCACGCGTGCCACCGGCGCAGGATATTCAACATGTTGAATAATTGTCGCGGAAAGCAGGGAGTTTGCCGCGCAAACGCCTCTCCCACGGTTTACTTGCGTCATTAAAGGCATTGAGTCATGGTAAATAGGCCTTCTCTATAGGGGGTCATTTGGATTCAGTGTGATCGCTGGTGTTTCATGTGATATTTGCATCCATTGTTGACAACTTGCTATTGATAGAAATTGTTTTGTCAATCAGTACGAGGTGAGTTCATGTGACCACTTTCAGGTCAACCAATAGCATCGCAGTCATGAAAATCATGACTCAGCGGATTTTGGCATTTAGGGTATACCCAATCCATTTTATCATGAACCAATGCCTTTAATCAAGGTCGTGTTTTCAGTATTCTTACAATTTCTTTTGTCTCGTAATAGCCACAACCTAAATGACAGGAAATGTCCTCCTACCGAAATGCTATTATTACCGTTTTGAGAAATTTATGTACATGACGTCATCAAAGAAACGTCAATCAATGAGATATGCAAAAAAATTACTGGTATACCTACTCAATTGACGTGTTTCTCTATCAGAGAGTGATAGAATATCTTAAGAAAGGACTAGTAACAGCCCAAGAATGAGAATTCTCCGAAACAGTGGTGGTAAAAGGCCTATTTTGGTTTGATGACGTCATCAGTCAATTTGCTGATATCAGCAAAATAGAATTTGTTATGCATCAAATTAAAGCTCCTTCTTAGAGCTATCCCGAATATGTAATTATTATTGTCATAAGACTTTTATTACAAGGGATATTAGCTTTCTTGTTAAATTATTTTTTATTTAGGACGTCACGAATCACGTGCAATCTAAAAATAATTCGCGATGGCCCATCTCGGAAAATCGATCTTTAGCCATTGAAATGTAGAAATCCGAAGAAAAAAATAGAGATTAGGCAATTTGTTAGTTTTTCGCAGCCATTTCTCTGTCTATGTTTACAGCACTTCTCATTTCCGGGAATGCGGAATTCTGACCGCATTCCCTGATATAAAACAATTGTTTTTCCCTCTTTAAATGTAAAATTTTGCAAAAAATAGGATCGAAGGTTGTATCAACGAATAATCTATCATGCTAATTAGAGATTGCTCCAATTTTTTACTTACAGCGTTGAAGATGGAGCTTTGAAAGGGAAGCAACTGATCTCAGCTTGCTTCTTGTACTCTTGTTCTGCAAGCCAAGTCACTTGACCAGATACTGATCAACAAAGAGTCAGGGCATGCGGTCAGGGGCGAAAATACCGGGGGGGGGTGTGGGGGGAATGGTGATGGCGTGGAAAGATGCGACAAATATGAACTTTCCTATCGAACCTGAGCCATTTTGAGATTTAGCACTTATCAAAACAATGAGAAATAAGCGAGAAACGACATTGTAAAGATTTTGTACTCGTTTGATGACGTCATTTTCGCGATATTTTTTAGAGGTCATATTTTTTGACAGATTTATTTAACAACATAGATTTTTTATAATTGTTTTCAATTTTTAATGTTCTTTCGAAGGTTACTATTGGTTTTAAGATTAGATGGGAAAAATTTTTCGATGACCGGGAACAATGAAATGATTGTTAACGTTACCAACAGCCCCCTAATTTTAGGGCCCCTGACAGATTCTGAGTCAAAGACCCACCTGGATCACATATCAAAAGAATCCTTGTTACCCTGTTTGCTAGATTGCTCTCAAAATTTCCCTGTCTATAGAGTTCTAAAGTGTGACGTCATCAAAAACTTATATTTAGAATTTTTTAATTTTAAACACATGACATAAAAGGTCACTATGAAATACTTCAAAATTGGTCAAGTATGTCTAAAATCGGGTGAGTTATGCCCAATGAAAGGGTTGAAGTTTGTTAACGAATCACTGTTATTTTGGCTCTGTTCAAAAAGTTATGAACAGTTTTTAGTTCTTAGTGTTGTAATGTATCTTAGTTGTAGGGTTTTGTGTATGAATTGTATTTGGGATTGATAATCAATGAATGAAATGAAGTGAAATGAAATGAAATGAAATGAAATGAATTGAAATGAAATAAAATGAAATGAAATGAAATGAAATGAACAAAGACCAAAATACAGAGGTTTGATGGTGAAAGGGCCAATACACAAGTGGCCGTGTCTCAGCCAATTAGGAACACATTTGACTGATTTTGCACATCTAGAGGTATTTCATGATGTTCTTCCAAGCTATGGGATCCAAATTCAAAAATTCTAAAAATTGTTCTTTTATGACGTCATCACTTAAGAGCTCGATTGTTGCAGGATTACACCTCATTAGGATTACATCAAATTGTGTATTCCTCTGCTTTCAGAATCATCTAGTAGTTTATTTTTAGTAACATTTTATGCTTAGTAATGTTTTTTCTGGTATTTTCCTTCTACATATAAATATACGTAGTTTGTTAAATTCAGAGAGATTCAGAGAGAGATTCAGAGAGAGATTCAGAGAGTACAGCCATCTAAGGCTAAACAGTTGAATGAAGCTAAGCGTTTCGCCAAAGAGGCTTGCGAAAGCTCTTGCGGTCCAGTTTGCATTTAGGACAGGCAGTGCTTGAGAGAGACTGCGCTGTGCCTCGTTATATATTTCATTGGATTGTTATAACTATTAGAGTTCGCGGAGAACCGTCGTTGTTTATGTTAGCCGTTCAAATTTAAAGTTTAGCCTTGGCATGTTATAAGATGGACATGGAAAGGAAAGTATAGCAGTTCGCAGAAATTTTCATTTCTTTAAAGTTTGATTATTCTATCCACGTAAACGTTCATTTTACAAACGGGAATTTTTCACTAATTCAGAGATTGGAGTTGAAATGGAATAATAAGACCATAATTGAAATGGAATAACAGCTTGTGCATAAAGACTTGCGCTTTTTTAAGAAATTTAACCAATTTGTTGCCTAAGGCTGTTCGAATATGTTCTGAGAATACCAGTTTCCAAATTAAATGTCATTAATTGACGTTAGTATAACCTTGATACATGGAAAGTTTTAACCTATTTGGAGACGTGAATAAAAATGTAAACAAAGCTTATAATCCATTAAATTGATTTTCTTTCTTTCACAGGAAAATTTGAATGGGGAAAAAGCAGTTATAATCATTTGTTCGATGGAGAAGCATTAATGCATAAATTTGATGTCAGCAAAGGAACAGTCAAATATTCAAGTGAATTTCTGCATAGCCACTCCTATGACAAATCCAAGAAGTATGGGCGTGTGGCGACCCCCGGTTTTGCTACATGGGCACCCCCTGATCCATGCAAAAATATCTTCCAAAGGTTCTTTCTCTACTTCTTGCCACCAGCCATGAGCGACAATTGCAATGTCAATATGGTTAAGATCAAAGAAGAGATATTTGCTTCAACAGAGACCCCATATATTTATCACGTTGATCCAAGTAACCTTGGAACTCTGGAGGAGCATGACTTAAAATCTACTTTGAATGGTAAGTAACCTAATACTATTTTATAAGAAACTCGCTTTAAGAAGCGAGTACTGGTCAATCGGAAATTGTGAAACTTCAGTACTGGAAGCAAAATAACAAACAAACAAAAGGCAGTTGCCCTTTCTAAGATCTGCGTTTTTTTATTGCGTATAATAATCCGTAAAGGAGTGTAAAATAATGCTTTTCGAAAACTTTTGCAAAGAATCTATCAAGATATCAAAGTTTGAAGCCGTGTTTCGATGATCACAACTTTTTGAAATCTTGATAAAAACATATCTGTCAAAATTCTTTTCCAAAGTCTCCCCTCATCCTAAGCTGAAAAATCATTCTGCACGCCAACAGCTCTCACAATTTTTTACTATTGCAAAGAACACTCCACTCAAAACTGTATTCTTTTACTAGGTCCCAGATCTCTTTTGGCGCATCCTCATTACGACGAAGCAGGGTATGTGTACAATGTATCGATAAACTGGCTGAGGTCCCGATATGAGATATTCAGAATCCCACCTAATGCAAATGCCACAGACCCCTTTTCTGGTGCAACAATCATAGCTACAGTTCCTTCTAGCTTATCTAGTCCTGCTTATTTCCACAGCTTTGGTATGAGTGAAAATTTCTTCATCGTAATTGAAAATCCACTTGTAATAAAGTCATTGTGGAAAATGATCACCATGAACTTCTTGGAGAATTCTTTTTTGGATGTGCTCAAATGGAAACCAGAGTTAAAGACAAGGATGAATCTGATCAACCGCCATACAGGGAAAGTGGAAAAGACCTTCCTGCTGAATCAAATTTTCACTTTTCATCATGCAAATGCTTATGAAGAGTCCGGTCAGGTTGTTGTTGATGTATGCGGTTATCCGGATGCTTCTGTAATCGAGGCATTCTATTTACGCAAGCTGCGAAATGGCTTAAAGGGAGTTGACTACACGATTCCAATACTTCGTAGGTACCGGTTACCTATCCCATCAACCGGACAGGTAACAAAAGAGCCAGAAACCCTGCCTAAACTTGCGAACGGAGAGCAATTTGAAGTTATTTGCGAGGGATTTGAAATGCCACGCATCAACTACTCATACAATGCTAAGAAGTACAAGTTTACATACGGCACTGTTTTTCGTGATAAGAATTACTTCCTTGAAAACATCGCAAAAGTCAACGTCGATACGAAAGAAGTAGTGAGCTGGATTGAGGAGGACTCATATCCGTCCGAGCCAGTTTTTGTACCGGCCCCGGATGCTAAAGAGGAGGATGATGGGATTGTACTCAGTGCTGTTGTTGGTGTCCTAGGGAAGCCATCTTTTCTTTTATTTCTGGATGGTAAAACCTTTACTGAAGTAGCCCGCGCAGTGGTTCCTTGTAAACTGGCAATGACATTTCACGGAGCCTACCTGCATTAAGACTGCAAAATATCATTGATAATTCTACCTGCATTAAGATTACATTCCCTAGTTTTCATTGTGAAACTCATGTTCAATGATTGTAAATGTTTCACTTTTGTTTGGGAATAATTTTGCTGCTGTTGCTGCTTATTAATAAATAATTGAAAAATTGTTAGCATTGAAATTCTATTTATTAGTTTATTAAGATTCAGAAAATTCGTTGCGACGTAATTTTGCTATGAAATATAAAGCCTGAAAATGGCTGTCATTTGTGTATTATCAAAAGATATCAATGAATTTAATCTTAATCCTCAAAATCTTAAAGATTTCTAGTTCATAATTTTTTTAATTTTAACAAAAATGAAAACAGACAGTTTTTCTTGCCAAAACATATAAATATATGTGAGGTTTATCCAATATGTATTAAAAAAATCTGAATTGCTTGGCATTCACAAAACAGAATTTTTTATAACAATTTTCCAAAAAATTTCTGTCTATTAAAAAAGATTTAGATTTTAAAGCCTTTGAATACCAGCCTTTATGGGCCAAAAAAGTTATGTCTATGAATCTCATTTTACTTTAAGACAGTGAGAAATTGCAACAGTACAAGTTTGCCTTTCCTTTCTATAAAGGTAATCTGAATCAACCCAACAACATTGGTCAAACCTCCCTCTTTTGTTACAATTAATTTTTATTAAGACTTAATTATTAGAGCCTGTCGGAAATAGTTGACTTATAACACGAAGAACCAATCTGGTAATAATTTTTTTATAACAACCGTTGAATTTCAATTCTCTTTCCAGCGAATCGTTGTCTATTCAAATATTCTAACGTTACAAGGTAGACAAAAATACATTTTTACTTGGAATCTAGAATGTTTTTCTGAAACCTTACTTAACTTACACGGAAGTCCATTTTGCAGTGCCATGGAATGCTTTCCGAATTTTCACCAATTACTAACCTGCCACTTTTATCATCTTGATTGGAATTTCCTTATTCGTCGCCTTTAATTGCTCTTAAGGACGTGAAGCCTCTCCAGTCTCCTACTTTTACCAGTTTAACACCTTCTAAACAGAGATTTTTCGTGACCAGTGGCGGACTTAAGGGAGGGGGGCAACTAGGGGCAGTTGCCCCACCCTAAACGAGTTGAAGAAAGTCTGGCGCCTCTCTTTTGGAAATTGTGCGCCCCTTTTGAAGAATGAGATGTAGTTTTGGTGAGAGAAGGCGATGAAAATTGCCTCCAGATCCCCAACTGTACTTTGTTGTGTTCAAAAATGTAGTTTGTACCCTCTTGAACGAGCCTCCCCCCGATTGAGTCCCTTCTCTTTAGCATAGATATTTTAAAAAAACTCGGACTACCTTTGGTACCAGCGTCACATAAAAGAACGCGGAAATAAAAGAAGGGAGTGGAGTGGGTGAATGGGGGGGGGGGGCATCTATTTCTATTAACGCGCTCGAAAGTTTATGGCTCTTGCATCCAGGGTAACCTCGGACTTTTCTAGTGCTTGCAGTATATTCTTTAAAACGCAGTATGAATTGTGCAGTGCTTAGGAGATTTGCTCCTACAGCCCTTAAGTCCCCGCGTGGTTAAAAGGCCTCTGATGCCATAGAAGTTGAATGGGAGAGATATACTAAAACTTACCCCAACGGAGAAATTCTTTAAAACTTTTGAAAAGTCTGAATTCTTTAAAAAGTCTGAGAAGGAGCGCCCTACAAATTTCCAATCCAACCCACGGGGGTTTACATCCGATAAAAATGACGGAGATTGTGCCTACCAGAAAAAAATTGCTGACACTGCTCTGTAATAAGATCCTGAAAGCATGATACTTGTCCTGGAATAAGATTCGGGAAACTTATGGTTTGCATCAACATAATTTTACTGATAATGCATACTTTGTATTGATATGGAACGTTAACCTCTGTGATTTTCCACATTTGTGCTTTAAGAGAATAGCTCTATCAAGTGGACAACTCTTTTATTTTCATGACAATTCTGACCAGTCCTGGAAAAAGTATCCTGTGCAATGGGTGAACCCCCGGCAATATAACACTTATTGCTGATGATTTCATTCACAATCGGTCGAAGTTGGTTGTAAATCTCAAAGGGAAAATCTTTTTCATTGCAACAATGCAGTTCGACATCGCCAAACCTTCCTTTCCTTTCAATTAAAAAAGTTGCACCCTGTCAAAAATGATGCAGTTATAATGCCAAGAGACATGTCTCCAAATTTTATGAATTCTAATTCTATTTTGTCATTCAATGAATTATGCAACTATTTGGTGCTGTAGAGGCATGTTCGGAGCACAGAAATTTTCATGCCAGGACCTGTAGAAACATTGCCTTTATGGTGCATTGTTCACGTACCTTACAATTCCGCATTTTTATATTTACAGTGTAGTTCCAATGAACAAGGAATCCTCCAAGAAGAGCTTGGTAAGTTAGTTTTATAAATTATTTTCTGCACATATTCTCTATACAACACCAGTTAAGCATTGACAAAACATTTATGACTGTAACTGGGCTGGAATAAAGACAAATCATTAAATTCAGGGCCTAATGTTGAGAAGTTCCATCTTCTTCGGGTTTGATTTGGTTTCAGTGGTAGAACGTAACAGGGCTTTCTGACGACCTTTTAGTATTATTATAAGTATTCATGCTATAAAATCAGGCACCGCGGAGCAAGGGGGGGATGGGCTTTAGCCCCCCACTTTTTGCAAAAATGACAAGTACTAAGCAATAAACTACCAGTAAAGCCTCTTTTATACTGTTTTAGCCCCCCCCACTTTTTTTAGACCCCCCACTTTTCTCAACGCTCCGCGGTGCTTGAAAATAAATGTTGCCGTATTAAGGTTACTGTTAGGAATTAAGACTTCGAAATTCAACCGGAGGAGGGAGAGGGGAAAAGGGAGGGGATGGTGAATTTACACTCGAAGGTATCTTTACTTTCAACTTTACTCAACTTTAAAAACACTTCAACAATATTTCCTCTTCAGAAAGGTCGTTTATTAAATCATGGACTTGGTCATAACCCCCATCTCCTGTTAATTTAAACTCCCATCTATTCCTGACCTCAGGGTACATTGTCATGGCGGAAAAAGAGCATAGTTGGGCAATTATAGAGCAGCTGCATCCCAAAAGCCACCCCCCTGTTTCTGACAGCCCTTTATAATGATAGATGGTATAACCATTTGAGGAAGAGAAACGAAACAGTAACAAAGTGCAATATCATTTCAGCAAAACATTACGTAATACTCTGTATAGACTGTAAACAAAAAAGATTCATTCTTTTGACAAGCACGTGCTGTGTGTTCGCAACGAAATAATGAATTTAAAAGTTTGTTCAATTACAGTAAACACTTTTTGTAAATGCATGATGTTTTTAACAGAAAAACATTCACTTTTCGAAGCACGAGTTGTCTCCTATAAATATATAACTATATATCTTATCAAATTGATAAACTAATTTGCAAATAAGAATTCTAACTTCTGGATAATAAAGTTCACGGCGAATACAAAGATAAAAATCGTAAAGGGAGACGAGGCGTTAGCCTGTGAAATACGATTCCCAAACATAAGGAGTACCCAGTAGATCTCCAGTTCCAAAAGAACTGCTACTTTTTTGCGGTTTCCTACTACTGTATCGCCCCCAAAAGCCGTTGTTTACTTGAAAACACGACACTGAATAAAAAGTTTTCCAATCCAAAAACATGTTTGGTGACACAATCTGAAAAATTGACTCTGAAAAATGTTTTGATACTTGAAAATGATTGAAATATATATGGATATTAGAGATCTATTTCTGTGTTGCTGCTGAAAAATTGAAGAAAATGTATCTACTCAGGGATGGAAAATCAGGCCCAAACATTTCTGCAAAAAAATATTTGTCTTAATGTCAATGAGAACCTATGTCTAGCATAATCCTTGATCGCAATAAAACCTGGCATTTCATGGTCACCTTCATAAGAAGTCTGAATTCAGTATAAAAGTCATTCAGCTGCACCCATTATATTGAGATCTTTTTACGATACGGTGCTTTTCAGATCTTTAGTGATGAGCACCTATGCCTAACATATCCCTTGATCGCTATGAAAGCCTAGCATTTCATGGTCACCTTCATAAGAAGTCTGAATTCAGTATAAAAGTGTTATTCAACCGCATCCAATATACAAAAAGAATCGAGATCTTTTTACGATACGGTGCTTTTCAGGTCTTAAATTTTCAACATTCAAATATCATTAGGGTAAGGGGGAAACGCTTGTAAATCTTGACTGATTGATATTCAACTTAACATAGCTGGGCATTACCTTAAGAAACAAATAATTATTACGACTTTCTAACATATACTAACCAAACATTACTTATATATATATATTAATAAACGAGCTTTATCTGTATTAACCTCTCAACAGGAGCTACAACATCTGCCAAAAGTCTTGGTACAATCCACAACATTTGTGAAATATTTTTTGCTGCATCCCCATACTCCCTCCGAATAACATTCTTTTATGCAAAGTTGAGATGTTCAGTACTGCTCAATGGAATAATTTCAGAAACTATGATAATTAACTCTACAACCAATATTGTTTTAGGGAGGGAGGAGAGGTCTTTTTTACTTGGACAATTAATTTTCAAAACAACACTTATGCAAATTGTAGTCCTATAGCTAATTGCAAACTGTAGGACTTTTGGCAGATAATTTACACCCACGATTAGCACCTAAAACAAATTTTTGAAATAAAACAACTAAATGCTTCGTAATGCTTACAACTACAACCAAAAAGCCATGGAAATAGATACCTCAGGCGGAAAATACTGTAAAAACCATTTACAGCGCTTTTAAGTCTCAATACGTTTATATTGTCAAGCAATGTTGAACACCAAGGTCTTAACATAACTATTGCCATCCAAGAAAACTGTGAATAGAGTACCTTTCAGAGCCCACGTCATAAATGGGGCCAGGGGGCCCTGGCCACCCACACTTTTTCGCTAAATGAAATATTAAAATCTGCCGAAATTGTTCATATAGGTAACCTGTGGATTACAACAAACCCGTTAAACCAAATTTCATTCAGTAAAACGGCGTTAGCAAAAATTTTGCCAAATCGGGGCTGGGGGATGCAAAAAGAAATTTTCTTCAAGTTACTGGCCCCTCTAGTTTAGAAAAGGTGATGCGGACCCTGTTATCACGAAAATTGAAATGAGTCCTTAGACCTCCTGATAGTGTCCTTATTCCAGATTAGCAAAAAAACATGATTTGTGTCAAAATGATATAGATAATAGTTTGCTTCCTACTCCAACTATAAATATATCTGTAGCCTAACCCTGACATCAGCAAGCAGTTTATTATCTCTTGTTACTTTATTTATCTATTTACTTTAGTTTATCTTGTTCCAAAAATTCTAGGACAAGTAGACCTTTCAAATTTAATGAAGAATAAATTTTTGCTCCTCATGGTTCTACTATTTATCAAATTTGAATCTGCAAAGGTAAAATGATAAATGGTATTTGTTCTTACAATTACTGAAAGTACTCGCTTTTTCAAACAAATTCTTGTTTATGTATGTTACTAGCAATATAGGTGATCTCTTTACTGCATACAACACTGTATAGGAACATAGTTTCTGAGAAAATGCACTGCATTTGGTCTCATTGATCAAAATAAGATTAGCCTTTTGGCTTATGGTCCATTATCAAAACATAATTCACCTCAGAGCTCAGTACTGGGATCCTTGTTCTCTTTGCTCAGTTCATTCCTTTTTGTTATTTCCGTTGTCTGTTCTTTGTTGACTGCTTTCGACTCAGAGCTCTCATCTGATTGTCTATTCATAGCAGTTGTCTCTTTTTCGAGGTCCATATCTTTCTTGCTTGCATAAGCTGGATTCGCCAAGACATCCGATTTCTAGAAGAGATCAATGAAATAATAATTGCCATCATGATCAATATCCATAGTTGATAACTTGAGGAGCTAGTTAATTAATAGGGTTTTCAGTTACTGTAGGTGAAAATTATTTTGTTCCAACTGTTTTTGGTGAAGATGGAAGTTTTTTTTTCATTCTCTTCAATTCATTACGGGCTGGAGCAGACGACTAGAACAGAATACGCGATTTTAACTTCAAAACATCCACTTAGTCACTTTATCTAGGAAACAAGAAATATAGAGGGGGGAAGGAAGGGAGTTGTTGGGTGCAAACAATCCTCCTTTGACTAAAGTTGTCACATATATTTGGGCATATTTGGTAGACAATTGGAAGGATTATTTTACTCAGCCTCCAAATATCTAATTAAATATGTACATTACGTGTGGTACTTCATCCAATTTGGTACTCAATTTACTTGCTCACTATATTATCCCTTTTTCGTAATCTCTAAGCCCCAATATCCAAGAATTGGACACTTCAACTGGCACCCTTTTCCATGGAAGTTCTAATGTACTAGATACTGTCAGTTTTTGGAAGATTACCGTTGTCTGGAGTTAACTTTTAGAGGCTTATGGCTGCAGGAAAATCTTTAGAACCGAATATTTAATCACTTTTGTGTCAATTGGTTGAGAACGTTCGCTGATAAGCGTTTTGCTGTATTCAAAAAGCTTTACGATAAAGTCCTTTCAAAGTGGTTCGAATTGAGCATGCAAAAATGTAAGTAAACGACAATACAAAATTCATATGAAATAAAACATAACTCATTTGATCAAAAGTACGACACTGAAAAATATTCAATTCTCCAACATTGAAGACAGTAATGTTAAAAATTTTACATATTTTGTTGACACTAGAACCAATGCAACCGTTTATGAAACTGGTCACAAAACACGGGTAAATGAGTAGGTATAATGCGGGTGGATAGGCGGGTGTAACGCGGGTAAATAGTTTGGTGTAACGCGGATAGATTGATGGGTGTAGCGCGAGTAGATAGTCTGGTGTAGCGCGAGTAGATAGTCTGGTGTAACGCAGGTAGATTGATGGGTGTAGCGCGGGTAGATAGTCTGGTGTAACGCAGGTAGATTGATGGGTGTAGCGCGGGTAGATTGATGGGTGTAACGCGGGTAGATAGTTTGGTGTAACGCGGATAGATTGATGGGTGTAGCGCGGGTAGATAGTCTGGTGTAACGCGGGTAGATTGATGGGTGTAACGCGGGTAGATAGGTAGGTCTATGGGGTTTATGCCTTGATGGATGCTATTATTGCAAGTTCAATTTTCAGAACCCTCTACCCCCTTCCTATCTGATGGTAGATGTATACTATTTTAAATCTTACAGTTTGTGTTGATATTTTGTTTGCAAGAAATGAAGGCTAAAGGATATTTCACATTAAAGCCTCTAAATAACAACGAAACTTTAAGGCGATCATAGAACATGTCATAAGATTATTATAACAAGCAGTTATCATGATTATTATTACCTCTTCTTCGATGGAGACTGTGAATGATTTGTTTACAATTCCTTCCTTTTGATCTTCTGGCTGAAAAGACAAAAGAGGTGCACGTCTACTTTTCAGTTGTTATAAAACACCCATATTTTTGCATTTCATATCACATAAATTCTGACAAAATTGAGTAATATTATTTGGACGCCATGTTACAAAGGTTCAACAACTAGAATGCTGCAGCAAGAAAAATGAATTTATCAAATATTGAATTGTTGCTTGATTTTGAATCTAGTTAACCCATTTTTATGCAACAATCCTGGTAGCTTCTGTAAGGAATAATATCTTCTAGAAACTCAGGTGTTTATGAAAATTGAATCATAATATAATTTTTGTCTGTTGTCGTCTTCTTGCTTGAGGACCGAAATGATGATGCAAAAATGTTTGTTTCTTGAACATTTTATTTTTATTTTTTATCACATAACCTTAAAGCGTATCACTAAAAACTAGAGTAAATAAATGATCTGAGCTATGAGCACAAAAGCTCATATTCTGTCCCTATCAACTCACTATAATTCGATCCTGGTTGTAAAATCTAATATGGCCATAACAACATTCTCTCCACAATGGCATAGAGACTAAGATAGCTTATTATCTTATTTCAATTGAAGAAAAACATATTTTACACATATGGAAAATACAATAAAAGATAACTAAGTTGTCCTATTTGGTTCTCAATCTTCATCGATAAAGTGAAGAAAGTAAATGATTGACATAAACTTAACAAGTAATGAAGACAAGAAGTAATAAACCACACTAGATCATCAGATTTACTAACAGAATATTAAGAGGTAGAGAAGCTATAAACCAATCCCTGTTTTTTCACTTGGTGATATTCTGTCACCTTGCAACAGATTTAACTGGTTTTTCAGGCTAAGAGGTATTTTTTCATTTAGAGGTACCATTGGTCTTCTTTTCAGTCACTTAGTTCAGATATACAGCAAAACACTATTTTCCAAGATATAATTAACGGGGAATATTTCAAGTTGTTGCAGACCCCCGTCTTTGCAGTCAAGAGCATGCGTAACTATATATTCGTGCTAATGCGCATGCTCTCTAGCTGTTCGGGACGGGGGATGGACAGCTGTTTTATTGCATGCAAATATAAGTATTGTGGAGTATTTCTCGTTTAACATAGAAAAGTTCATAAATAAATCGGTGAATTACTCACCATGGCAACTCCTTCATTTAAGTTGGTTTCTGCAAGCTTTGCTCTAGGTATTCCTTCAAACGTGCCCAGATACTTCGACGTCTTTTTAAGCCGTTTTAACTCGGGTGTTCCACTGCCAACACCATTTGGCATATCTTGCATTTCATAAAAGGGTTTTCCATACCCATTCTGAATCGCACCACTGTAGACTTCCTCAACAATATCTTTATATCGCCTTGTTCTTCGCTGTCACAAATAAAAAAAAAGCAATTACAAAGCTTCAACTATAGCAATTACAAAGCTTTTTGCATCAGGGTTAGCTTTTGTTAAGGATCTGAAGCAATTTGAAGAGAAATATCAATTTGGGCTTTACTTGCATAACATTCATTAATGGAAAACTATTTCATTCCTAGAACAGCTTCCAAACATTTTATTTAAAATGTCATCAAAAGTTTAGTGAAAAACTCTTTACCGTTCTGTTATACTGAAAGCTAGGGCAAAGTTCTCCCTACAGGGGCGGACACTTCGTCAAATATTGGGGGGGGGGGCGGCAAGCCTATTGTTTCAACAAGATGACATCACATTTCCCATTGTCTTAGAACAAAAGACAATTGTCCTCCAAAGTATTGGGCCCCACGCCCCCAGGTGTCCGCCACTGCTTACAAAGATACATTAATACCATGGATACCAAAATCAATAATAACTAAAAAGGAAAAGGACCAGGGGAGCTAGCTGTTGGGTAGAAGATAAAACGTGGGACTATTTCGTTGATTACGTTGTTCTATGTTAAATGGCAATCGACAGATACTTAAGTGGCCTAAACAATCTTTCAACTAACAATTGGCCAATCAGTGATCGTGATAACACTGACACGTTTTTTGATTGGTTGATATTGATTTACAGATGGTTTAAGCCACTTTAGTATCTGTTTATTGCCATTAGAACGAAAATGTTGTCATGACTCTAGAATATCTTTGAGTAGGACTTATGACATCAAAAATTCAGTTACTGTGATCCTGGGACATACCTCAATGTTATACAAAAATGCCATTCTGTTTAAAATTTACTTACACATTGTGAGACAAGAATCATCAGTAGGATGCCAATTAGTACACCGCAAACAACAAGCACAATCGCCCATGTTGCAAATGACCGTGAAGATGTTGATGTCTGACTTCTTGCCTGAGATTGCACCTTGATTACCTTCAACTCTTCAACTTTGAAATTACCAAGCAGTCTATCTGTGGTCGATTTCTTGTATGTCTGCTCTACGTTGTTTGATATCTCTTTTGTGTCAGTTCCTGCTTTACTTGAGTCAAAAATCAAATTGAAATCGACGACAATGCTCCCATTCTTAAATGAATTGACAATTGCTTTGATAAATCCTGGAAGATCTTGGAATGTCATGTTGAGAACTTGCTCTACCTCAACTTTCAATTTCTTGTACTCTTGACTTTCTGAATCACTGAGCTTTTTGTTGTACGTTGCTGAAACATCAAAAGTGGAATCTTACATAACCTTTCATCAATGTTGTTATCACATTTCAAAGCTGTGTTTTTAAAATGTATTCGTGGCTAGACTAACATGGCTGACGTCTTGTATCAAAAACTTTTTAATCTATGATGATAATGGCATAGTGACCAATTATGTGTTATGACAAACGACGACTGACAGAAAATGATTGACAGATGATGTTGACAGCGACGATGACAACGTCGATGATAAGGTTGAAGACAACGACAGCTCACTGTGAAGAGGATCCACGGAGACTGATGACGTACTAACGAAATTGATGACGATGACAATGACAACATTTTGGTGACGATGACAATGACGATCATATTAAAAATTATGACAGTTGATGATCAAATATTGATTATCACATTATTTTACAAAAATATTATCGTAATACAAAAATGCGTAATATAATATAGAGGTCTAGATATCTTAAATGGCTGTTAAGAGTTTGCCATTCCTTGAAACATAAACATTGTAACAAAAAGTTTTGCAAACAATACAATTAGAAGTTAGGTAATTTGATTAGTAAACTGTGGAGATGGATTGATTGTCTTGATTGATTGTACTGAAAGATTGAAGATAAGAGATTGACGATGTGAAGTTAAAGATGAGCGATTGTTAATGACAAAATGATGACGCCAGATTGTTAATGATGCCGATGAAAGAACATTGTTAAGGTAAACAGCGTAGAAAACTTACATAAAATTTTGAACTCTGCTTCCACCAAAATCGTTTCCTCTTTTTTCGGTTCAACTATAACCTTCTCACTAAACTCAAAACTATTCTTTGCGAATTGAATTGGCTTGGGTGAAGCTTTAAAAATCTTCCCCTCTAGGTGGGTAACCGAAACGTCTAGTAAATGTCCCTTTATCTTTTCCTTATTACTTGATCCTGATCTAAAAGACACAGCAAATGCAATCTGTGTACCAAGTCTTCGTGCATCAGAGAAGCTGATTGTCTTGACCGCATAGTAGTTGAATGGACGTAGATGAGTCTCATATACTGATGCTAAGAAAGGTACAACCATTTCATCAAGCTGTCTAAAATCATTTGAATTTTTTATAGTATAGGATTCTTTAAAAGTAACATTGAATTTCATTAGGCAACTTATTTCGAGCTTTATGTCAGGCGCAAGTGTAGGTTTCTTGGTAACCACGTTAATGGACGTCGAAGGGCCAATGTACATCGATTGGGGATTGATCGATGAAGTTACAACGAACACTGGTGTAGCAGATAATAACGTCTTCGTAGTTAGACTAACTGTTGAGGTAACGGCTTTTTCTGTAATACCAGAGGCTGTGACTATGACAGGAACAGCAGATGACGCAGTAGGCAATGCTATAGAAACTGGAAGACTGATAGCAGATGTAACGGCTTCATTTACAGTACTAGACCTTGAAACTGAAGCCGATATACCAGATGACAGAGAATGCAATGCTGTGGATTCTAGTGTACCTAAAGTTGATGTCATGTCCTGTTTTACAACACCAGACGTAGTAAGAGTTTTATGTACACCAGTAGACGTGGTTACTTCTTTTGCAAAGCTTGAGATTGAGAGTCCTGCAGATTTAGTAGACGATGCAGTAGGCAATGATGTGTACTCGCTTGGACTTGCAGTCGACGTGGTAACTTGTAGAATACCAGGGGTTGTGAGCACTGCAGTAACAGCAGACCATGCCGTAGGTAATTTGGTGTGCTGGCTTGGACTTGCACTCGATGTGGTAACTTCTTCTAAAATACTAGAGGTTGTGAGTACTTCAGTCACAGCAGACGATGCTGTAGGTAGTGTTGTGAGCTGGCTTGGACTTGCACTCGGTGTGGTAACTTCTTCTAAAATACTAGAGGTTGTGAGTACTTCAGTCACAGCAGACGTTGCTGTAAGTAATGTTGTGAGCTGGCCTGGACTTGCACTCGATGTGGTAACTTCTTCTAAAATACTAGAGGTTGTGAGTACTTCAGTCACAGCAGACGTTGCTGTAGGTAATGTTGTGAGCTTGCTTGGACTTGCACTCGATGTGGTAACTTGTTGTAGAGTACCAGAGGTTGGGAGCACTGCAGTTACAGCAGACGACGCGGTAGGTAATGTTGTTAACTCGCTTGGACGTGCAGTCGACGTGGTAACTTGTTGTAGAGTACCAGAGGTTGGGAGCACTGCAGTTACAGCAGACGACGCGGTAGGTAATGTTGTTAACTCGCTTGGACGTGCAGTCGACGTGGTAACTTGTTGTAGAGTACCAGAGGTTGGGAGCACTGCAGTTACAGCAGACGACGCGGTAGGTAATGTTGTTAACACGCTTGGACG